CTCTTTTAAAATAAAAAAAAATGTCAAGGATTGGTCTCTCATGAATCGAAATTTTTGTACCACGCACAAATTAGTTTGGACTCTGGACGCATCAAAATCTCAATCCAGGAATTGTGCAGTTATTATTTAAGGACGAATTTCTTTAATTTCCTTACTTTGAATCGAGTCTGGCTGAAAATGTGGTGGGATTTGGGATTATCTGACGACGACGGCGTGATTCTTATTTCTTCTGGACTGGTTTTCTGGTTGAGGACGAACGAATCAAGATATGATATGCACGAAGTTTACGAGTTGTTTGTTCAAATGGTGGATCTCTTATAGGGAAAAAGTTTACGTGTTGTTTGTGATGCATTATTTTATCATCTCCTCGTATAAAAGAGTCCCTCCGGCCCAGCCAGCTCTTCAGTCTGTAAAGTTTCATTAAACCAATCCACACTTAAAAAAGCTGTCTGAATTAAGCCTGTATTTTTTTCGTCAATTTATTCTACAAGATTATTGTCTGTCGAGAATTTTTGCCATTTTTCAAGTAGACCGAAGTTAAGTAGAAGAAGAAGCGAAATTTCTGGACATTTCCTGGAAATTTTACAAGTCGATTTTCGTACCTTATTAGCGGAGTAGAAGTCGAGGAAGGCGGAGTATTTTTCCATTTTGGGTCTGTAACAGATAAATGTGTCCATGAACAGCGTGTTCATTCGAGATCAGGAAACTATCAGGCTTCAAAATAAACTCAGGTGAGGAGAATTTTTCGAATTTTATGAATTTTTTAAGAAACATAATCTCATCCCTTGAAGTTACAAGAAGTTAATTTATGATGAGCACAATTTCATAAAATGGCATCATACATACCGTAAAATTTACCATTTCTGCTTTGCTCCCATGTTATACGACATTTAAGTATGGCGCAAGTTAATAAAACATAATTCCTTCCTGAATTTAATTTATAATCAGCACAATTTCATAAAATCGCGTCATTCGAACCGTAACTTTAACCATTTCTGTATCAATCTACCTATACCTTGCGCCCATGTTATACGTAATTTAACTATGGCGCAAATCACTAAAAAGAATAGCTTAATTAATTTATCACTCTATAAAATACATAACCATTTAGACAACAATATTTAACTAGGCCAATTGTGCATATTAATTCATTTCTGATGACCATATATCCACCATATAAACGACCAATTGGCAAATTTATTTGAAGGATATTAATCCCAAATATCAAGGTGGGTCGTTATACGTAATTGTTATAATTTCATTATAATAAAAGTGCACCCACATGATTTTATCAGGATGAGGATATACCTTTAATTCACAGGATAATGTTTCTATTGGGTATTTACACTACCAATAACACCATCCTTGAGAAATTGACCAATTAAAAATATTCAAATCATAATTAATTAATTAATCACATTTCCAAATTTTTTAGGGGCACGAATCCCCCCCCAAAAATATTTATGTATTTACATGAATAGTTTTACAAAAAAATGAAATTATTTTTTCATTCCGCATGCATGAAATCTTGCACGAAAACTTTTATATAATTGTGTTTGCATCAAGAATCACTAGGCAGGTTAGGCTAGCAGTTAGTTAACTTCTTTATTTGTCGTCGTGATACGTACATACATCTGCATATGTCGTCAGATAGTGGACCATGCATGCGAGTGATCATGCGGACGCTGCATGATTTCCACTAATTGGACGACGCTTGGTAACTATCTTTCTAAAGGAAAGAAGAGTGGTTAAAGGTGAACTTTGGAAACGAGTTGGGTCACTTTGCACCTCATTTTCTTTTACACAAGCTCAATTTTAAGCATGTATTGTACACACACATACTCTTCGCCTGCACTTTGGCAGCGCAACAATGCAGGAAAAAATTACGTATATGTATGCAAATGGACAATTTTCTGGAGTGGGTCTTCTTATCATGAAAATCTTATTGCAACCTTGCTATTCATGATTTCGTGCCAAATTCTTTGTCCATGCTGTGAAAATTTGCATGGATATTTGGGGGTGCAGTTTATGTATGAAATTGGATGCAAATGAAATTTTGGAATTGTTTTTGTACTGATTTGTTTTGTTTTGTTTTTATTGTTTTGCAGTCTTGACAAGAACCTAAATTCCGTGAAAGGAAGCAGGTTAGGGAATTCCGGAAATAAGTTGGAACTTTGGGTGTTGACGCAGCTACATCACGTCCCCTGAGCCACGCTCTCCAATCGTTGTCATTATAGGTTTCAATTCTGTGAGTCCCTAATTATGATGTGCGTATTAAAGTTGTACGCGTGGGGGTGACAAAATGATGGGAATTTATGACGGGAACTTATTTTCATAGTAAAAATTCTAGGCATTTTTTGCAATTTTCATGCTTAAAATTCGAATATTTATGTTAAAGCCAAAAATTCCTATCAGTTATTTAAATGCCAAAAGTGCTGGGATTTTTGTATCTTCATAGCAGAAAATTCCTAATTATTTAGTTTCAAGGCCAAAAATTCCGAGAATAGAGCTCCATCCGAAGATACCCACTGTCACTGTACAACTCTAATATCAGCGTCCATATTTTTGATATTATTGATTTAAGTCGGTTTTTTATACTTTATTTTATTTTGATCCCCGTTTTTCAGGAAGCATCCGTCTTGTCGGAGATATTTTGACGCTACAACGAAATCCAAGAAACATTTTGGAGAACTTATAAAAAATTCACCACTCTTTTTTTGATAAGAAATGGTTCAAGGTGAGAAAACCAATATGCTCACGGTCAGCTCCTGCGTCGCCAGAACTTCAGACCCTTTCGCCAGGCAAGTCCTCAAGCTTACTTATTCATGACAATCTCGCAAATTTCCCAAATTTTATGAAATTCTCGTAAAAACATTTAATAGAAAAGTATCAGATTCTTCAGTGTTTCGTTTCTTGCTTGGTTTTCTACATTTCTTGCACTTCAAAGCAATCAATCCGAGAAATACGATGTGCAAAAACTACAAAAAAGTGCAAAAAATCTAGCCACGTGCCACATGAAGTATTTAAAGTCGCATCTAGCATTTCAAAATATTTGCTAAAACCCACTTTCTTCCCGTCATTTCTTCCAAATGGTTACTTCCACCCGAAACACTGACATCCGATTTTAATTCACGAATTTACCCAGCAATGCAATTTATGCAAAATAACACGTTATCATTCACTCATTATTTACTAATTATATCCCATTTCTATCCACAGAAAGGCAGGTTTTGAAGCGATGCAACGCGCCGATAAGTCTGCGTCTTCGTCCGGATCTTTTTTCGGATCGATGACTTCGTCCTCGAACTCCTCGATGGACTCGTCCTCGAAGAAGTCGTCGTCGTCTTCACCGGCGTCCGCGTCCACGAAATCCTACGGCGCCTGGGGACCAGTCTTCCAAGACAAGCAGAATTTTGCTTCAATGCACTTCTGCTAAGATGGCTGAGCTATAAAAACATGTTTTTTTTTGCAACCCGGTTAAATGACTCGGATCGTTTTATTAGATATCGATTTACACAAAAAATGAAAAATATTATTATAATTTTAAATTTAAATTTCTGAAAATTGTTTAGTTCTCCAAAATGTTTCTTTGATAATAATTTTTCTCTGATAATTCTGTGCTTCTTTTTTTTGTTGTCTTATTAGATTTCTTAAATTTCCATTTTATTTTTAGCCATAATAATTTCTTTTGTTTTTAAAAATCTGTCCGCTTTACATGCTCGATTTTTTGCGAGGAATTTAAACTACAGAGTTTGCGATTCTATTCTTTTTTTGAAAAAAATGGGATTCTTGTGTTTATGACGATTTTATTTTATTTCCGATTTTACCCAGCACAAGTTTTGGTTTGTTTCAGTGTAGTTTTTGGTTTTAATGGATGAACGGAAAGAAGTAGAAATAAGATCCTTTACTTTTTTTGATCGGAATTGTTTAGCGGATAGGAAATTAATTTGGGATTTAAGTTGTAATTAAAAATTTGAGAATTAATAAATATATGTATGAAATATGAAAAAAATTGGACATTTACTATTCAAATTTTCTATGTAAAACACAATATACACTTTATTTAAATCGCATGATAACACAATTTTGAGCAATTTCATACACAATGCATCAAATGCATGATGTTAATAATTCAAATTTTGAATGTGACTCTCGCTCTTAAATGAAATATTGATTATCGATCACGATGTAATTAATCAGGCAAATTCACGCAGGCCTTGCAAAATTAGTAAATTCCATAAACTTACAAAATTTTACTCGTACATATTTCGAAGCACAATTAAATATCTTACAAATTTTTGCGAACTTACTCCGATCAAGGAGGACGTCTCTTTATTTTGTGAAGTTATTTTACAAATTTTACTGATGTTACAAAGTTACTAATGCCTGCGTGATTTGCCTCGGCATTACATACATAAACCTTCCCTAAACTGCGATTCATTACGGTTTAAACACTATTAATTTCTAATTGCTGACTGTTAATTATATATACTTAAAAATCTGGTACAGCCCGTACTAGTATTGATTTGATAATACATAGACTTCCTACCCGATTGGTAATAGTCTGTTTCTGAGTGGTAACTTTTTCATTACCAATACATAACCAAGCTGTAATTAATGCCCGTTATTACCGTGCCGGTGAAGTCGTATGCATATTTGTACTCCGGTTAGTAGTGATTTAATACCAGTTTTCTAAGAGATAATAACGCAAATTTGGCGTTATTCTTGTCTCAATTATTACACAAACCACACAAAAATCTAACTCTTCATTATCTAAATTATGTAAATATGTATGTATGTGACAATCACGAATGCTATGCAATATGTATTTATTATTGTTATGTAAAAAAATTGTCATGTCACGCTAAACTAAAAGATAACTAACTTATCATCGTTATATGACAGTTAAAGATATAAATAATAACTGTGCCAATTATCTAGTAAACGCCCAATTTCTTTCCTCAACCCAATACAATTTTATCTTATCAATCAAATCACTCCAAATATGCATCATCAATCGATCAATTAGAGATCAATCCAAAGTGCACATTCACACGAAAGGACGAGACCAATTAGTTAACACGACACGAATCAGAAGGATCACAAACTTTGCGGCAATTCACGCAGGCCTTGGTAACTTTGCAAAATCCATAAATTCCATAAACTTACAAACGTTTACAAAATTTTATTCATATTTCGAAGAAAAATTAGGGTGAAATTTTTGTAAATTTGATCAAGGACGTCTCTTTATTTGGTAAAAGTTTGTAAAGTTAATTTCAATTCAAGTATTCCTTAATAACTTTGTAAAATCTGTAAGCTTACAAACTTTTATACATATTTTTAAGCAAAATCAGGTTACAAATTTTTGTAAACTTGCTCATTGTCAGATCAAAGGCATTCTATTAAGCGTACAACTTTGTAAAATTATTTTCAATGAGGGCAGTCCTTAGTAATTTTGTAAAATACGTAAACTCCGTAAACTTACAAAATTTTATATAATTGTATTCATATATCGTAGGTAAATTAGATAACTCCCAAATTTTTTTCAAACTTGCAAATCAGATCAAGGGCGTCTTTTAATTATGTAAACGTTTGTATATACATAAAATTAGTCAACAAAATTTAAACATTTTACAAAGTTACCAAGCACTGCGTGAATTGTCTCGGTTAAATCATAACTGGACAAATTTTCAGAACAAAAATGACATTTCGAAATTTCTTGCTGTTTCTCGTCGTGGCGACGGCGACTGTCGTGACCGCCACGACGCCCGACTTTCCACGCGACGCTGCGGGACAAGAACGCCTCTGGAATGAAACGATCCAAGCAATTTTAGAGTTCAAAAAGGAATTCGATGCCCACCCGGAATTGTACCAGGCCGAGGATGGAGACGCCTTGTTGACCGTGGTACGAAAAATTTACATATGAAAGACCTTGATAAATTCGTGGACCCCGTAATTTTACAACTCTTGTTGACCATGGTACGAAAAATTTATTGATAAATTCGTGGACCTCGTAATTTTACAACTTTTATGAGTTTACAAAGCACCACCCCCACGACGATTACATTTTATCCGTGTATTTACTACAAGTCGAACAGAGTAGCAAAATTTCTAAATATTTTTTCTATGAGGCATTTCACGTAAATTAAATCTGTAACCTCGTAAACTTACGAAGATCAGCTTATCAACTAAAAGCATGTCTTTCATAAGGTTTTATAAGTTCATAAGCAAAAATTACTTTAGAAATGTTCCGAAGTTTACGTGGTTACGAAGGCTGACGTGAATTACATACTTATTCTGTAATGGTTTTCATATATGTACATGCATATCAGTGATTTGCAAATAAGCGATTTAAACAACGTGTCAGTTAGGAACGTTTGTAACCTTCATAATTGCGTCATTTTCTTTTAAATTCATTTTACTTCACTTCATCCGACTTCATTTCTTACTTCGTCCCATGTATTAAGCATAGGGTGTAAAATGAATGAATGGAGTGAAAAATCCTTCAATCATTCGTCTGAAATGACCGAATCCTTCAGTATTTTCATTCAAATGGCAGGAAATTCATGTTCATTCACTATTATAATCAATCAAATGAATGAAACTGAACAGGTATGATTGTGACCAAATTCACGGACTTCATTTCTTAGATACTTCGTCCCATGTATTAAGCATATGGCGAAAAATGAAAAGAGTAAAAAATCCTTTCATTCACAGTCATTCATCTGAAATGACGGAATCCTACAGTCATTTTCATTCAAACATTTGAAATTTCATTTGCATTCACTATCATAATCAATCCTCAAATGAATGAAGGTGAACAGCTATGATTGTGACCAAATCGCTCAATAAATCCATCTTTTGTTTGTCATCATCACAGCCTGAAATCATCGCGAGGTACGGTTACCCCTGGGAGGCCCACAACGTCACAACGGAGGACGGCTACATCCTCCAACTTCACCGAATCCCGTACGGCTTGGGGTGCGGGGAAGGCGCCGGAAAGCGCGTCGCCTACTTGCAGCACGGCCTCATGGGCGACTCTTCCAACTGGATCATCACCGGAAACAAGTCACGTGGTCTGGGTGCGTACTTATTTACATAATCAACTTTGTCGAAAATTGGTCAAATCTTTCTGTAACCGAGATTCTTCCTGCAGACAATAATTCTGCATAATTTTGCATGAAATAAGTTTGTGGAGAACGTGAACACCCCAATTTTCGACTGGTTACTAACTTAATTTTATGAAGGCGTTGCCAAATATCACGTGTTTTGTATGACAGCATTTGAACTCGTGGACGCCTGTTATGACGTCTGGATGGGTAAGTATTTAATTTACCATCCTCCCCCCTGTGGGGGCATCAGCACGGCAAAGTTATCAGTCGTTTCTTTACTACATACATACATTTCTCCCACTGCAAAACAAACAGTGCAAAAAATGCGAGAAACTGCAAAAAAGCCAGAAATATGTACGAGGGTGTTCTAATAAATATTTTCAAAAAGTATGTTCCGCATTGTTTCTGAAGTTTGTTATTTCATCAAAAGTTTCGTCAGAAACAATGCGGAATATACTTTTTGAAAATATGTATTAGAACACGCTCGTATGCGCCATCCAGCCACCACGCACGCGCCGTATGCCGTATTTACAGCGACAGGGCGTCGTTTCTTGCGCCTCGCATTTGCAAGAAAGCACTTTCTTCTTGCCCTTATTTTTTGCAAGTGGTTACTTCATCCCCGAAACACTGATACCGATGCCCCCACAATTTCAAGCTGGAAGACAACTAATTTTCTTCTTACCACCTTTACTAATTACTAATTGTGTAGGAAATTATCGCGGAAATACGTACTCTCGCCTGCACACGGATCCAAACAAGGCGGACTTTTATGATTTCAGGTGCAAAATTAAAATTTCGTGATCTGTGGGTTTCGTTTCTTGCCGGTTTGTCATATTTCTTGGAATGGAAAGCAAGCCAAGAAATGCGAGCTGGGAGAAATATACGGCTTCAAGCCACACGTTTTTACAGCGGCGAGGCGTCGTTTCTTAAAAACGCCTTGCATTTCTCCCAGGTTGACCTGAATATTCCCCTGCAAGAAACCACTTTCTCTCCCCCTTTATTTCTCCCACGTGGTTAATATGTACTCCCACCCGAAACAGTGTAGATAACATCATAATGCCCTTTGTTTTTCACTACCAATCATTTTTAATTGGTTCATTAACTGATTCATTAATTAATTAATCACTTCCATCATTTTCTCCCAGTTGGCACGAAATGGGGATGTACGACATTCCCGCGAGTATCGACTACATCCTGACCGCGACGTCGGCCCCCTCGCTGTACTACGTGGGTCACTCCATGGGCTGCACGGCCTTCTTCGTCGCCATGTCGGAGCGGCCCGAGTACAACGCCAAGGTCAAGCTCATGAGCGCCCTGGCCCCCGCGACCTTCATGCCCAACACCAAGTCGCTCGTGGTGCGCCTGCTGCTCGGCTTGATGCCCATTTTCGACCGCCCCCCGTACATGCTCGTCCTCCCGATCGAGTGGACGGAACGGTTGGCTGCGGCGCTGTGCAAAACCGGGTCGCCCACGCAGCCCCTCTGCGCCATGATCTTGTTCCTTATCGGGGGCGATAATGCGCCACAGCTCGATTTGGTAGGTAACAGGGGAGATTTTATTTTATCCACGCCCGCTTTAATTTATGCCCCCCTTCCCCCCTTTTTCGAAGAGGGGATGATTTTTTTCCAGGGTGAATTTGACACCATGAAATTCATACTTTTCCATGAAAAGTATTGCAAATTTGCATGATTTTACCCACGCTAACTTAAATTTATACCCCCACAAAAGTTATTTAGCTTCGCTTCATTTCGCGTAGCTAATAAATACATGCGAAAAAGATGATTATGATTTCCAATCTACATAAATTTGGTGACAAAAAATGCCACATTTTTCAAGCAAAGCATTGTATGTAAATTTCGCAAAATTTTGCATAAAATAGTTATGATTCTACCCACGCCCACCCTCAATTAATGCCCCCAACGTCTCATTTGTCATTTCCCATAAGACATTCATTTATCTCACCTTGAATACTTTGCGAAAATTGGGACGATTTCTGGGAACACAAAGTCCTACTACATTTACCGCAAGATATTGCAATGTTTGCCTCAAACCAATTTTTGCGTGTATGTAGGTCTCTCTCCCCGCGATTTTGGGTCACTCTCCGGCCGGAAGTTCGAGCAAGACGTTTCTCCACTACGGCCAGTCCATCCTGTCGGGCGAATTTCGGAAGTACGACTACGGCGCGGAGAAGAATCCCGAGCACTACGACGGCGCCCTCACCCCGCCCGCCTACGACTTGAAGAAGATCACCACCAAAATCGCCATTTACTACGGACCCAACGACTTCCTGGCGGACAGAGTGGTTCGTATAAAATACAGTGGCCGCGGAAGCCGTGGGGACATGTGGGGACGTTAACAGGGGTTTACATAAGATGATGCGGACATCGAACAACCGTGGGGATATTGTCCCCAGATGTCCCCCAAGCTTCCGCTTGGGGGACATCTGGGGACAACGCTTATTCTCCCTTTGCGTATGCATCTGTAGTGGCCGCGGAAGCCGTGGGGACATTAACATTGTAGGATAGGGGAGGGACGGGTTTACGTACATAAGATGGATAGATGATGGGGACATCAAATAACCGTGGGGACATTGTCCCTCAAGCTTCCTCGGCCACTGCGTAAATACATTGCAAAAAATTAGCACAGTTTATGCACCTTTGCAAAGAAATTTCTGCATGGAAAGTCCTCCAAAAATTCCCAGAACGGAGAAACGATTAAAAATTTGACGATTTTGGTGAAGAGACTCCGTTAAAAAATTCGGATCTCTGTCCACGTGGTGATCTTGACATATATTTATTTTTATCACTTCAAAACGTGACCCCAGTATCCAAACATGGCAACAACAATTTTTATTAATTTCCAAAATCTATAATCATTAATTTTTCTAAAAATCTTGGGACAATAAATTTCGAAATAATGACAAATAATGCAGACTTTTTCTTCCTAATTTATTTTCTTTTCTCCTCAAGGATGTGATTCGGTCAGTTCGAGAATTTGGGAATGGGACGGTTGTAAACCTGCGAGAAATTGAGGACCCCTTGTTCAACCATTTGGACTTTGTTTGGGCCAAGGATCAGCACAAGGTAGCGAAGAAATATTGGCATGCAAACTTACTTTAATTAAGAATGTATGAAGCAAAATTTGCGATACAAAAGGGTTGAATAAAGAATGTGCAGATCTTCGTAATTAAGAATGAAGGACTTCCAGCGTATACTCTCAGATTTTGAGCAAATTAGTGTGAATCGATCGCTAGTTTGATTAGTATGGAATTTGCGAAAGACACAATCTCCCAATGGCACGTTTGGCAGAGATATTTACATCCCAAGAGGAGAAAACGCGCAGTAAATTTAGAAAGCGTAAAGTTTGTCAAGTTTAAGCCCCGTTTTCTTCTCTTGGGATGCAAATATCCGAGATATTTGCATCCGCAGAGGAGAAAACACCCAGTAAATTTGGAAAGTTCATGTAAAATTTTCGACTTTATACCCCATTTTCTCCTCTTCGGATGCAAATATCTCGGCCAAACGAGCCCATTGGGAGATCGCGTCTTTCCCAAATTTCATACTAATCAAATCTGTCATCGATTCACACTAATCTGCCCAAAATCGGATCGCATACGTTGGGAGACCTCCTTTGTCAGTAGAATTTTCAAAAATTAGGGTACAAACTTCATTCTGTACAGATTTGCATAATAAAGATTGCAAACTTTCTAGCGAAGTGTTACATATGGAACTTTAACCTTTGTCTAGCTCGTAAACGAAGTGGTGATGGATTTCATGGAAGAGTTTACCAATCCGACGCCAACCACGACAGCACCATCGGGTGGAATTACCCTCGGCGGTGGTGGCGTCGCCATGTGGGTCGTCGTCCTTCTTGTCACGGGCTTCTGGGGGATGAAATCCTCCATTTAAATTACTTCCCCACGCACCATCAGGTCAAGAAAAATGTTTGAAATGTCATGCAACTATTTTCATACGCTGACTACATGTTCTTACAAATATAAAATTGTGTGAAAGATAACTCACAAAGTTAACTACTTACTTACTTAATTAATTAAAAAACAAAATTATCACAAAATCATTAACTAAATATTGTTGCAATATTCAAATGTTAATTAGGTTCAACCTTTAATCATCGTTAACTTTAACGTTCTCTAATATAGATTTAACACATTGTAAATGATCGAAAATTATTACTTTATAATGATTTTAATTTAAAATTAAATACTTATGAGACTGCTTTCCCTAATTGTACTAATTCATTCCCTGACAAGATTCAGATTTGTATCGTTCCAATTATGCATGCATTTCTTATCTAGTTTTGAACTTGAATACAAAAAAATATATCATAAAAAGTTCTATTTATTGGCTCAACATTATATAAATTTTGACAAATATTTTCTACAAATTAGAATTTAAGCTTTAATTAGAATAGTAATTTCTATCCTTCTCGGTAAACAAAAATCGTATAGAATTAAAATTCAGGTAGATTCATTATAAATACTTTAACATTCAACAAGATACATGAGATTCTGTAAAATAAGAACAAGAACATTCATTTTAGGAGAACCGGATTGATTAAATACTTTAACATTTAGCAAGATGCTTGAGATTCAGTTATTCAATTAATAACGATTGGAGCAATTAAAAAGAACATTATTTGTCATCCAACCGGGGCTTGTGCTCGAGGCGTGGTTTCGCGATGCGTGGAAATATGAAGGTGTTTCAGCGTATACTCTCCGATTTTAAGGATCAAATTCGTGTCAATCGATTACAAATTTAATTGATATGCAATTTTTAAGAGACACGATCTCCCAATGGGCACGTTTGGCAGGGATATTTGAATCCCAAGAGGAGAAAACGCACAGTAAATTTAGACAGTGTAACATTTAAGGCACGTTTTCTCCTCTTGGGATTCAAATATCCCTGCCAAACGTGCCCATTGGGAGATCACATCTTTTGCTAATTTCACCCAAGCGACATCATCTCCCAATGGTTACGTTTAGCAGAGATAATTGCACCCGAAGAGGAGAAATCTCGTAGTAAATTTAGAAAGTCTAAAATTTGTCAACTTTAATGCTCATTTTCTCCTCTTTGGATGCAAATATCCCGGCCAAACGTGCCCATTGGGAGATCCTCTTTCTCAAATTTCATCCTAATTAAATTCGTCCCCAACTGAGACTAGTTTGACCCTCAAAATCGGAGAGCATACGCTGAGCAATCCCAATTTTGGGTGCGGAGCATCCTTCATCATCTTCATCGTCGCTATTTCCACCCTCCCTTCGTCGTTTCAACCCCGGTGCACATGTTGCTGGTGGTTGACCCGAATATGCGTTATCGGACGATGACGACGACGGCTTATCGGACTTCTTCTTACGCTCACGGTACGAATTCCATACAGAATGCGTAGACTCTTTAGAACCTTCAATTCCATTTCTCCGTGGTGGATTGTCTTCAATCTAAAGATTTAGAACATTTTATAGATTTTAAACTATTGAAATAAATCGAAATGTCATTATTTTTCTTGATTTTTTTAGTTCTCCTTACATCAATCAAGTTCGGCCGTCCGCTCGTCGACGTTAGCTGAGACTTTTCCACTTGAGCGAAAGATGATCCAGCTGATTGTGAATTGAAGCCTATCTCAGAATCTGGCACGTTCCCATGCTTTCTCAACTTTGTCATCGGCTCAGACGATTGGTCCATCTGAAATGAGTTTAGTGTATTTATAAATTTACGTTTAGACCTTAATTAAGGTTTAGAAGTTAATAGTGATCATCTCTATTTAACATAATTTCACTTACATTGTCGGCGTCCACCATGTTACAATCGTCTGAGGGTTGAGACTCATCCATTCCAGAGGAAGATTGTCCTGCTTCTGAACTCTGGCCTTCCATCGAATCCGATACGGATCCATACTTTCTCAACTTGGGCATCGGACCAGCGCATTTGTCGATCTGAAATGAGTTTAGAACATAGTAAGTTAGCTTATTTATAGATTTAGAGTTTAATTAATTAAGGTTTAGAATATAACATTTAACATCATTTCACTTACACGATGCACCCTGTTAAAGTAATATCCGAGTGATGTCTCAACCTCTTCCGGCATAAATCCAGGTGGGAAAGAGGACACCGTATTTTCCCAGCGGATCGATTCCCCCGTGGGCAAGGAATCGTGTCCTCTTTTCTTGGCGACTCCCGGCCCCGTCAATGGAGGCATTGATGCCAACAGACTTCTTTCAACGGCTGACCGAACATTTGTAGCACGAGTGACCACCCCTCCCGTCAAGAAGTCGATGATATCCTCCGAGTCGTGCGGGATGTCGACACCAGTCTCGGACATGGCCATGGAAACCAGGTTCTCTAACCGGTGTAAAAGTTCTGACCACTCCGGCGACCTTGGGCGGCTTGGGTGGGGTGGAGAGGCCAACGGAGGTGGCAACAAGGAGGAGATGGAGGCCCCCAGGTTGCTCATAGAGAACGGGTCCAAAGATGAATTCACCCTGAAAAGAACAATGATCAATTAAACTCGTCAGTTAATTAGGTATCATTGATTTAAAGATGTGACAGGTATGATGGATTTCCAAGTATTGAGCAAGATAATTGTGCAAAGTTGTCCAATTTAGAGTTTCAGAATTACTACCAAACTGTATTTTACCCTGGCAATATTTTGAATCTTATCAAAACTCATTAGATTTTGTAGGACAAAGTGAAACAATGTTAAGGGCTCAATTTTAGTGCTTTGAAGGGTCCGAATTTGTCGGAAAAAGGAGAACAAAACAAAACGGCTAATTCTGACCCTTCATCAAAAGTGCGCCACCTTACCCTTTCAATCTCCTCACTGTACAATTCTTCACATCAGATTAGATTAACAAAGCTTATCACCTCTCATTTAAACCTTGATAAGTATACAAACAACCATTTGACCTACCGTTCTGTCCTTCTCTCCACGACCATGCCACGGCCCTCCTGATTGTTTAGGGCGGATGCAGTCCTTTCCGCCGTCATGTCCATTTTAATCCACTTGCATTTTTCCGAAGAAGGTGCCGAGGAGGAGGGGGGATTTGTTGGCTCATCGTCCCCAGATGACGAACCACCCTGTTCACTGCCTCTTTTCATTTTCAAAATTGACTAAGAAATTATACTTCTACTCTTCTACGACTAAATACGAAGATCTATCTATCGCAAATGAGAGAGAAAAAAAACTGGAAAATAATCTACTCCTCCGTCGACTGGCTAAAACCTGACTGTTTAATTGGCAATTGAAACTATTCTACCTGTACTAAGATTAGTGTTGAGACATGATAATTGTAATTCTACTAAAACTACTTAATTATAATTAAAAGTCTAAGATTCACACGCAGGCAGCTAGTAAATTTGGCCGTTGATTTTCAGCCGGAATGAAGTAGAATAAAATGCGACATTATTTTTATGATAAATAAATATGTATATGAATCTTCTTTCACACTTAATTAATTAACTAATTACTTACTACTTATCGACTTTAATAATTACGAATATAATAAATTATGTAGTAATAAGACACAATTAGCCTTCTTCAGAGAGCATATTATACCACATTTAATGATAATTCCATAATTACATCCTTATCACTGACAGAATATACTATTTCTTAGCATAACATCTTTTTAAACTATTCGGACTTGTATTATCATTTATATTGAGCTTATCTAGAATCACTCATACTAAAATTTAACTCGATAAGAGAACACTTAACATGGAATAACGATAACTAGTTAGCAATCATAATAAAGAATACGACATTGACATTATCACAAAATGCGAGTTTCTCAGGACTAAACAACTTTATCTTGACCATCTGACCTCACCCGGACCTGTCTTCCTCGACGACAAGACTTAACATCACCAGAGTAGATGATTTCCTTGGCTGTCCGCCGCAACAACTGTTCGTTGATAATCCACAAAAACTGGCCAAATGTGACCGATCTTAGGTCGAAGATCTTGCTATTGGAATCCATCTACAATAAATAACAATTAGCCGTTTAATCAATATCATTTGCCATTTAGCAGTAGCCACGGAAGGGTGTGGAGAGAGGGACAATGTCCCCACGGTTGTTCGATGTCATCTTATCTTATAAACCCGGCCCTTCCCCCCAATCTTGTCAATGTCCCCACGGCTTCCGCGGCCACTGCCATTTACCAAAGAAATATTTGACCTGCACTTACAATATTGACGAATTTGGCATAGTCAGGGATGTTCCGACCGTCATATTCGCCAAAGAGGCGAAGAAACCCAATCTTCATCTTGCTGGGTAGCGGAACAACGGAGGTAAACGTTAGTTTATCCTGGATTTTGGATAAGCGTGTCTTTTTACAGGACATTGTTGATAAGTCTGTAAGATAAGATAAGAAGGTATAAAGTTTTAATTAATAGTAAAATCTCTCGACTAGCAATTTGGTGGGATAGGTGTGAGTGATGGATGAATGGAGTGAGCTGGCTGCTGATGATTTGACTGATTTCCAAAATTTCTATGGAAACTCGTCTCGCATTTTAATTCCTGCGGACTTTTCTGGAAATTTATTTAGATTATTCTGGAAACTTACATATTCTCTGCATGATGCTCGTCTTGGTTTTCATGTTGTCTATTTTATTTCTAAATTCATGTCATCTTCGACACAAGGGTTCCTGATGTGCTCGAAACATGTATGTATGGATAGGGGCTTATGTACATGAAGTATGACAATGGTTATCCTGAATACCAAATAGTGCATGAATTGAATGCACACACGGTTAAAACCATACCTGTTCAACAATTCAATTTTCATTCAAAAGTCAGTCATCCCAATTTCTGGCTGAAGATTTTCATTCGCATTGATTGATATGTCATTTTCGTTCAAATTCATTTCATTTCACTTCATCTGACTTCATTCCTGACTTGTATTAAGCATAGGGTGAAAAATGAAATGCGTGAGAAATCTTTCATTCACAGTCATTCATCTGAAATGACGGAATCTTTCACTCATTTTCATTAAAATCACAGGAAATTCATTTTCATTCACCATCATAATCAGTCAAATGAATGAAAGTGCACAGGTATGGTTAAAACTTTGAGAGTCACATGTAGATACTCCGTGCTGGTATTGATTTGGTAATAATTCCCTATCGGATTGGTTATAGTTTAATTCTGAGTGGTAACGATTTCATTACCACCACATTACTACGCCGTAACAATCGATATTACCGGGGTCGGTAGAGTCATACTCTGGTAATGATTTAATACTAGTTGCCTAAGAGTAAACTTGTAAATGTTACGGATAATGGTTGAATGAAGGTTTGACTTGATATGTGTAAGATTATCGATATTTGTTAAAAGTTGTATGCATTTTAATGAGTTAGTAATTATTTCTAATTGTGTAATACATATTACCACCACGGTAAAAACTCGAATAAACATGGATAACACGAATTTGTAAAGGTTTCAATTTGTCTTTTGCACCAATTCATTATTTCATAATTAATGCTGCATTTATGAAAATGGGTGACAAGAATTAACTCAAAGGTGTTCATTCTTCATTCATTCCTATTCCTTTAAGTTCAGTTCGTGACGATAAAATAAATTCAGCGGTGGTTCATTTCATACACATGTATGTTTAGCATTATATCGCACTGTGAATTATGGCGAAACGTAACGAACATTATCACAGAACAATTGCAGTAACAGAATCCGGCTCTGTGTGCACGTCTCATTGCATGAATTTCAATACCCGACCAACCCTGGCTTATCTACGTTGCTTATCTACATACACTCTTAGGAAACTGGTATTAAAGAAATACTTATTAGTGTAATCTGTTTATCAAAAGTAATCTAGATCAGTCTGATTGTTCGATTCATTACATTGCTTCCTTGCTTTACATATTACAACGCATGGAATTGGAGAGATGTCCAGCAAACAGGTAACGAAACGATAGCAGGATGATGCCCACGTCCATGGGAATAATGGTGACCCCGATTCAGATCAAGCACAATTGGTAGTAAACTATTACTGACCGGAGTACATACATATTTGACTCTACAACACATATGTATGAGTGCATATATGTATTAACCATCATTACTGGTCGGTAATGAAAAATTAACCAATGAGACACAAATCACCACCAATCCGGTAAAATGTTATTACCAAATCTATACCTTAGCAGAGTGGATTAGTTAAAAAGGAATGAACAATGCTAAACATAAATGGCTATGAATTCAAATCCCACGGAAGCCGTGGGGACATTGCCATTGTAGGAGAGGGGAGGACCGGGTTTGTATAAGATACGGACGTCGAACAACCGTGGGGACATTGTCCCTCTGTCCCCATGCACTGGTATGAACAAGCTCTGAATTCATCGTCACGAACTGAACCAAAGTTTATTATTGTATAATTATTATTATAAACATTTAACGATCAGATATTCTGGTCTGAAAATGAATTATGTTAAGTTGTATTAGAGTATTGTGATCAGTCGAGTCGAGTGATATTAACTTAACCATTTATGTTTAGCATTGTATTGTATTGTGAATTATGGCGAAACTTAACGAACATTATCAGAAAACAATTGCAGGAACAGAATCCGGCCCTGTCTGCACATCGTTGCATAATTTTCAATACCCGACCAAGGCTTGCTTATCTACGTTGCTTATCGACACTTTTAGAAAACTGGTAGTAAACTATTACTGACCGAAGTACATACCCAAGCTACCACACTCGTCATGAGGATCTCCCAAACTCATCGCCATCGTCTAAGGGGGACATGTCGCAGTGACGACCTCCTTAGGATAGAGTAACGATGTATTGATTACGATGTCAGCATATAAATCTCCTATGGACGTCGTTGAACCGATATCCATTGGATATTGTCGATAGACATTCTACGTTTATCGTCTCATGTTGTCCATTAATGAAAAAAGCGCGCATTTTTACAAGTACTTATTTTGTTTAGTCACACCATGAAGTCCTGCACGAGCTTATCGAAACGCCAATTACGCCGTCGTATCGAAAAAACAGTTGTAGCAACAATTAACAATTTAGAAACCAGTATTTCTGATCAGTCGACTGCAACTTTTTACCACGACCTAAGTGCCCCTGACTTAATCGCTGACTCATTCAACCACGACCAAGTAGAATTAGATTCAGAAATTTATGATATTATCGACGACGACGAAATCATATCTGAGCCGTCTTCGTCCGATTTCAGCAGTGACTCTGAAGTAGAAGATAACCAAATTAATGAAGAACTGCGGAAGTGGGCAATAGAGAATAATGTGACTAATTCTGCAACTAGTTCATTGTTGAAAATATTAAAAAAACATTCGTGTTTCTCAGAATTACCAGCCGATGCTAGATCATTATTGTCCACACGCCGTCATTTTATTAAGCGGGATGTGCTGCCTGGTGCATACGCACATTTTGGACTTGAGAATGGAGTTAAAAGTTATGTGAATCAATTAAAAGTTGTGCCAGAAGTGATTAGTTTACTAATTGGAATAGACGGAATACCAATTAGCAAGAGTAGCAAAAGTGAATACTGTCCGATTTTGGCATCAATATTCCAGGATAGAAACTATAAACCGTTTTGTGTTGGTATATACCAAGGATCTAGTAAGCCTAATGATCAGAACGAATACTTACAAGATTTTGTCGCCGAGTGTAAACAACTACTTCAAACTGGGATATTAGTGAAAAATAAGTTAATATCTGTACAAATTAAAGGATTCATCTGTGATGCTCCTGCTAGGGCATTTATTACGTGTACAAAATACTATTCAGGATTTTCAGCGTGTTCAAAATGTACACAGGTTGGAGAGAGGTACGAAAATCGTACCGTTTTCTCGGATAAAATTGCGTCTAGAAGAACTGATGCCAATTTTGGAAATTCAACATCGCTTGAAGATGATCATCATCGTGGATTTACTATTCTTTCTGAACTTGGGATTGGACTTGTATCAAAACTTCCTCTGGAATCAATGCATTTGATATATTTGGGCGTAGTGAAGAAAATTTTAAATTTGTGGGTTGGTGGTAAACCAAAATATCTAAAGTTCAGTGCATTTCAAATTTCTGACAATTTAAGTGCGTTAAGATTTCATATGTGCTGTGAATTTAACCGACAACCTAGGTCGCTTGTGGAACTACCGAGATGGAAAGCAACGGAATTACGACAGTTTCTATTATATACCGGCTTTATTGTGTTGCATAATATTTTGCCACCAAATTATCTGACACATTTTTTGTCTCTCCACTGTGCTGCTGCAATTTACTCTAATGACGAATTAATTGCAAGTTATGGTGATTATGCTGATCAACTTCTAAATTTTTTTGTTGTGGAATTTAGTGCACTTTATGGGAAAGAAGACTTGTTCTACAATGTCCACGGTTTACTACATGTATACGAAGACGTGAAGATGTTCGGCAACATCAATAATTATAGTGCCTTTAGTTTTGAAAATCATCTTGGGATTTTAAAACGATTAACAAAAAGTGGATTTTCTCCTCTCTATTAAAGTCTCTGTTAAAGACGCTATTTCTGGTAAATAATTTACAATTAAAATCTGCTTCTAAGTGATATGTGAAAGGATATTTACAATTTGTAGCTGCTGTTAAGGATAATCGAAATTGTGCTGGTGTAACTGACTCGGATATCAAAATTAAGCTGGCTTCATGGTTTCAGCACGCACCAGAGAAAAACAAATCGGTAATATGTTATATAGTTTTGTCTTAATCTATCTATAATATAGGTTCGTAAAACTAGTATTTCAAAAGCGTTTCTAAATAATTGCAGGAGTATAAAGAATCTTAGGAGGAGAATTAACACATCAAAATATGCGTCGTTGTCGCCTTGTATAATTTAATGATTGTATATTTAATGTTCTTAAATGTTATGGTTATTTGTTAATTGTTATTGATTGTCATTAATGTATTCATTGTCATGTTTTGAATTGGAAATAAATATGTGAAAATATAATATGTTCCTAGTGTGAGACTAAATACTGCGCATACCACACATACTAAGTCAGATGTCATAAAGGTGACTTCAGGAATATCCCCAAGACATCCAGTGGCATGCTTCCAGAGACGACTTTTTGGCGGACATTGGCTCGTCTTACGGACGTCTTTATTACGTATCCGTATTAAAACCGATGTCGCTACGACAAACTACTCGTCTCGTTTAGATGTCTTAGAGGAGTGCAAATGACATAGTGTGGTAGCTTGGGATATATATATGACTTTGTACACAATTTAATACAAATTTTTCCTTACCAAGCGGTAATGATCGTTAATACATCTATGTACTCATCATATATGCAGAGTCATATATGTTACCCGGTCAGTGATAGTTTAATACCAATTGTGTTTGATCTGAATCGTCACCATTATTACCATGGACGTGGTCATCATCCTCTTACCGTTTCATTACCTGTTTACTGGACATCTCTCCAATTCCATCCATTATAATTTGTAAAGCAAGGAAGCAATGTAATGAATCAAACAATCAGACTTATCTAGATTTCTTTTGATAAACAGATTACACTAATAAGTATTTCTTTAATACCAGTTTTCTAAGAGTGTCGATAAGCACGTAGATAAGCAAGCGTTGGTCGGGTATTGAAAATTATGCAACGAGATGTGCACACAGAGCCGGATTCTGTTACTGCAATTGTTTTGAGATAAAGTTCGTTAAATTTCGCCATAATTCACAATACGATACAATGCTAAGCATAAATGGGTATGAAATGAACCACCCCTGAGTTTATCGTCACGAACTGAACTTAAAGGAATGAAAATGAATGAAGAATGAACACCTTTGAGTTAATTGTTGTCACCCATTTTCGTTAATGCAGCATTAATTAAAAAGGAATGAATTGGTACAAAAGACAAATTGAAACCTTTACAAATTCGTGTTATCCATGTTTATTCGGTTTTTTACCGTGGTGGTAATATGTATTACACAATTAGAAATAATTACTAATTCATTAAAATACATACAACTTTTAACGAATATCAAACACAAGTGGCACTGAATCGTGTACAAAGTCATATATGTCTAAGTACTTCGGTCAGTAAAAGTTTAATACCAATTGTGTTTGATCTGAATCGGGGTCACCATTATTCCCATGGACGTGGTCATCATGCTACCATCGTTTCGTTACCTGTTTGCTGGACATCTCTCCAATCCATTCTAATATGCAAAGCAAGGAAGCAATGTAATGAATCACACAATCAGACTTATCTAGATTTCTTTTGATAAACAGATTACACTAATAAGTATTTCTTTAATACCAGTTTCCTAAGAGTGTATGTAGATAAGCAACGTAGATAAGCCAGGGTTGGTCGGGTATTGAAATTCATGCAATGAGACGTGCACACAGAGCCGGATTCTGTTACTGCAATTGTTTTGAGATAAAGTTCGTTAAATTTCGCCATAATTCACAATACGGTACAATGCCAAACATAAATGTGTACTCTCTTATGCAACTGGTATTGAATCATTACGAATCATTACCGAACGCAGTACATACATGACTCTACCAGCATGCTGGTAGAGTAGATGCAGCATCGGTAACATCGATCGTTACGGCGTCGTAGTAATGTGGTGGTAATGAAATCGTTACTACTCAGAATCAAACTATGACCAATCGGGTAGGGAATTATTACCAAATCAATACCAGTACGGGGTACATATGTGACTATACCGACCGGATGATTTATAGTGTATGAACACCTCTGAATTTATAGTCACGAACTGAACTAAAATGTATGAAAATCATTGTTTAACAGTCGAATTAAAAACATTCATCTTCTCCCAATCGGACATTTAAGTAAAGCATCGGATAGACTCACATATCTATGAACTCCGTGCTGGTATTGATTTGGTGATAATTCCCTATCGGATTGGTTATAGTTTGATTCTGAGTGGTAACGATTTCATTACCACCACATTACTACGACGCCATAACAATCGATATTACCGATGCTGGTAGCGTCATATATGTACTCCGTTCGGTAATGATTCAATACCAGTTGCATAAGAGTGTGTATACACATTTATGTTTATAAACATACAGTGCCAAAGCATGTATCGTAATGGCGAAGGCGTAATGGCATTGTGAATTATGGCGAAATTTAACGAACATTATCAGAGAACCATTGCAGGAACAGAATCACATCTCATTGCAAAATTTTCAATACGCGACCAACGCTGGCTTATCTACGTTGCTTATGGACACTCTTAGGAAACTGGTATTAAAGAAATACTTATTAGTGTAATCTGTTTATCAAAAGAAATAGATCGTTCTGATTGTTGGATTCATTACATTGCTTCCTTTCTTTACATATTAAAATGGATGGAATTGGAGAGATGTCCAGTAAACAGGCAATGAGACGATGGTAGCATGATGACCACGTCCATGGGAATAATGGTGACCTCGATTCTCATCAAACACAATTGGTATTAAACTATTACTGACCGGAGTACATATATGACTCTGCATATATGATGAGTACATAGATGTATTAACGATCATTACTGCTTGGTAAGGAAAAATTGGCATTAAATCGTGTACAAAGTCATATATATGTAGGTACTTCGGTCAGTAATAGTTTACTACCAGTTTTCTAAGAGTGTCGATAAGCAACGTAGATAAGCCATCGTTGGTCGGGTATTGAAAATTATGCAACGAGATGTGCAGACAGAGCCGGATTCTGATCCTGCATTTGCTTTCTGATCGTTAAATTTCGCCATAATTCTCCGCATACGGTACAATGCTAAACATAAATGGTATGAATACAGTGGGGACGCCGTGGGGACATTAACACTGTAGGAGGAAGGACGGGTTAATATAATCGTAATGGTAATGATCGTTAATACTTACTCATATATGCAGTCATATATGTACTCCGGTCGGTAATGATTTAATACCAGTTTTCTAAGAGTGCAGTAATATTCTGTAAATTACGTCATACATAACATAACACGCCTCTCATTTCATTTCCTACAAATTTTGATTTGGTTTGGAAATTTATATTATTCTGGAAACTTAATCTGGTTTGTGCTTCTGGTTCTAAATTGCATGCATGTCTTGCTATTATTTAGTAATAAGCGTTTATTTTACTTTTAATTGTTCGACCCAAGGATTTTTAATTTCTTGATGTGCTCGGAACATGCGACAATGTGTGGAGTGGATAAAGGGCTTATAGACAGCCATAACTACTAATTAGCAGGATCGACCCAAAGATAACCCAAAACCATGGAATAAGTTAATACTATTAATACTGTAAAACACTGTATTAAAATACTACTTTTAACCATGTAAATACCAATACATATTCACATGCAAGTGAACAAATTCAAGCATACCTGTTCAAAAATTTAATTTTCATTCAAAAGTCAGTCATCCCAATTTCTAGCTGAAGATTTTCATTCGCATTCATATGTCATTTTCGTTCAAATTCATTTCATTTCATTTCTGACTTCGCCGCATGTATTCAGCATAGGGTGAGCAATGAGATGAGTGAGATTCATTTCATTCACAGTCATTCATATGAAATGACGGATTATCCTTCATTCATTTTCATTCAAATGACAGTACTTTCATTTTCATTCACTATCATAACCAGTCAAATGAATGAAAGTGAACAGGTATGGTTCAAGCTATATCACTTATCCGTCGCCACATTTCTTCTCTTCCGGTTTCCCACACACCCACCCTGTTTTCGACACGATATTTAACTTGACTAGATGAATTGAGACTTTCTGTTTGCAAATTTTTTGCATGGATCAGGTAAAAATTACGATGCAAATTAATTACATGCGAAATACACATTTACTTTAGCTCGTACAACGTTTATTTAATCGTGATAGATAAATCATAAATCAAATATTATGAGTATCTATCGCTTATCCGTCGTCACATTTCCCCTCATCCGGTCCCCTGCCACACACCCATCCTCCGCCCCCACCGGGTTCGTCCTAAACTCCGTCGATAAGGCAAGCTTATACGTAAAAACGCCATCCACCCTTAACTGCACCGTATCCCCCACAACTCTCCCCCCTTCGACGCCATCCTCCCTCAAAACCTCCAACACTTCATCCCCCCTCAACCCCGGCGCGGAATAAGTCCCCAACGCCACGTAGGGTACTTCAGTCTCCTCCTTAATAATTATTATGGAACACGCCTCAATCGACTCGTAGGGCGGGACGGTCACCTGTTTCGTCACGGTTATCGTGGTACTTTCCCTTATCTCGGTGACCTCTTTCGTCTCATCCGTCCACGTTTCCGTGGTCGTCTTGATCTTCGAGACGAAGAGGATTTTCGTCTTTTTCGTCGTTGTCCGGGTAGCGACATATTTTTTCGTCACGGTGGTCCGGGTGATTTCAGTGACGTTTTTGGAATGCGTGACCGTCTGATGGATCGTGGCGGCGGAGTTGTTTTCGATGATTTCGACGCCAGAGATGTCGGGTTGGTCGGAGGAGGTGGAGAGGTCGACTTCGTGATGGGATATTTCTAGGATTAGGCCGGGTGAGGTGCTCTCTAAGAGTTGGAGGGTGCGGCCGAAAAGGGGGAATAGCAAGGCTGTAAGGAGATATGTAAATGGGGCGAATTAGTGGGGAAATTCAAGGTTCTTGGTAACTTCGTAAAATCCGTAAATTGTGTAAAATTGTGTAAACTCTCACGAAATTTTGCAAGTATTTCTATGCAAAATTAGGAGCGAATTAGTGAGAAAATTCGTTCAAGGGGTTCTTTGTAACTTTGTAAAGTCGTGTAAAATTGGTAAGGAAACTTTTACAAAACTTGGTAAGTATTTCTATGCAAAAATTAGGGGCGAATTAGTGAAGTAATTCAAGGAGTTCTTGGTAACTTTGTAAAATCTTGTAAAATTGTGTAAACTCTCACAAAATTTTGCAAGTACTTCTATGCAAAATTAGGACTGAATTAGTGGCGAAATTCGTTTAAGGGGTGCTTGGTAACTTTGAAAAATCGTATAAAATCGTGTAAGGAAACTTTTACAAATATTTCTATGCAAAATTAGCTCAAAAATTTTTGTAAACTTACGCAGACCAAGTGCGTTTAGTAAAAGTTTGTTAAATTATGGGACAAAAGGTACAGATTTTACGAGTTATCAATGACTGTACGCGCAGTGGCTGCGGAAGCTTGAGGGGACAGGGGGCAATGCCCCCACGGTTGTTCGATATCCCCATCTTACATACTTAGGTATATATAAACCCAGTCCCCCCGCTATCCTATATGTTAATTGTCCCCACGGCTTCCGCGGCCACTGACTGCATTGCAAGCTATGGTTTGTATTTTAAAATTAGACCCTTTTCTGTATGCATTTCCTATGAAGAAAAGGGTCTAATTATAAAATACGAACGTTGTACATTAAGCCCTTACTTTTCTTCTTATTATAATTAACCCTCTGTAACTTCCCATTGGTCAGCGTGACCGCTCCGGTGCCCCATTTGTCAGGGAAATGACCTTGCTTTAAAAACCCGCGTCCAATAAATTCTTCCCGACCCGGGTTTCCCGTCCGTACGAGGAATGACTTCCGGTCCTGCCAACCGTACGAATCGACAAATTTTACCGTACAATTGTACGGATTGCTGAGGAACATTAGCGACGAAACTTCATCTAAATGATCAAAAATTATATTAAGGTGACATTGTATGCGGGTTTTGAGCTTAATTTTTAGAGTGTCTCAACTTTCCCTTATTCTATATATTCAAATGGCGATTTTGAAACGTGTTCATCTCCCTGGGGTTTTTACAATATGAAGATTTTACAAAGTTATTAGGGTAGAATTTTGATTTTTTTCTTCCATTAGAAAATAAATATAAAATAGATCCAAAATAATAAGTAAAACCTAAATATTTTCTCATTCAAGAAAAAAAATCAAAATTATACCCTCGTAACTTTGTAAACCTAAAGATTATAGATTTTTAGCTGCATTCAAATCTTCACATTATAAAAAACTCAGGGCGATTAACACGTCTCAAAATCTCCATTTGAATATACGGAAAAAGGGAAAGTTGAGACACGCTACAATTCAAACTCAAAACCAGCATACAATTCCACCTTAAATATATTTTACATCTATGTATTTGTTTTAATTGTGACACAACAATTCAAGTTCAAGACCCGCATACAATGCCACCTTAAATATTTCATATCTATTTTTAAAATTTTAATTGTTACCATCCGTATCAAAAATTGCTTCGAACGTGTCCCTCCTATAATTTCCAATCATGTGGACCCCATTCCGTACAATTTTTGCGATGTATAATTCATCCAAATGAACAGCGATTTCATCCCTCAGGCTGAACGAGGTGCCTAACGTTTGCCATCTAAGGCCGCAAGGGACCTCCCCTCGTACAAGGGTCCCGATTAAGAGGAGCAGTATGAAAATTTTGGTTGCCATGGTGATGCGGGGAGATCTCGATCCGAGAAAGGTCGTCAGACCACTGCTCTCATCCCAAAGCGAGTAGATGAATACGTCAAATTAAGTAATTGGTATTAAATTTCGTATCTCGTAGTGCATACCCAATTCAAGATTACAAAAGTCTACGTGCATCCATACCACATCAATTCATCGCTATGCTACCAGTTTACCTGTGCACTTGGTCATTTCACCAATTCGCTAATTCGGCCAAATTTTCGTAAAAATTCTGACCCCATAATTTCCACCATTTTGAAGGGAAAATGAAGTTGGGGACACTTATTTTGGTCGGGATTTGGGTCTCATTTGGTAAATTTGATATTTACGTTTTTGAATAATATGCAATTCATTTACATGTTTAAATAATATGTAAATTTGTAAAATCCGTAAACTTTTTAGCCATATTTCTGAGGAAACTTAGGTCCCAAATTTTTGTACACTTGCTCAGATCATCTTTTTATTTTGTCAAATTTTGTTATAAAACGAACCGATTTTACAAAGTTACCAACGACTTTGTGAATTGCTTTAACAATGCATTTTTTAATTCTTGAAAACAATGAGGAAATTAACGTAGTCCTTGATAATTTTGTAAAATTCGTAAACTTCAGAAATTTTAGTCATACATATTTCTGAGGATTTATGTTCCAATTTTTTTGTAAACTTGTTCCGATCAAATGTGCGTCTCTTTATTTTTTACAAGTTTATTTTACAAAACTTACAAATTTTACCAGTTTACAAATTCACTGCGTGAATTACCTCATTACACATTATTCAAAAATTTTTTGCAGTGACCCCCCAGCAAATCCCCCCTAATCTCGACTGTGACACCTATTTTGGCGACACTCCGACTCTTTTTACAGCCCAAATGACCAAAGTCGTTAACACGAATTATTACAAAATAACGCTGACTAATAAAGGGACTCGTGAAGATTTGACCTTATACCAAGATTTGGACACCTTATCGGCCTTGATGACTATCCAAGATAAGCCCAGCAAAGGGACAAGTTCTCTTGCCTGTGACGACGAAATGTTCCCTTGGCTGACCCCTTTCACCGTGGGGGGAAAGGACTGCAGTTTTCATGAGAATCTTTGGCCTCCCATAAATTCGCAGGCCGTGTAAGCTTAAAAATTACATGGATGAAATATTAAGTAAAAAATTTAAATAGATTTCCTGAAAAAGTTTGGTCCAAATTTCTGCAGAAAAAATTTGTGCAGTAAAAAATTATGCAATAAGTCCAGTTCTGCTGAATAAAACTGATAGAAATTTTCTGCAGGAGTATGAAAAAGATATGCAGAATATAATATGCATTTGTCGATTACTGTCGAATTAGAGAGAAATTTCTACTCGGAATTTAAATTTTCATAATTTTATGCATTTCCACAGGAAGATCACCATTTACCAGCACATGTACTCCAAATTTTCTCAAGAGGAAACTTTAACGTCGCAAGTAGGTTTTTAACATGTTCAGATTTCACTCGTTTAAATACAATAAAAATTTCTCGGAAATTTAGTTAGGAGCAAGTTTCCAGTTAAACCCGGATAACGCCTTGACCCCAGTTTTACTAGGGATTAAGAACGGCGTGGGACAGTTTGACCACGTTTTGAACACCGTGCCGGTCTGGAAATCGGTGAAAACTTTGATTGAGGTGTGAAATATTTCTTAAATAAAATATAATTTTTCAAATTTCAAATTTTCAATCTGTGAAACCGTTGATTGAGGTGTCAAAAATATTTTTAAAAAACTATAGTTTTTAAATTTCAATTTCTCTCTAATTTAGGAAGTAGAAAGGAAACTTGTCCAACTTGGGGGGCCTAACGGTCCGGCAATCTTATCCGTAGCGGATGGCACTCTTGAATTACCCGGGAACAGTGGGAGAACCCCCGTTTTCCTGAGTGGCGAATTTGACGAGGTCGTGCAAACCAGTTATGACCGTATCGGCGTACCAAAGTATTTCAACAATTTGTATTAAGTCTCACATTAGTAAGGTTACACTGTATCCTGTGACATAGATTTTTAATCTCGCTCTACTTCTGCATTCAATGTCATTAAATGCTAGATGATTTCTAAAATTGCGAAGATTTTGCGCGAGTTTTGAGATAAATGCAACTTTTTATACGGTAATGCAAAGTTAATTCTTGCTACTGCAAAACTTTCGAATTGAAAAAAAAATATTTAGTTCATTTTTGAGGAAATTCATTGTGAAAAAAAATTCAAATGAATTAATGATACTTTTGATAATGTAAAGATAATATTTGTCACTACAAAACTATCGATTTGAAAAAAATTGCTAGTTCATTTGATATTTTTTATAATAAATTTCCTCAAGAAAGGATTCGCAAATTTGTGCCAAAGATTAAGTTTATGAAATGTTTCACCTAAGAAATTTTCGTATAAAGACATTGAATTGGGGTAAAGTGAGATTAAAAATCTATAACAGCGTTATTCCACCTTAATACAGTCGGATTTGGAAAATCGCCCAATCCTCTGAAACCCATCGATGCGGCGTTTCCATTGCAATTTCGAACTGTTACGGCGAAATCTGCAGCAATGACGATGACATTGTTGGATGCACCGTGGAAAATTGTGTGACATATTTCGGCTCACCATTTTCCCAAATTTCGAAACATTGCTGTGGAAATTTAACCATTGCGGAAGAAATGATTGCCAGGATTGATCCAAGTTTTGTCCTTTTTGATGGCGAGTGTGAGCCAGAAGAAGTGTCTACTACAACAGAGGGCAGGGAAGAATTCGAATGACGGGCTTCTTATACTAGTAAATTGTTGGTCATGAATTATTTGAAAATTATGAAATGGGGAAAATTAATAAATACTTTGAGTTACTCATTTACGTATTTGTTTAAATGCAAATGTATACACTTCATTAATTGGAGTGTTACATAATATGTAATTAATAATTACTAATTATGCTCATGATAATCAATTAATATAATTAACAAACAATTATTCTCATGATTTTATCATCCTCCATTCATGCTTAACGTGGAATAACTTTACAAATTTTTATCTCACTCTACTCAAATTAAATGTCTTTAAATTTCTAAAATGGCATCAATTTAACCAGTTTTGAGATGAATACAACTTTTTTACTTAATTAATTTTTGTTATCCATTTCCAAAAATAACAAAAAGCAAAACTACTCATGCAGAAAAACTAATAATTTTTTCGAAAACATTTTTTAAAATTTAAATCGCTTTTTATTTTAAGTACTATATAAACAAACGTTTATTAATTTCGTTGTAAAATTCGCTCAAAAAATAGACCATGAACAAAAAATTTTACTTTTCCGAATGCATTTTTTTTAAATTTAAACCGTTTATAAGTACAAATTTTTAATCATTTCTTTGTCACCCCATTAACCAAGGAATCAATTTGTGTCATAATTTTGTCAAATTCTGCCCTATTTTTACCCTTGACACGTTTCGCTTGTCGGATCAAGCTGGCCGTGAAAGTGCACACGCTCTGACCCAATTCGTCCATCTCTGCCACGATAAATTGCGGTTCCAACGCCAAAGATAACTTTATGCTGCCATCGACTTGAACCAGAACGGCGTCCCCGGCTTCGTCCAACACGCCGTAAATGTTGTCACGCGCCAGAATTCGCGCAATCTCGGCGGCCCATAATCCCTCCGCCGTGTAGCGACCAACCGCCGTGAAGCCAAGTTTAGTGTCCGCACTGACGCTGACGGTGGAGCAGACGTGCAGACGGGAAAATGGGGGAACGATGACCTAGCAATATTCATACCTGTTCAGTTTCATTCATTAATTTGACTGATTATGTTACTGAACGAGAATGAATTTCCCGTCATTTGAATGAAATTGACTGAAGGATTCCGTCATTTCGGATGAATGACTGTGAATGAGAGGATTTTTCACTAATTAAGCATTTAGTGATAAATGAAATGAATGAAAAATCCTTTTATTCACAGTCATTCATCCGAAATGACGGAATCCTTCAGTCAATTTCATTCAAATGACGGGAAATTCATTCTCATTCAGGATCATTCAGTCATAATCAGTCACATGAATGAAAGTGAACAGGTATGGAAATAAGCCCAGTTGAGGGAACATTTTTAAAATTAGGTATAAAACGATAGTTAAGCCGCTAGGTGGCGCCTTATTTCTCCCTTTTTTGTAACAAAGTAAATGGCGAAAAGTGAAATAAATCAAACAGAAACTTATCAAAGCTTGCTTACCTCGCGGGACAACTCAAACTCGCTCTGTTTCGACGATTTGACGTGAAATAAGTCTACATTGTCGCAATCATTGATTACATAGAGGCAGCTGGGCGCGCCTCCCCAGTTGTGTTGGGCGCAAAACTAGGTACATCAATTCAAACCGTATTAATTACGATGTGCGTAACCTTCGCATATCTCGTAAATTAAGCATAGCAACATAACTTTTGCCAGATTTTGCAAAAATTTTGCTGAAAAACCATGAGATTTTTGTTTCGCAAATTTATTCAGCAATTGGGCATAGCTTCATTTATTAAGATAGATATATACAATGAAATAGTGTTTTTTTCGCGCTCTAACGATTTTCAAGTTAGATACCTTAAAATTTGCGTAAAAATGAGTAGATCAAAAATCCGTAATAAAATTGGGGTGGTCGTCCAGCAGTTTTCGAGATCTGAGGTAAAATGTGCGAATTTTTTGCAAATTTTGGATTTTGACTCAAACTAGTCCAACTTTTGGTCAAATATCGCGGGAAATAATTTTAAAAATTATTTTACACTCGAATTTGGCCGCTGCCTCGATTTCGGACCCCAATTTTCCTATGTATTGAAGTTTGCAAAATAATTGCATTTTCCGTATTATTAAGATACATATATACAATGAAATAGTGATTTTTTCGCGCTCTAACGATTTTCGAGTTCGATGGCTTAAAAGTTGCGTAATATTGAGTAGATCAAAAAGCCGTAATAAAATTGGGGTGGTCGTCCAGCAGTTTTCGAGATCTGAGGTAAAATGTGCGAATTTTTTGCTAATTTTGAGAAATTCAAGTTTTGACCAAACTTTTGCTTTAATATGGCTCCAAATAATTTTAACAATTATTTTGGACCAGAATTTGGCAGCTGCCTCGGATTTTGACCCCAGTTTTCCAATGTATTGAACTTTGCAAAATAATTGCAAATTCCCTATTAGTTAAGATAGATATATACAATGAAATAGTGATTTTTTCGCGCTCTAACGGTTTTCGAGTTCGATGGCTTAAAAGTTGCGTAATATTTAAGATCAAAAATCAGTAATAAAATTGGGGTGGTCGTCCACCAGTTTTCGATATCTGAGGTAAAATGTGCGAATTTTTTGCAAATTTTGGATTTTGACTCAAACTAGTCCAACTTTTGGTCAAATATCGCGGGAAATAATTTTAAAAATTATTTTACACTCGAATTTGGCCGCTGCCTCGATTTCGGACCCCAATTTTCCTATGTATTGAAGTTTGCAAAATAATTGCATTTTCCGTATTAGTATGCCACGATCGAATTATGGAATTTTGGTTAGCATTTTAAGTTAATCCATAGATCTAATGATCTAGCGGAATCGCTAGATACAATCAGGCAGCGCAACTAGCATATCACAAACTCCTCCCTGGATCCATTTATCTTTTTAGGGACACTCAAGAACGGATCTAAAATGTGAACATGTGCGATCGACTTGAAATTCAAAACTTAATGGTTTACTGACCTTAAAAATTCATTTAGACTATATTTTCATCGCCATGACCTTTATTTCGACACCATATGACCTGACTGGGTAAAATTGCGTGATCGACTTGAACCTCAATATTTAAGGGTTTGGTGACCTTAAAAATTTATTTCTATTTTATTTTCATCGCCATGACCTTTATTTCGACACCATATGATCTGATTGGCCAAAATTGGGTGATCGACTGATGATGAATTTTGGCCGATCAGGTCATATGGTGTCGAAAAAGGTCATTGAGATGAAAATAAAATAGAAATAAATTTTTAAGGTCACGAAACCCTTAAATTTTGAATTTCAAGTCGATCACCCAATTTTACCCAGTCAGGTCATATGGTGTCGAAAAAGAGGTCATGGCGATGAAAATATAGTCTAAACAAATTTTTAAGGTCAGTAAACCCTTAAGTTTTGAATTTCAAGCCGATCGCACATGTTCACATTTTGGATCCGTTCTTGAGTGTCCCTAAAAAGATAAATGGATCCAGGGAGGAGTTTGTGATACGCTAGTTGCGCTGCCTGGATACAATCCGTTACTTATTATGTTTAAACCAACTGGGAATGTTGGGAATAGCTGGCTATAGCCGTAAATTTGGGACCGCAGTTGCGACACATTTTGCAACAAAATTTTAACGAAATCTAAATTAGAATATGAGTAAGGAGTTCATGTTAATGTTACAACGGAGTTCTGATATGTCCTGTTGCCAATTCAGAATTTTGAAATTAACGCAAAGTTTTGTTAAGCACTCAGAATTTTGTTAATGCCGCGTTGACTTGTTTAGCAAACTTTAAAATATTTCGCTAACTCATCCTCACCAAGAGAAATCACAGAAATTCATGGAAACGATACCAAAATAAGTATTTTTTTAGTAGATTTGCTAGATTTTCGAAGCCATATTTTGCGAATTCCCTCACATCAGAAATATTTTGATGTTCGCAAGTTTGGTAAACTTTGCGAATTAAAACGTTGTCCAGAGTACGCCCAATAATTTTGAAAACAAAATTGGAAAAAATCGTCCTATTTTAAAAAATAGTTTGTCAAACCTTCGCAACTTTTCCCCAATACGTTCTCGACACCATTTCATACATTTCCCACGTTTTTTTCGTCTGCGTCACCATGTGCCTCATCGTGGCGGGAGAATCGTTTTTGATTTCTTCAATCCCAATGAATTCCTTATCGTTGGGAAGGATGTTCTCGTCATAAACGATGGATTCGAGCTCCATGCTCAGCCCGGCGAGATTGTTGGGTGATCTGGTTTGCGATTTGTACATTTCGCAAACCGTCGGTCGGCACTGCAACCCATCAGTGGCGCCTTTGTCGAACGGATCCGATTTTAGCGTGCAAAGGAAGTAACTGCCTTGACTCGCCCTAGATTTTGTTAAAGTAAATGTTTAAAGCTTGATAGGCAATGGAGGTCTCGCAGCGGATGCTCTCAATTGTTTTAGTAAATTAGTGGAAATCGATGACAAGTTTGATTATGGTTCATCTGTTAAAAATGCGTCATTTTTTTCAACAAGATTATTTCGTGCACGTTGTAATGCTTATGAATTTTGAGTTTGAGCCGTTATTGAAATTCTTCACATATTTTCAAAACTAATAACGTATTAAAAACTTTGAAACGTTGACACGCACCAGACCCGTTGATAGCAAAATCAATAAAACACGTGGAATATATGGCCGAGATATTTGCATCCGAAGAGGAGAAAATGCACAGTAAATTTGGAAAGTGTAAAATTTGTCGACTTTTCTGCGCGTTTTCTCCTCTTCAGATGCAAATATCTCAGCCATTGGGAGGTCGTGTCTTTCACAAATTTCATACTAATCAAACTTGTCATCGATTCGCACTAATTTGCCCAAAATCTGAACACGCTGGGAGACCTCTAATCCAGGGTATTCCGACCTGGGTTTTAATGGGTTGGGTTTTATTGGGTTTTAATGGGTTTTAATGGGTTTAATGAATAAAACCCAAGGGTTTTACCATGTTAAGTGGGTTTTATTTGGGTTTTAATGGGTTTTATTGGGTTTTAATCGAGTTTTACCTTAAAACTATATTCTAAAAGTTAAATACATCTCCTATACGTTAAAAGACGTTATCTCAATTCATTCTAAAGCAGTTTATTTCATTACTATCATAATATATGAAAATTCGGAACAAAGCAACAATTGACTCCATTCTTTAGCATCACAGATTTCAAGTGTTGTAAAACAAAAATAATTTCCGAATAGATACAAATTCCGAATAATTTTTGTTAAATTATTACTTAAAACTATTAAAACCCAATAAAACCCATTTAAACCCAATAAAACCCAATAAAACCCATTAAAACCCAAATAAAACCCAATTAACATGGTAAAACCCATTAAAACCCATGGGTTTTATAATTTTTGATTAAAACCCTGGGTTTTTTCGAACCCTGCTCTAATCACAACCAGGGCAGTGTCAGTTACAAGTTGGGCGTCCAAAACATAAGGTAACATTGATTTTTCAAATTTTGGCAACATCGGTTTTCGATTAATCGGATTTTGAAAAGTTTTAGGAACGGGTTTCGATTCTGAACAAAACCGGGTTTTAAAATCGGTTTTTATGTCAATTTTAAAAAGTACAGAATAATTAATTATTATCTCGACAATAAGAAACATTAAATATTATATAGCTCTTAAAAAGTTTCCCTTATTAAAAACAAAAAACCGATTTTCGAGTCTGTATAAACCGCTTGGAAAATTGTAAAACTGGTTTTCGGTTAAATTAAAAACCGGTTTTTAACCAGTTTTACAAAATCGGAAAACCCGATTTTGGATGCCCTACTCTACTCATAAGTCGCTTGACAACCAAGCCCGACTCCTAGTAAACCAATAAACATGTAAACCATTGAACTCACGTTTTCCGAAGATTTTCCCCCATAAAATTAAACTCCTCGTCCCCACAGCCTTCCAAGTCTTTCCCAATGAACGCATCATAACTGCCACATTTCTTCGCGTAAAATGCCGTTTTTGCGGAAATCGTCTCCACAAAAAGTTCCACGGCTCTCGAATGACTGCAAATAAATGCGCCCGCACCATCACATCCGGGCTGATTGAATCCGCCATTCGGGTAAAAATCGTAGTGCCCGATGGGCTCCGTGATGCCCAGGTGGAACATGTCATATTGCGTCAAGAAGTCATCCGAATCTCGACCGTTCGTGTGAATAATGTCGACCAAATCGGCGTCGTTTTTGGATAAGCGGTTCGTTTCTCCGGAACGGAAACCAGGATAGGCGGGATCGAGACCTGGATATTTACAAAGGGTGGGTTTTATTTATACCACCCAACCAAAATATAGTTTATTCCAACCAAAATTAATAATTTTGCAATAATGGAATTAGCAACGGGTTTAATTTATTTTAATTAACCTCTTGGCTATCAAACTACACATGAAAGTTGACCACCGAAGTATTGGTATTTCATATTTTTAAATTTAATTATTTGGCTGGGCATTTTAATGAAATTTGTTGCAAAATAAATCATTTTATTCCGCACATCTCATGATTGGCGAAATTATTAATTAGTAATCATACTCGCTAAATAAAGGATTAATAGTTTTTTATGCAAAAAATTAGCTCGATATGAAACTTTTCTGTAGAAAATTGGGCAAAATTTCTGTAGGAAATTTTTACTCTGATGTTCGGCAAAGAAACGGAAAATTCGGTAAAACTGTATTTAAAATGATGACTTATTACCCGTTATCCTCCCTAGTTTTCCAAGTCCGAAAGCCTGAAAAATTTTTCCCGCCCAGCCCGACGCATGCGCACCGAGACTGTGCCCGATCACGTGGACTTGTGACGCAACCACGTATTCCTCATCGATAAGCCGCTTAACAAGGTGAGCAATATTGTGACCGACCCGTTTGGTGAGGGTAGCTGGGGTGCAGTACGGGATCCCACCTTTGGCAAGCTCTCGCCAATCGACACGGATCACGTTGAAGTTTTGATAAGCTAGTTACATCGTTTTTTTAGACAAAATACATAATTTATCAGAGCTGGGAGATTAGTTTATTTTTTTTTCGGATTACGGATTGGGAATTAAAATTTTTGGATAAGAATGGGGATTAGAATTAAACATGGACTATAAAAATGATTTTGATTTTAGGATTAGGGATTGGCCAATCTGGATTAGTTTTAAGATTAAGGATTTCGTATAAATGGTTTGTTTTAAACAAAAACTTAAATATATATGAAAATATGTATATGTATATGTACGAAAATCCGAAAATACAATTACTAACTTACCTCCATGTACTTCGCTAAAAATCCCACCACTATTGCTATTCCAACCATGCGAAAATATTCTAAGGGGTCGCCCCTTAACGAAAGATGCAGGGATATCATCTGTCAATGTAATTTGTGTGTTCGCTCTGTAAATATTTTTAAAATTTTTTAGACAAAGAATAGAGTTGGTAATCGGACAATTTCCGATACGGATCGGATTATCCGGCGTTTATTATCCTATCCGTCGGATCGGTTCGGATCGGATCCAATTTATAGGTAGTAAACGGCCGGATAAAAAATGATCGGATCCAAGTTTTAGCAAATGCCCGGATAATAAAATCCCATCTAATCCGACCGATCGGATATTGTCGGATCGGATCCAAGTTTTAGCAAACGACCGGATTAAAAAAAACGATCTAATCCGACGGATCGGATCCGAGTTTCAGCCAACGACCGGATAAAAAATCCTATCCGATCCGACCTATCAGATATTTTCGGATCGAATTTCCCAACCCTACAGAAAACTCTAGAATTTCCAAAATTTATTATAATTCATACCCATCAATGAAGAAGTGAATATCTTCCGGTTCTGTTCCAACATTGGTGAAATCCACACAATCGTCGAGAAATGCGAGAACTATTTCCCAAGCGTCTAATTGAATTTCATTTTGAAGTTCGGTTTGATTCTCGAGACGCAAAGTTTTCGTATTCGTAGGGACAAATAAGCCAGATAATGGCACCATAAATAATATTGCTTTCCACATCGTGACGCTGAACTTGGCTTAAACTGCGTTAAAGTCAAACTGGTCCAGTTAATAATACAAAAATAAAATGACCAACTAGCTTAAAATTACCTTATCCAAAGGAAAGATAACGTCGATCAGATAATCAGGAGCATCGGGACTATATTGTTGAAAGATGGGTATTTTAATTAGCATTGACAAGATACAGGAAAATTCAATAAGTGGATGTCCACATTATTAGCAGACGTCGGATATGAATGATTGGTACGTAAAACCTCAAAATATGAGTGAAAAAATTACCATAAAAATCCCCAAAATATGACTTAATTTTTTTTATATTTGCCTTGTGTGAGACTCTATTTACTTCACTTCTATCGTGATTTAACTCATTGTTAATGAATTAAATCACCCCCAGAAGAAAGCGAAAATAAACTTCTGTAAATTTCTCATGAATTATAGTGAGAAAACTGAATTTTTTGTCATTTTGTAGCAATTTGATAAGGTAATTTGGTAATGGTAATTTGGTCTTATGACATGAAGCCCGATGATGAAATGAAATGAATTTGAACGAAAATTACTGAATGTGAATGAAAATCTTGAGTCAGAAATTGGTATGACTGACTTTTGAATGAAAACTAAATTTTTGAACAGGTACGATTTTAGATACAATTTCTTAATTTATTCCCCCCAAATTTGATGCCAATTTCATTACAAAAATTTCAGCATGGATTTCAACTTGTAAAAATTTTCCTGCATGAGTCGTCCCGCCGTGGCATTTGTGGCCCTTTGTCCCTCCAGTTTCTGATTTTGCCTTATCAGCGCCTCAATTAGGGTGCAGCCGTAGGGGTCATCTGTCGGAACGACGGTGTACTGCCCGCTCAGGCCGGCAGTGCCCTTAATAACGCCCGACATGGTTTTCACCACTCGCCCATCCTGGATCGACCAGGACCTGTCACCCACACTGACGAGGTAGCTCTGGACCTTAAAATATTTAAGAAATGTGAGCAGGTTAAGGTGCAATTGGATAGTGGTTTAATGTGGCGTTACGACAAATTGTGGATGTGTCATAAATGTCAAATTTGTCAAACATTTACAATTTGTGATAAGTATGACAAGTTAAAATTGTCATAAATGTCAAACGACAGTCGAATTGGAATTGTGATAAATTGCATGGTCAAATATGACCTACATGACAAATATGACAATTTGTCATATTTATCATTTGACAAATTTAACAAACATGACAAACATGACATAAATGACATACAGAGGCTAGACAAGCTCCATCATTATGTGGCATGGATTTTTAATCTCACTCCACCCCAGTGCAATCTGTTTAATTAATAAGCCATTTAATAAATGCAAATTTATAAAATGGTATTAATTTCCTGAATTTTGAGATACATAATGCGAATTTAACTCTTGGCACTACTTCTTCTACTACGAAAAATTAAGTTTTCATTTAAATCTGAAAGTGGTGAAATTTATGTCGTTTTAGAAATTTGCACTTAAAGACATTAATGAAAAGGGGAAGATTAAGATTGAAAATATATACCGGAGTTATTCATCTTTAAGGTGGTATAGTATGCGGGTTTTTAGTTTGAATTGTTGTGTCTCAACTTTCCCTTCTTCCATATATTCAAATGGCGATTTTGAAACCTCTTCATCTCCGTGAGTTTTTCAGAATATGAAGATTTTAATGCACCTAAAAATCGATAATTTTTAGGTTTACAAAGTTAGGCTGGTCTGATTTTGATTTTTTTCTTCCATGAGAAAATAAATATAAAATAGACGAAAAATAATCAGTAAAACTTAAATATTTTCCCATTGAAGAAAAAAATCAAAATCAGACCAGCCTAACTTTGTAAACCTAAAAATTATCGATTTTTATGTGCATTAAAATCTTCATATTGTAAAAAACTCACATAGATGAACAGGTTTCAAAATCGCCATTTGAATATATGGAAGAAGGGAAAGTTGAGACACAACAATTCAAACTAAAAACCCGCATACTATATCACCTTAACAAAATTTAAATAGATTTCAACTCTAATTGTTTTGTTCTAACCTCTTCCGCTGATAGTCCGACCCCACTGGCGACCGCCTTGCTGGTGTAGGTCGCCTCAAAGTTTTCCGCGACGGACAAGGTCGAACAAATATGGACCGCGTTGAATGGACCAAGTTCAACCTGGCAAATCAGTATTCCACATTATTTTCAGCGTTTATTATCTCGAATAAATAACCAGCTATTTTTTTGCAGGCACAAGTTCATGCAAATTTAACTTAGGACTCGATGACTCATCTTCAAAATCAACACAAATGTAAATCAAAAATTTAAATCAAGGATTTAAGTAAATCGTTGCTTTAAAAAATTCTACATTTTTAAGGTTTCAAATTTCTAATTAACAAAATTGTACAGCCAGATTTTAGGAAAACAAATTCCTTCCTCAATAGTTTGTTGGACCTCACAGGAAGACAATTTTTTCTAAAATCTGGCTCTACAATTTTGTTAAGTTAAAAATATAGAATTTTTTTTAAGTACCAGAATTTAACTTTCATTGAATATTAAGGCCGAGTGTTTAATTTAAGTTTTCCATAAGGAAACATGGGGCGGAATGAGACGGGAGAGGATGACTCATACAGGCTCGCCTTAAGGTTAAATAAACCCTTCACGCACAAAAGCAAATGGTGGGATGGACTCGTTTTATATGAAATAGATGTTAAAACCACAGGGTTGTGTAACTCTAATTATTTGTATTTAGTATCTTGTATCTTAGGATTTCGTTCAAATATTTTTTATCTTGTATCTTTGAAAAAAATTATCTTGGCCAACCCTGTAAAACCAACCTCTCGCTCCATGTTGACCTCAGATTCCTCCGTGGTGGTCGTTTTGCTGGGATTTTTCCCTACCAAGGACTGACTCATGTCAATCACGGGACCTCCCGACCCCCTAAAACTCAGCTGCGGGGCAAAGTTTAGTTTGCTAAAGGCTGCTCCGAAACCTTCCGCTCCGCCATATTCAACTTCAAGGGTTTGTTTCCTGCCAGAAATATTTTTAAAAATTGGAAATTTCATGCCATTCCCAGAAATTTATTCTCCTTACAATTTTTTCTTATGGGTGACGGACTGCTTGACAGTGGCGGGAGAATTGTTATTGATGACGTCCAACCCCAAAAATTCTACTTTGTTGGCCCCGTTGTTCGCGTCCATTTTGAACTCGTTCATAGAAATGGTGAACCCGGAGGTGAAAGCTTCCAACGTCATGACATTGGTCGTTCTAGTGACGGCTTGTAAGTTGTCGTTGACGTAGTTAATTCCTAGGAAATTTTATAATTTTTTACGCTTTTAGAATTTTTTGAAAATTTTATTAGTGTTGGCATGAATTCGAACTCGATCGGATCAATGTTTCTTGCGGGTTTTACATAGTGTTTCTCACGGGTTCGGGTCCTTACTTCGGGTTTCGGGTTCGGGTTCGGGTTCGGGTTCTGCTTCGGATACGAAATTTAAGAACCCGAAACTTTCGGGTTCGGGTCCGAAAAATGTCATCTCAAAATTTCGGGTTCGGGTCGGGTTCGGGTACGGCTTAAGAACCCGAAACCCGAATCAAACTTTTTTGGATCGATATCACAAAAAGATATTAGAAAAATTGTTGAATGTGCTTCAGCGGTTGCAATACTGAAGTAAGTAATTCAAATTTCTAGTTGTCTTAAATTCGTTTAATTTCAATAGTTTCCAAAAATGTAAACGATTTAGAAGAGCCTGATTCAATTAGTTTTATGGTGCGAACTATAAAAGAAATCGAATTTTTATCCTAATTTTGCTATGCAATTACCTGAATCATATCTAATTACATAAGTAATAATATTGGAAACGTCAAACTGGAAACAATTATCCAATTTTGGACTGATTTTCAAATTTCTAAAGGTCTCGGAAAGCCACTCTGGTGCAGTTTTTGAAATATTATAAATATTGTTGATTTTTAAGCTTTTAAATAATTTTTAAGTGCAAATTCAGCCCATGCCTTAAAATTAAAAATATTTTCGGTTTTTCGGGTTCGGGTTTCGGATTTGAACCGCCAGTTCGGGTTCGGGTTCGGGTCCCTGCAAACGGGTACGGGTTCTTCGGGTTCGGGTTGGCCTCGGGTTTCGGATCAGTGGTACCGGGTTCGGGTTCGGGTTTCGGATTTGCAGGAACCCGACCCGTGAGAAACACTAGTTTTACATTTCTACATTTCTTGCACTTTCCACGCAAGCAAAGCAAGAAATGTGGGGTGCATGAAATTGAGAGAAAGTGCATGAAACTGGGAGAAACTGCAAGAAATAAGCGCCATCTAGCCACGCGCTGCATGTCGTATTTACCACGGCGGAGCGTAGTTTCTTGCACCTTGGATTTCTCCCAGGTCAAAATATTCCCCTGCAAGAAACCACTTTCGTTCCCCCCTTATTTCTCCCACCACGTGGTTACTTCCACCGGAAACTCCGAATTATAAAATGCTGGTTTCTACTTAGGCGAATTTTTCAAAAATAAATTTTCGAAATTCATGGATTCGGATTCCAATTCATCCCCTAAACTAACTAATTTCCCCTTAAAAATATCTTACTCATCGCCTCATCCACCTTCCCCGCGAGACACATCGGGCTGCAATACCTCCCCACAAAACTGGTCGTGTCAAACTTCACGGTAAATTTGTTAATCGAACCGCCCCACCGGATCGAACAGTTTGACGGGTTTGTTAAAACCTCGAAAGCATTGTTGTTCTCGACCACATTGTTGTAAACGGAAACCGCTTCGTTCGCCGCGGTCAACCTCCCGCCCGTCCACACGTTACCCGGCGATACCCGGAAACGGGCGATGAAACCACTGCCCGATTCGCCCGCGTCGACCGCGTTGGAAGGCGGGTCACTTTCCGACGTCCAGCTGACAAACGTTAATCCGCAGGGGACATCGCCCGCCACAAAAAATGTCGACTGAAGGAGGAGGAGCAAGATAAGGGAAGAGGTTATCATTTGGAAGGAGGTTTTTACACACTTTTTCTTTAAGAAACGTGATCAATTAAGGGGAATGATTTGAGTGAGAGTGAGACAAAAGTGGGGTGAAGTATTCTAAGCGAATGGTTGTCATGATGATAAGGCCAGTTGGTGTCTATCTTATCATGAAAGTGAGTATCAGTAGAGAGAGTATAGAGTTGTACAGTGCATGGGGGAAAGGGGTGGTTAAAATCAGTCTGTGTGTATATTAAAATTGCAGGCAGTGCCTTTTTGCCCCATATAAATGGGTGCCCTTTTGCTAATTGAGGCTTAATGAGACGCAAATCCTGAGACAAAATTAAAGCGAAAGTTAGTCATTGCGTTTTTTATACCCTTGGAAAATATGACAGAATTTGATTAATTTAGGTGACGACGACGAAAAATAATTATGAGAGTATCCATGGAAAGTATCTTAATTCGATTAATTTAAAGTATCGATTAAAGCCAGTACCCTCCAATACAATTTTAAAAACATTAAATACATTCTGTAATTTCTTTAACATGTCATAAACGCAATGTATATGCGCCAAGCAATTGAGTGCAATCGTCAAAGACAAGAAAGCATCAGAAAGGCAAAAAGGCACGCGTCAAAAATCGAGCAAAAACGCAAAAAAGGCACGCGCCAAAAATCGAGCAAAAAAGCATCAAAAAGGCACCCAAAAATGCAAGCGAGAGCTACGTATCTGCGTAATTAGTTTCTACGAAAGCAAATTAACATATTCTTATTTGCCAATTTATGATCAATAAAATGTAATTATTAAAATGATGAAATTTTCGAAATAACAGTTTGAAATTTGGCATTCCTCATGGAACAAACTTTATACAAATCTACCATGAAAATTTGCAAGTAACAATTTGAGCAATTTTTATGTAACAAAAATTTATTTAAAAATTCAAAATAAATTATTCCTCGAATATTTATATGACACATTTGAAAAAAACCGTACCCAAATTTTCAAACAAATTTACATTCGGCATATTTGCAGACATAAGCCCTCACCAACTTTGTTATCTATGGATTTATTTATAAACATTATGCATTTTCGGACACGAGCAATAATGTAATTGCGACGCAGATGTCAATCAATCATCGATACCCACTCCACAAAATTCTGCGAATTTGTCGGCTAATTCGATCAAAGAAGTACTTGACAAGTGTCAATCTCGTTAAAATCGGTGGTTATTGACACTTTAATTAAAAATTGAGTGCCCACTTTGTTCTGACATGACAAGTTTGTAATTGTCGGAGTAGAATCAAAAGCGCCGGCTTCAGAGATTTTTGCAAGCCTGGGTCACCTCTAAATTTACAAAATTTCAAACTACAAATTGTTTATGATTATTAATAAATGAAAATTTCACATAAATGAAAGAAACGCTATCCGAGTTTTCGTTGCCACTAAAATCATTTTAGTTTGATACTATTTTCCTCAAAATGTTTGTACCCTCATTCATTTCCAATACACATTTAAACATTTTTTTTTCATATTTAAGTGATCATTAATGTCAATTAAATCACAATTATTTTTGAAAATTTAATGCGACAAAGATTTAATTGTGACAAATTAAGAGAATTTTGACCAACTCGGCTCCATGTTAACGTGCACACGCAACTTAATCAAGTTTAATTAATTTGTCGGCAAATTCGATTAATCAGAGATATTGGACAGGTGTCAAATCGGTGGTTATTGACACTTTAATTGCAAATTGACGCTTATTTTGTGCCCACTTTGTTGTGACACTTTGCAATTGTCAGAGTGGAATCAAAGGTGCCGAATTCCGAGAATTTTTTGAGTATGGGTCACCTCGACCTCTGTTCTTCAGTATTACGTGTTATAAATATACATTGAGCGTGTTGCCCTTGATCAGTCCACAGGATGGACGTGGAACATGTTTTTTTCTTTACATAACATGCAAAGCTGAAGTGCATAACTTGTTGTGGAAGTACTTGACAAAGTTAAGCGTCACAAGTGTCATTCGATGGGTGACAATTTTTAATTAAATCCTGGCTCAGGTGACATGATCGACTTGACCCTTACATTCCTCACGCAATCCGTTCCAGAGAGAAAAAAGTCCAAATTAGTGCAGGTTTGATGGAATTCCGCAGCATTCATTTTGCAATGTCATCCTGCACCATGCAGTGATTAACTAATGATCAGTAATGCCACGAATATTTTTGTATTTCTTAAAATTAATTAGTCATTCGTCTTGTCCTCACTCGAACAATATGCTAAATACCGACTGGAACATGCTTCTTGAATCAAGAAGCATGTTATCCATCAAGAATCTTGATGGATAACTCATCCTTGAAAAATCTAGGCTTGCATGGACGAAAAATACTTGTATGATTTTTTATTTTCATTTATGTAAATCATGAAGAACTCTTTATTGCTAAATTTAAGTAAAATTGATCTATTTAGCATGGTAGTATGTACATCTTCGGGTATTCATCCATCCATACGGTTCCTACCCCAGTGGTGGGGGGATTTAAGATAAATTGATTTCTTGCCCCAGTCGGCATTCACAGTGTGACCCTTTGGGGCTAAATAAGATGTTCGAGCATCTTATTTAAAACAATGCCCTAAAATTAAGCAAAGTTGTCCACCTTAAGCATCACATTCTTCAAAACAATGTGCATAAACGGTTTCTAATACATACATGCCAAATTTCAAGCTGGACGACTTCGACGCGAATGAAGACAAATGACGAATTTGATGCGGAACAGAGTTTTGATTTCATGCTCGACTTTTACTCAACCGTTTGATTGACTCGTCTCCTTTTTGGAGAATAACTCCAAAAACTAATCGCAATTTCCGACAGAGTTTTGCACAGTCTTTATTATTTGCATATGTAGTCACTAGTTCGTGTCTGGAGTCGTCCAGCTTTAAAAAATTTCACATGTATTAGAAACCGTTTATGCACAATGTTTTGATGAGTGCGATGCGTAAGGTGGACGACCTTGATGAATTTTAGGGAATCGTTTTGAAGAAGATGATCGAGCATGTTAATTAGCTACAGTTCGAATGCCGATTGGGACCAGAAATCAATTTATCTTAAATCCCCCCTGGGGTAGGAACCGTAGGTGGGGTGGATGAATACCGGAAGGTGTACATACTATTATGTGAAATAGATAAGTTTTACATAAATTTAGTAATAAAAAGTTCATCACTTAAATAAATGAAAAATCATGCAAGTATTTCTTGGTCCATGCAAGCTTGGATTTTTTTCAAGAATGAGTTAACCATCAAAAAGCATGCTCCAGTCGACATTTAGCATATTATTTAAGACGATTAACAAATTCCAAGAATCGTAAAAATATTCCTGGCATAAATGATCATCATTTAATCACCGGTGCAAAATGACATTGCAAAATTAGTGCTGCAATATTCCATCCAACCTGCACTAATTTTAGACTATTTCTCCCTGGAACGGATTGCGTGAGGAATGTGAGGGTCAAGTCGATCATGTCACCTGAGCCAGGATTTAATTAAAAATTGTCACCCATCGAATGACACTTGTGACGCTTAATTTTGTCAAGTACTTCCACAACAAGTTATGCACTTCAACTTTGCATGTTGTGTAAAAGAATAAAAAACTAGCAAGTTCATCCACGCGATCTGAGTGGACTGCATGGTCAAGGGCAACACGCTCAATGTATATTTTTAACACGTAATACTGAAGAACAGAGGTCGAGGTGACCCATACTCGAAAAATTCTCGGAATTCGGCACCTTTGATTCCACTCTGACAATTGCAAAGTTGTCATGTCACAACAAAGTGGGGACAAAATAAGCGTCAATTTTTAATTAAGGTGTGAATAACCACCGATTTGACACCTGTCAAATATCTTTGTGATTAATTGAATTTGCCGACAAATTTATGGAATGATTAGCACCCTTGTGCATTGACCGGAATTGGTCATAACATTCTCTTAATTTCCCATAATTGAACCCTTGTCGAATTCAATTTTTGAAAATAATTGCGATTTAATTGAAATTAATGATCATTTAAATATGAAAAAAAGTTTAACTGCTTGTTGGAAATGAATGAGCGTGCAAACATTTTGAGTAAAGGTGATTTTAGTTGTAACGAAAACTCTAATATCTTTCCATTCATTTATGAGTAATTTTTGGTTTGAAATTTTGTAAAATTTGGAAATTTGGAAAATGAATGTCACATGATCCCGATTACTTTTAGAATGATGTGGAAATTGATAATGAGAAAATATTCTGAATTACGATATGCTTAGCAAAGTCTCAACATTATGAACATGTTCCAAATAAAATGTCTTAGAACCAGTGTATTATTCACAAAAATTTCGAAATAGTATCAGAAATTTGAGACCCATGCTGAGAAAGATTATGTGCAATGAAATAAATATAAAATTTAAAAAAATAGGATCAAATTTTGGAAATATTTTGATACATTGGCTGGTGTATTTCGCCCATTTCAAAATGTAAATTTAGATGAAGTTAGATCATGCATTTGTAAATTTAGAGGTGACCCATACCATACTTGAAAAATGCTCTGAAGAGTTCCTGGAAAATTTGTGTATACAATTTTGCATGTTATGTAAAAAAAAAAAAAAACATGTTACAAGTTCATCCATGCAATCTGCGTGGACTGGTCAAGGGCAAGGCGCTAAATGTATATTTTTAATAAGTAATACTGAAGAACTGAGGTCGAGGTGACCCACTTGGAGAATTCGGCGCCTTTGATTCCACTCTGACAAGTGCAAAGTTGTCATGTCACATCAAAGTGGGCACTCCATTTTTAATTAGCGTGTCAACAACCACCGATTTGAAGGAGATTGACACCTGTCTAATATTTCTCTGATTGATCGAATTTGCCGACAAATTCGCAGAATCTTGTGGAGTGGGTGCCCGTGATTGATTGACATCTGCGTCGCAATTACGTAATTGCTCGTGCCCGAAAATGCATAATGTTTATAAATAAATCCATAGATAGCAAAGATGGTGAGGACTTATGCATGTATGCAAATATGTATCAAGTGGCGAATGTAAATTTGTTTGCAAATTTTGGTGCGTGCGGTTTTTCTAAAAATCCAGAAATAATTTTTTTTGGTCTATCCAATATTTCAAATTTGTTTGCAAATTTGGGTAGTCTTTTTTTAATTGCTCAAATACTAATAATTTTTTTTTTTACAAATTTCACTATTACATTTTTATGAAGTGGGTTCTGCAAAAATTGCTTAAATGGTTGCAAATATATTTTTATTTTTATTTTTATGAAGCTTGTTCCATAAAAAATGGCAAATTTCCAACTTTTATTTCCGAAATTTCATCATTTTAACAATTACGTTTGATTTATCATAACTTGCCAAATAAAAATATGCTAATTCACTTTCGTATTCACATTTCTGTTTTACGAGCACCCCGCCCTGAGTCCGTCCGTAGCTCGGAAATCCAAATTTTTATGTTAGAATTGTATGAAGTGTGTTCCATGAAAGTTGTCAAATTTCAAACGTTTATTTTGAAAATTTCTTCATTTTAAGAATTACATTTTATTCATCATAAATTGCCAAATAACGATATCTTAATTTGCATCGCATTCACGTTTCTGTTTTACTAGCATCCCGCCCTAAATCCGTCCGTAGCTCGGAAATCCGTTGAAAATGCGACGGATCCCTTAAACTTTCCTCGAACCGGGGTTAGGACAATGTTTTGATCCGTTAAACTGATGTCGAGCCCTTCTTCCTGCAATATTACGAAGAGAGCCCTTGGCGTGACTCCCTTGGCGGAATAGACGCCTCTCGCCACATAGTTGACTTCCACCTGCTCCTGAACGTTTATCGTGGAACAGACCGTAATCCAGGAGTTGGGCGGGATGACGATCGTCTAGGAAATGCAAATTTTATTGTGAAAATTTGTTAAACTTTAGGCCTATTTTGTTCAATGGGCGTACTCACGACCATACCATACCTGTTCACCTTCATTCATTTGACTGACTGATTATGATAGTAAATATAAATGAATGAATCTCCTGTGATTTGAATGAAAATGAGTGAAGGATTCCGTCATTTCAGATGAATGACTGTGAATGAAAGGATTTCTCACTCATATAATTTTTCAACATATGAACCGAAATAATAAATGAAGTGCGATGAAGTGAAGGGAATTGGATTTGAACGAAAATTACTGAATGTGAATGAAAATCTTCAGTATGAAATTGGGATGACTGACTTTTGAATGAAAACTAAATTTTTGAACAGGTACATATGTTATAGTGTGTAAAATAGGAATTTTCGAACATTTATCTCATCGTTTTACACTCAAAATTTGCAAATTCTGTTGCGATGTATGTACATGAGATGAGGTTGTTGATTTTGCAAAAAATTTTGCAAATTCATATGCTAAACTTTTGCAAACAAATTATTTAAATACCTTATTAATCGTAAGTGTGGTTTCTGTAATTTCAATTTTTTCCACCTCGATCCCTTCCGTGAATGATTGTTCGATTTTGACGGTTGTTTTTGATCCCAAAAAGCTCGGAAACCCGACACTTTTTGAAGCCGAGGCTGTATACTTGCTGACCTTGAAGTCACTACTGATCGGAAATTGAAAAGTTTCCGTAACTTTTCGAGAATGCGACACCCTTTGGGTGACATGGGCATTCGCATCATTTCTGAAATGTTCTACGGACACGGAATTTACGACTGGGGCAGAGTTATCCGGAGGGTCAAAGACGAATTCATCCATGTCGAGGTGCAGACCTGTAGTGGGTTAAGGTGCTATTGGATGATGGGTGTCATAAATTCATAATCTCATTCCACCCAAATTCAGCATTTTTGCATAAATGCAAATTTTTTCAAATTGCATTAATTTCATGCGTTTTGAGGTAAATGCAAATTTTTATTAAGTTAATTTTTGCAATTCGCTACCAAACGATGAACTTGAGAATTAATTAGCGAATTAATTGTTGATGAAATTTATTTTGAAAATGTGGCAAATTAATTAGGATTTTTGTTTCAACTGGATAGTTTTTTAGCAACAAAATTAACTCTACGTTGAGCAGAATTCATGTGAAAACTCAAAATTGATGCAATTTTAAAAGTTTGCATTTAATTAGGGGTAGCGTATAGCCACGTGACTGTCATAAATGTCGTGTCGTATTTATTGACCAACTATCTGCCATATATGTCAAGGTTTAAAAATATAAAATATCTCGCAAATATGGCATTTATGACACGACGAATTGGGGTAAGATGAAACATCTATGACATATAAACTCGTCACCCTGTAGCACCTTAAGGTATTAAAAGTTTATCCCAGATTGGAAAATTGAGACATTTTTCACCACATGACATTTATGATATGACAAATTGGGGTAAGATGAAACATCTACAAACTCGTCACCCTATGACACCTTAAGGTAGTCTATTGACAAAATCGAGACATTTCTCACCTCCCGTCGAGCTGCTGAGTATCTGATAATTTCTGAACGTTGTAACCTCATTATCCACGACAATTTCAATCGAATCGTTATTCTTGAGTTCTCCCGGGTACCACAAGTCCGATTTGGCGGGTGCTCGGGCCACAAACGTGGGCACGTCGGGGTCCACTCGAACATCCAACCCGGACGCGGACGGGGACCATTTCACTTCGCAAGAATTCGGGTTATCCAACACCTCAAAGGTCGTAATGTCTCGAACGATGATGGGTTTGCAGGAAGAATCGGAATCTCGGTAGAAAAATTCGGCCACGTTTTCCTCCCTGTTGTACCAGCCCAGGATGGTTCTGGAATTCATGAATTATGTATGTTAGAAACAAAGAGCGGATATATATTTATGAAAAAAATCGTCAAAGTATTTAAGGAATAATATGAAACCAAACCTATTAAAATAAGAATTTTCAAATAAGTTCTATTTTGAAAATACTCTGGATTTTTTGAAGGTCGAATTTCTTCCAGCAAAATACAATTTCGGTTAATATTTACTAAATATATAAAAACACTTAAATCATTTAAAAATGTTTTCATTCCATAAAGCATTTGTACATATATTTGAAAATCCGAAAATATGTAGCAATAGGTAAAAAACGATACGTATTTTCGAAATATTTACAAACATTAAGACATAAATTTTTTGTCAAAATTCGTATTTCTAGATAGTGGATTTTTTTGAGCAAAAGGATTTCGCGTCGTTGAAATATTAACAAAAATGTATTTTACATACATTTTTCTGTATTTTTTAATTATGTAAAAGATGTACATATTTTTTAAATAATAGCAGAAATATTTCTAAGAGAAAATCTAGAAATATATATTTCAAAATATGAAATGAAATTGAAATTTTTCTGATCTATCAAAATTAACGAACCCACCCACAAATTTTGTCCCGGGGTCGTTATCAAATGAAAACTTGAAAATAAATACATATCCACCCTCTGATTATAAAGTATAAAAACCATTTCAGATAAATCTACTACCGTTTTTCGTAATCGTGAAGGTACGCCCGTGCCACGTAAATTTTGCCGGAATGCGACGCAATTGCCGTGCTGGGAGGGAAGTCGCCGGTTGAAGCTTCCACCCATCGGAGGGAACACGGCAGCCGATTTTCGAACCCGGCCGTAAGCCAGGCAAAATTTAAAATCAGGTTTACGAAAAAGGTAAAAAGTAGGATAAGTTTCGCCATTTTCAAGTATGATTCTCTACTCTTGGAGTTTCATGCATTAAAACAAGTTCAGTTTGTTGTGCATGAGATTTACTTATGATAATAAAAAGTATGGAATTGATTAGCCAGCAACTTGACCAGGGCAGCATTGAAATTCTGCGAGATACAGAAGGTTGACAGAAGTATTAGTTCATTTTAGCGGCATTAATTTATGCAAAATATATTTATGTTAATTAAAACGGCATACATGTATATTCTACAAAAGAATGTATTTTTGAAAAATGTATCTAGGCCCCCCCTCCCCCTTTAACATGTTTCACAAATCACTACGATAATGCCCGATATCATTCAAGCCTTAGACCCACCCCCGTCCCCTCTCTCGCGTTACATAATTTTAGGTTTTTTTGAGAAACAGGTTTGTTTCGTTTTTTTAATCATAACAGAAAAATGATTGTTTACATTTTTAATTAAACAAATCGTAACCAGTCTAATCGACTGAATGCGACTAACACTTCGATACGGGTGAATTGAAATTGAAAACAAGATACAATTGTAATAATTTTTAAACAAAAATTTATTTAAAATAAAAAAAAAACTATAAAATGAAGGCTATGGGTTCCATTGGAATTTTTGAAAGCTTTGCAATGTTTTTTATAAAAAATACACCGATGTAAAAAAATGCAAATAAGTATGCACGCTATTATCATAGGTCCATAGCCTTCCATGTCTTGCTTACGAGAAGTAAGAAAAACCAGTGTAAAAATGTTTTATGGATGGTGATACGTTACGTGCGCACCGTAATGTGTGTAGATGTTTGTGTTTTTATCAATACGCATTAAAAAAGTACCGAATACTTCTGACAACCAGGTGTATGTAGGAATTTCATCCAACTTATCAAACCAATTACACTGAACACCTTTCTATTTACGGGTTCCAATTGATTTGATTGAGATCATTCACTCGTGAAGAATCGTTCCACATAATTTACAAAAAAACTCATAAAAATGAGGAATATTTCGTACCTCGCCCTCACCCTTCTGTATCTCCAAGTCCCCACAACATTCAGTGCGATACCCTGCCCCTTAATTTGGCAGGGACACTTCGGCTCCGAAAAAATGCCGGAAAATCCCATCGGACCGATTGCCGGGGCCCCGGACACGGCTCAGTTTGCCTCCCGGGTTTGGAACGCGGAATACCACGGGGGGTGGATGCAAAAATCGGTGTCGTACTATCCCCTCGACGCGACCAGAGCAGCCTCGTCCGGAGATTATGAACTGCTCACCAATCCAAACGAGTGTTTGATCAAGTGGGTCGATAATTCCGAGCAGGCGCCAGAAGACGCGGATAAGTTGACGCCGATTGACGCCACGGGAAGCAAAGTCGTGGGGAGAGCGTTGATCGGAAATTCTATCCATTTTGGCGAAGTGGTTGGCGGTGTTTTGCTCGTGTCCACGGGTGGTACGAGTACGACACGGTTGACAAGGTAGGAAAGATAAGTGGGTGGGGGAGGAGTGAAAGGTTTGTTCCTTAGAATGGAGGTGTCCCAGCGTACCCGATCCGATTTTGGGCAAATTAGTGTGAATCGATGACAAATTTGATTAGTATGGAATTTGCGAAGACCCGATCTCCGAATGGGCACGTTTGGCAGAGAGATGTTTACATCCAAAGAGGAGAAAACGCGCAGTAAAGGTGACAAATGTTACAATTTCCAAATTTCCTAAGCGTTTTTCTCCTCTCCGGATGCAAATATCTCGGCCAAACGTGCCCATTAGGGGGTCGTGCCTTTCGAAAATTTCAACCTAATCAAATTTGCCATCGATTGAAACTAATTTGTCAAAAACCAGAGAGCAAACGCTGTGAGATCTCCATACTAAATTTGAACCATCAAACGAGGATAAAGCGCACCCCAAAGTTGACAAATTTACACTTTCCATATGTATTTACTGGGCGTTTTTTCCTCTCTACATGCAAATATTTTTGCAAAATGCGCCCATTGACAGAGTTTTAAATTTTACAAATGACAAGTTACAAAATTTAATCAAGTTTACTAACGTTCCCCCATCCTAAATTTCCTAAAAAAACTTACAAAAATTCCCCTCCCCCACAGATACCAACTCCTCCACAGCTACTCGAGCGGGCTTCACCTCGAGCTGAAACATTTCACCCTGCTAAACGACGCCGTCACTGGTCGGATCGATGTCCTCGGACAGGACGAGATTTACAACCTGAGCGACCACGCCGAACTCCGGCAGTGGATCCGCGTCGCTAAAAAGGTCACCGAGGAGACCACCATCGCCCAGGAAAGGTACAGCCGAAGCCTGACCACGCTCAGGGTCACCTTGGACTTCAGCGTCTCCATCGGCTTGGGGGACGTATTGCCAAGCATTGACGTCCCGATTGGTGGGGTGGGATTCATGGTTGGATGGGAAGAGGGGGAATATAAGAATCAAACTGTTACGCATGGGTCAGAGCGGGAATTAGATTTATTAAGGGAGGTAAGTAATAAGGGAGGTTTTCCAGCGTATGCTCTCAAATTTTTGGCAAATTAGTTTCAATCGATAACAAATTTGATTAGTATGCAATTTGCGAGAGACCCGATCTCCCAAAGGGCACGTTTCGCCTAGATATTTGCATCCCAAGAGGAGAAAAACGCTCCGGAAAGTCGACAAATCTTATACTTTCCAAATTTACTGCGAGTTTTCTCCTCTTCGGATGCAAATATCTCGGTCAAACGTGCCCATTGAGAGATCGTGCCTTTCCCAAATTTCATGCTGCTTAAATTTGTTATCGATTCACACTAATTTGCCAAAAATCGGAGCGCACCCGCTGGCAGACCTCCATTGTGAGTTTGTCTCAATTTCTTTAAAGCAAATTCTGACTATAGGTGATCGTTCCACCCGCCACTAGCGTCCTTGCGACCTCCCAAATCGTAATGATTGACAATTTTCAATCCGATTACGAAGCGATTGGTGAATACTCCGCGCCGGGTTTGACATCCTCTCAAATTGCGCGGATTTTACTGCTTGACGGCATAACCGGAGAGGAAGATCGCGTCCTGAACACCGTCACTGCCCAAGTTCGTGGCACCATTGGCGGCACGTTGGCGACATTTAATGAGTTTAATATTAAACAAATTTTCTAAAATGAAAAGCTGCGTGATAAATAAATACAGTATTTCAAGCAGTTTCAATTTATTAACTAGTTTTATTTTCGAATAATATGATACGAAATTTTATTAAAAATGTGTCGAAACCGGGCATAATCCGGTTAAAAACATTTAGCGATGACTCAAAATCCACACATTTTTAATCATTTCTCTTCTCAGGGAATTTATTTTAAAATTCTGGATGACAAATTTGTAGATCAGGTTATCGCCAATTTTTTAAAAATATTCACTCCAGATTTTGACACTTTTTGAAGGAGATCTCAAGTTGAAGAAACCTTTAGAAAAATTGAAACTCATAGAAACTCGCTCAAAAAACTCAACGCCATTCCATCAATCACCTCACCGACTACAAATTTGCACTCCAGAATTTTAAAATAAATTCCCACCGGCGAAAAATGATTAACAATTTGGCAATTTTAACAATTTTGGTGGTCACAAATTTTATTTAAGGATTAAACAATACACATATTTGACAGGATTATGCATGCATTTCATTCCAAATTATTCAAAACCACACGGAACACCGCCATCCTCGTACGGCTTGGCGAAAAATCTCGTCGTGACGAACATGTCGGCATCGATGTCCCCTCCGTTCTCGATGACGACCGTGTTTCCTACGATGCGTCCCCCCGTGATGCCATCTTCTTCGAGGTGCGCCCTCACGTCCTGCCCAGTCAGCCCGGGGGCGCTGTAGACGTCTTCGGAGGAGTACTCCGCTCGAAAGTCCTTCACCTTGATGACAATGGAACACGCTTGCACGACGCTATGGGGCTCCACCGTGATTTCACGCCCCACAGAAATCTCCTTCGTTACCGCTTTGTGCATCGTGTTACTTTTGAATCCACCTGGATAAAAGAGCCCAGAATAAAATTTGAATTTCCACTTTTCTGCAGAAATTTGGCACAGAAATTATGCAGAAATTTGACCCAATTTTTTGCAGAAAAGCGTTATGCAGAGCGATTTCTGCGATCCAGTAATTCCAGGGTCGGAATATCATGTGCTGAACTACTACCATACTTGTTCACTTTCATTCATTTGACTGATTATGACAGTGAATGAAAATGAAACTACCGTCATTTGAATAAAAATGATTGAAAGATTCCTTCATTTCAGATGAATGACTGTGAATGAAGGATTTCTCACTCGATTCATGTTTCACCCTATGCTTAATACATTGGGCGAAGTAAGAAATGAAGTCAGATGAAGTGAAATGTAATGAATGTGAATGAAATCTTTAGTCAGATGACTGACTTTTGAATGAAACCTAAATTTTTTGACAAGTATGTATGGCAGAACTCGCCTATAAATGTTTTTTTTGTAAAATTTTAGTCACATGTGTAACTCCCAATTCTTTCAATAAACCCGCCTAGTTCAAATAAATACTAATGATCCCACAACTATTAATGGGCGTTACCTTCATCATTTTCGTCATTAATATCCAGTCCAACGTCTATATTTAGTCCGATTGGGCCCGCGATAGGGATCGGGATGCTGAGCTTGGCCTGAAGGCTGAATCTACTCCCGGAATACCAAGATGACCACGTTTTGACGGTAACACTCTCATAAGAGCGCGTCTTATGTTCGATGGTTTGCTTGACCACTGCAGGAGAAAAGTTGAGGATATCTTCCATCCCGATAAGCTGATAGGTCGGGACGATCGGGGGATATGTCAACTTCATCTTTCCAACGCTTAACCGGAGTCCGGGTAGAAATGAGGTGAGGTACTGAGGAGTGAATTATTTTATGCGCCAAATTAATTTTTATCGCCCAACCAAAATTTATTTTCCTCCAAGCAAAAGCAATAATTTTCGCAATATTTTGAAATTTATTTTTTTAATCCAACCAAGATGTAAAATAATACAACTAAATAAATATCAATAATACAAAAGGTTTGCTCTTAAATTGTGAAATTTCTTGTGTTGTTTTTAATATTTTTACTTCCTGAAGCTAATTATTCTTCTAGATATTTAAATATTAAATTATCTGCTTGTATTATTTTATATTTTGGTTGGATTAAAAAATTGATTCGTTGCAAATTTTGAATTTGCAAAAATTGTAGCTTTTGATTGGGCGGTTATACTGGCACCCTTATTTTAGGTCATAATTTGGCAAACTATCTATTTTCCTCATTTATACTACCAAAAAATGCAATTTATCCCCACTCAAATTTCGCCTAAGTAATACTCACCTGAAAGTCCACCTCCATCCGGACCACTTCCAACCCCTCCGTTACAATGACCCCCATCTCTTCCTCCTCGACAAAACCCGCGATCAACTTCCCCCCGTGACTCGCCCGAGCCACCGAAAGGTCCCCAACTTTCACCCCGAACGCTTTATCTGGCTCGATTTCCCAAGCCAACGAGCACGAGTGGGGGTTTGCCAAGAGTTCGAACGACGTCAATGCCACGCCCCCCGTTCCGTTCGGGAATAAACCGTATTGCAGACTGGTCGGGAAGTTCCCGACGACCAGACGGCCCCCAACCGAGGCGCGGACGACGTAATTGTCCGGGTGCAGGATGGACGTCGCGACGGCAGTGGGGAGACTACTGACGCCCGTGACCCGTAACCATGTCAGGGGGCAGGGAATCTTCTTCGCGTCCCCGGAGGAATGGGACGCCACGAGTAACAAGGCGGTTATCAGGTAGCGCATGATTTAGAAAATGATGGACTAGCTTTTTTACTGTGTTCTGTACTAATTGGGAATTAATAACGAAATACGTGCGTATCATGAATGATAGACCTCTCGATCCATTTGGAGATGAGTAAGATTAGATATGGACAGTGGCCGCGGAAGCCGTGGGGACATGTGGGGACATTGACATTGTAGGATATTAGGGGGGAAGGGCCGGGTTTATAATATAAGATGGGGAGATGATTACGTGGACATCGAACAATCGTGGGGACAATGTCCCCTCAAGCTTCCGCGGCCACTGGATATGGATGGATGGATATGAAGAGTAATTACGAATTAACGTGCATATTATACCCTTGGAGGCAAGATTAGACGAAATAAATTTTCTTTGTTGAATCATTTTAAGCAAAAATTTGTTACGACGAGATATCATGTTTTGTAATTTATTCTGGAAATATTAGTTGGATTTGTATGCTAAAAAGTTAGTTACGACAGGTTTTTAGCGACAAAGTTTAATTTATTCGGTAAATAATTGCATATTTTTCCCTCATTCATGCAGTAATTCTTTGACTTTGCGTTTTAAGGTGTCAATTTCCTCCTTGCTGGCACGCCCGGAACGTCGCATTTTGTTCAATTCGTTGATTGATTTCTGAATTGTGTCACAACCTTCGGGAATGTTTGGGGAATCTTTTGCGAAAACGACAAGTTTTGTCCGCATGGGTGACTCAACTGTAATAAATATTTAGAGTTAGAAGGATCATAATCACCTGCTTTAGTGGCGGTCTCCCAGCGTATGCGATCCGATTTTGAGCAAATTAGTGTCAATTGATGACAAATTTGATTAGTATGAAATTTGCGAAAGACGCGATCTCCCAATGGGCACGTTTGGCCCAGATATTTGCATCCGAAGAGGAGAAAATGCACCTTAAATTCGACAAATTTGTATACTTTTCAAATTGACTACGCGTTTTCTCCTCTTTAGATGCAAATATTTCCGTCAAACGTACCCATTTATCTTTTGCAAATTTCATGTTAATCAAATTTGTGCTTGATTGATACTAGTTTTACCAAGATATTTGCATCCGAAGAGGAGAAAAAGCGCAGTAAATTTGGAAGGAGTAAAATTTGTCGACTTTAAGGTGCGTTTTCTCCTCTTCGGATGCAAATATCTCGGCCAAACGTGCCCATTGGGAGATCGCGTCTTTCGCAAATTGCATACTATCAAATTTGTGGCATCAAATTTGTGGTCAAAATATATTTCCAGTTTGAAATTCACTTACTGGAAAAATTCCCAGAAATATTGACAAAGATGTGGGTCCCGTTTCTTCCCCGAATCTCGGAAACGTCGTACCCCTCAGCTCTAAGGATGCCTTCCACGTAGGTCGAACTTCTCCCCTTGATGCCGTAAACACCTTCTCCCGTGTACGGCATGTCGAGCGACTTTGCGGAGAAGAGGACCGAGCAGGCGTGCACCGAAGTCAACGGCGGGACAATAATTGTCCTCGACGACTTGACCGTTTCCTCCTTCTCGTTGACGATGTTGCTCATACGGCCGGACGCGATATCGTGTCTGTTCTGCCATTCCGCATTTATCTCGAGGGGTCCTGTTCATTTGGAAAAAAATTAGTTTAAGGTGCTGCTGGATGCCATTAAGTTTCATCTCACACTACCCCGTCTTAAGGCTACTGTGGATGACGCGTTGACGCGTTAATCTCACTTTAACCCTATCCAATTTCTAAACTTGAATCAATTCCATGAATTTTTAGATAAATGAAACTTTTGATATTTTAATCTAAAGCTAATTTTTGGTAGTATAAATAAGTCGATTTGGAAAAAAATAGCAAATTCGTTTCTCATTTTTTCACTGTAAATTTTCTCAAAAATGAATGAATTAATTTTAAAAAAATCAAATAATTAATCTGAAATGAATGAATTAAAAATGAATGAAGTTAATTCTTTTAATCGACTTGTTTGTCAAAAATTATCTTTAAATTAAAATATTAAGAGTTCCATTTATCTCAAAACTCATGGAATTGATTCATTTTTAGAAATTTTTAAATAGAAACATGAACAAAGGTTGAGTGAGACTAAAATCTCTATGACGAAGATATGCACCCGTAAGACAAGCAAAACAAATTATAGGATTGACTAATCACCTAAGCTCACACCGATGCTGAATGTGGTGACGGTGGATTGTGCGAAAGATCGCGATTCTGAAATCTCATGCCGAATTATGACGGTCTTCTCATGGGAGACGATATGTTCGAGAACGGCAGGGCTTTGGTTTTCAATCTGCATATAAATCGCCAATTATACACGTGACACCCATACCTGTTCACTTTCATTCATTTGAGTGATTATGATGGTGAGTGATAGTGAATGAAAATGAATTTCCTGTGATTTGAATGAAAATGACTGAAGGATTTCATCATTTCAGATGAATGACTGTGAATGAAAGATTTCTCACTCATTTCATTTTTCACCCTATGCTTAATACATGGGACGAAGGAAGAAATGAAGTCAGATGAAGTGAAGTGAAATGAATTTGAACGAAAATAACTGAATGTGAATGAAAATCTTCAGTCAGAAATTGGGACGACTGACTTTTGAATGAAAACTGAATTTTTGAACAGGTATGGTGACACCATGGTTTGAACTGTGATAATTACACTTTGTGATTTAGGTGTGATTTGTGTAATTTTTTAATATCCAGTGATTTGTGTGATATTACTGCGGGGAAAGTGAAACTAGTTAAAAATACATATATTCTAGGAGGAAACTAAATTGGGATTTAGATTCACGAAATTTTGTGCATTAGTCTATTCTACTTGTGCCGATTATGAGAAAGTTGCATTTTGCATATGAATCATACATATGATCATACAGTATGATCATCATGTTAAGGTTCCCATGGATGACGCGTTGGCGCGCAATCTCACTCTGCCCCTACCCAATGTATTCAAATGCAATTTCTAAATCGAATCAACTCCATAAGTTTTGAGATAAATGCAACTTTTGATATTTTAATCTAAAGCTATTTTTGGTACTACAAACAAGTCGATTTGAAAAAAAATTAGAAAATTCGTTTGCCAATTTTTCACAATAAATTTCTTCGAAAATGAATTTTTTAATTTTTTTCAAATCGACTTGTTTGTTTGTAGTACCAAAAATTAGCTTTAGATTAAAATATCAAAAGTTGCATTTATCTCAAAACTCATGGAGTTGATTCGATTTTAGAAATTTCATTTGAATACATTGGATAGGGGCAGAGTGAGATTACGCGCCGACGCGTCATCCATGGGAACCTTAAGGATGAAAGTTTCTCAAAAAACGGTTTGCATGTATATGAAAATGGGCAGAATCTGAACGTAAAGCTTGTCTAAATCTATTCGCGAATTAAAAAAAACTCCTAACAATCACCTTTTTCACAGAAATCGCATAAAATCAGGCATGATTTTCCAAACCCTGCTGGAAATTTGGATACTGTATAATATATATTTTTTTACCAAATCCGTTCCCATAAAATCTGGAATCTCTTCCTCCAGTTTATCCACAAATTTCAAATTTTTCACCGTCAGTCTCAAATTCTCGGTTGATTTGAGGGCCTCGCACGCCAAAAAGTCTGTCTTAGCTTGATCCGTTTCAGGGTCGACGGCATGGAAGAAATTTATGTCTCCGGTGACCAAAGTGCCAGCTACGATCTTGCCCCCTGATTTCCGCATGGCCACGTATCTGTTAGATTCAAGGTGGAGGGCAAACCTAAACGGAAAAAATTACAATTAGTTTAGTTAATTTAATAATTAATGCAGGACTCGATGACTTATCGGCACATTTTTAAGCATTTCTTCTCCGCTCTGGGAATTTATTTTAAAATTCTGGACGAAAAATTTGTACTTAGGGAGTTGATTAATGGAATGGGGATAAGTTTTTTTTAGCCAGTTTCGATGATTTCTAATGTTTCTGAAGACTTCTTAAACTTGAGATCTCCTCCTTCAAAAAGTGTCAAAATCTGGAGTGTACATTTCCAAGAAATTTACAACTCCCTGCTCTACAAATTTATCGTCCACAATTTTATAATAAATTCCCACAACCGACAAATAATTAAAAATGTATTCATTATAAAGATTTGATAATGAGTTTTCGAGTCCCACGTTAAATTAGTAATTAATCAATTATTCTTACAATGGAGGTCTCCCAACGTATGCTCACAGAGTTGGACCAAACTAGTGTCAATCGATCACAAATATAATTAGTATGAAATTTGCAAATGGAACTATCTGCCAATTCGCAGGTTTGGCGGAGATATTTGCATAAAAAGAGGAGAAAACGCACCAAAAGGCTGGCATATTTTTCATTTTCCAAATTTCCTGCGCATTTTTCTCCTCTTTTTATACAAATATCTTCGCCAAACCTGCGCATTGGCAGATAGTTCCATTTGCAAATTTCATACTAATTATATTTGTGATCGATTGACGCTAGTTTCGTCCAAATCTGTGAGCATACGTTGGGAGACCTCCATTGTTAGTTATTAATTAATTGTTACTGGTAATTACTCTGGTTCTTCAATCTCTCCAAAGGCATCCATCCACCCGATCGCACAATCGTTCGGGTTGACCAGCAAGTCGAAACTTTTCAGGGTGACTTTCCCCCAGGCCAAGGGGTGCACGAAGGAGGCCTCTTTCGTGTCGTTGTTCGCCGTCCCGGCGGCGTACTTGCGCCCAAAGATGAATCCAAAGAGGTGCGTCATTCTCGCCACGAAGAGGGGGCCGTCCAGCTGCACCGCGTCGGGGGGGAACTCTTCCCCGGCGATGTACGGCTTCCAAGAAAGTTGACATTGGGACAGCTTCGTCTGCGCGGAGGAGGACCTTATCTGCAGATAAGTTAGGGTAAGGATGATCCAAGCCAATTTGAAGGAAGGCATATTGGCGTAAATAAGTGGGGGTAATTTTATGATAAGTGAATACTGGACGGTGCAAATTCTGGACAAGGAATGAATCCGAGGTGACGGAGAGAGTTGGAATTGCTGATCAAGTGGTTACATATTATCGGAAAGTGTGTAGATAAGTGATTCGTGGTGGAATGGGAAGTTTTATACATATCATAGTTTTATTTTCGTGTAAAATTGTAATATTTTCATAATTTTGGGCGCATATTATGCCTAAAATTTAACGAATTTTAATATGTAGTATGCACTATGTATATAAATTTATGTACATCTTCCCGTAATCAAGATGACACATATATTTGCCAATTAAGAAATTTACTATGCATGTCGTATATGAACATATTTGTGTATATGTACACGCAGACATGCATTACATACATATGTACATATGTATGTAGGTACCTGTGTATTAACGAGATTTTGATTTTCGAATTTTTTGCATAACACTTAAACATTCAGGGTGGGTAATGTAATGTTTTCATGCAAAAATTAACCCCAGACGAGAAATTAACAGGTATAATTTCCTGTAGGTTTTTATCCAGTTTATAAATACATATGTACACAATTACAAATGTGGTGAAGTTGCGTACGTATGCACTCCGTGCTGGTATAGATTTGGGAATAACTTCCTAATAGTTTGTTTCCGAGTGGTATACAAATTTTCATTACCACAACGGTATACTTGATTACTACGCGGTAATACCAGTTATTACCGTGTCGGTGATGATTCAATACGATTTCCCTAATCCTAAGAGTGTACATACATATTTAGTAGAGTGTAGATATACAGATATTGTATGTATGTATAATATGTATATATTCATTACGTGGATAAACCCCACCTTAGAAATTCGGTATTAAACTAATATCAAGCGGTATTCATATTCATATATATACAAATCTACGGAAGTGGTACATATATTCCTATATCTTAATGGGTTGTATGTAGTAGTGTATCTCCTGTCTTGTGGAGAGGTCGATAGCTATAATATTTACCATAGCCATGGCAAATTTATACGTCCGCGTATAATTTTATTACCAAAAATTACATGTAAAGTTTCTCTTCGCATTTTTTAATAACCAAAAAAGAACAGATTTATACTAAATCTATCTAAATCTCGAACACACAAAATTAAGATCCCTCGGCCCCACATGTATCGCCGTACTCGTCACAAACCTCCCCGTCAAAACCCCCCTGATCACCTCCCCCTTCACCGTGTACGGATCCACCACCTCCACCCACGGCCTCCCCAGCACCCCCAACACCTCCACGATATCCTCCGCCCTCAACAAACCCTCCCCCGACTTATAATAAATCTCCCCACTGTACAAAACCCCCACTCCCCCCGCCCCCAAAATATTCGCATAGGAACACGCCTCCATACTCACTTCCGCCAAATTCGTCCCCGTCCTCGCCGCCGGGATAAAAGTCGCCACCGCGGAAACGTTTCTAATCCGGGTATAAGTAACCTTATCATGTCCGTCGAGCACCCGGGTCGCGAAATTTACTTCGGACGAGCCAAAAAACGGGTCAAATTGGACACTCAACCCGGTTATTCCGGCCCAGCTGTGGACATCTTCGGTTAAACTGAAGCGCTCTAGGAGGCCCTTTTTGTGCTCAATGTTATAACTCGGGAGCCCCGGCGCGCCCAGGGCGGCCGTCCCGCCGGCCACGAATAAACCCTCGTGCCCGATTGTTTCCCGGGTAGTGTCCGAATTTCGGAGGGTGGACGTGGTAAAGACGAGTTTCTTAAGTTCCGCGTCTAACGGGTGGTATTGAGAGGTGAGGATTTCATAGGTGGGCGAATCCTGGGGGAGGAGGGGGTCCCGGGAGGAGGAGAATAGGACCGAGGCGTGGGCAGGGTTTAGATATCCGCACATGGTTTGCCATCCGGAAGGGTCGAGGGCCCTTGCCACGAGGAAATTTGTGGGACCGGCGTTGACCTCGACGGGGTGGGAGGGGATGGATCCGAGCGAGCCGGGGATCCAGGTTAGCGAGCAGTGCGGGGGGACGAGGAGGACTTGGTAGGAGGGGGAGGTTATGACAAGGTTCGAGCCAACGTTGGCGTAGATGGCGCCTTTATCGGGTATGACCCGCCCTGAAAAAATTAATATGTATTTAAGTGGAATAACTCCTTCATTTATTTTTTAATGGCACCCGACACTTCTTCAATGTCTTTAATTGTAAACTTTTTTAAATGAAATGCATTTCTTGCTTGAGTTTCGAGATAACTGTAAACTTTTCATACTTTAATGTAAACTTAATTTTTGATACCACGATACTATCGATTTGGAAAATAAAACACCTAATTCATTTTTGACATGAGAAAATTCGTACTGCATTTGCCATTTTCTACATAATTGCATTTTACAGGTCGTCCATAAATTGCGCCACGCGATAGGGAGGAGGGGGGTCTATAAGGGTCAAATGATTTCGTGTCTATGTTAAAGGGGGGAGGGGTCGCGAAAATCGCTATTTTACCATTACTTAATTTATAGACGGCCCCTTAGTCACAAAACCTATGGAGTTGATACATACAACCGCAGAAATTTGCATTTAAAGACATTGCATACGGGTAGAGCGAGATTAAAAACTCCATGACACGTCAGAGTCAATTTTATCAATCGTCAGAGTCAATTCAATTTCTGAAAATTTCAGACCTTAATTTCAGAAATATGCTTACATACCTCCATACCATCCCCCGTTATGAAACACTTTTCCAACAAATTCTCCAGTACCGGCGGCACATTCCAACGCATTTTCCGGCAGTTTGACGCCAAGACTGCTGGGAAACCAGGACACGAGGCACGACACGTTGGGTCCTTTACCAAGGACGATGGGAATAGAACGTAGAAATATTAAAGGGTAAAAGAGGTGGTGGAAAGACATGTCGAATTTATACATTAATTTGCAATAGTACAAAAAAGAGTGCAAAAAAATGCTTGCGATAAAGTTGTACAAGCGAGACTAACATATATAAAATCGAGTTTGGGAAGTACACGGCCGTATCAAATCCTCCAAATCCTCCATCCTGTAAAGGACGGATTAACAAGTTTATTTATGGGATAATGATAAGATAACTAGATAAATACAGTATGCAAAAAAAACGACGCATACTTTACAAAATTACAAAGTTATTAACAAAATTTCCTACTTATTTTTTTACAAAATTCGGAATAAGAAAAGGATTTTAATTAGCGAATCCGTAATATCGTTAAGATTTATGGATTAAATCAATCAAAATGCTACCCAAAGTAAAATTCCATATTTCAATCGTGGAAAAACTAATACTGAAAATCCTATTATTTTGCAAAATTCAATACATTTGAAAACACACCGGTTCACTTTCATTCATTTGCCTTATTATGATAGTGAATGAAAATGAATTTCCCGCCATTTGAATGAAAATGACCGAAGGATTCCGTCATTTCAGATGAATGACTGTGAATGAAAGATTTCTCACTAATTTCATTTTTCATCCTATGCTTAATACATGGAGCGTAATAAGAAATGAAGCCCGATGAAGTGAAATGAAATGAAATGAATTTAAACGAAAATGACTTAATTTTAATAAAAATTTTCACTCAGAAATCGAGTCTACTGAAATTTGAATGAAAACTAAATTTTTGCACAGGTATGTTTGAAAACTGGGCTCCGTAATCAAGAATTCTTATCCAAAATAATTTGTTGACTTATTTCCAGCAATATTTGACCCAATTTAGAGACAAGAATCAAAAATTGTAAAAAGATTACATTCGTACATTTAACTTTTTTGCACACTGTACACATTACATATTTTACAACCTATAATAATCAGAAATAATTCCACATATTCATATGAAAGATCATCTCTATTTGCACATTTACAGAAGCAACTCAAATTTAGTCGGAATAACAATGTTATTTTTGTCGATTTTTATATTTCTACAATTATTTTGTCTCATAAATTGCAAAGGTCCGTCCCTGTACTGTCCCCCTGAATGGGTAGTTCATGGGAGCGGTGACATTCCTGAGGACGCGGAAATGTGCAGTCTTGGTGGGGGAGAGTATATCGGGAGGACATTTCAGAACGGGGAGTGGGTTGCAGGTACATAAATATCGATAAAAAATCTCTATTTCGAACCAGGCTTCGGAAAGCGCAGGCTTTTAATAAAAAACAATAACCACCCTAATGGGTTTTGATGGGTTTTGATAGGGTTTGAAAGGTTTTACCTAATAAACTAAACAAAAAAATATTGCAACTATTACAAATACAATTCTACTCATATGCAAATCCTCAATCCTCCTTGCCCATAATAGAAATTGTATCGGTTCGGAAATTAGTTTTTTTGTACATTCTTAGAAAACTGGTATTAAATCATGGCCAACCGGAGTACATATCAAATCAAATCATATGTGACTTTACCGGCACTAGTATTAACGGGAATTGCCGTTCCGTAATGTTGTAGCGTGGTAATGAAAAATTTACCACTCAGGAACAATTTACTGCCAATCCGGTAGGAAATTAGTACCAAATCAACACCAGTAATGTGAGTCACATTATGTGACTACCAGATTGTTAACAGTGTAGGACTGGATGTTGTCCATTGTTTTCCCATATATGTCTGTCTGTTCATTGTCCTAGTGAAAAAACTTCGTGTAACGTATGCACATACATAGTTTATACGTCACGTGGCTAGAAAAGTGGCGCATGTTTCTTGTAGTTTCTTGCACCTCGCACTTCTTGCGTGGCTTGTTTTGCAGTGCGAGAAATGCAAGAAACGAAACACTTGGTAAGAGTGACCGCTTTCAAGAAATAACGAGAAAAAGAAAGTGGTTTCTTGCAGGTAAATATTTCTACCTGGGAGAAATGCAAGGCGAAAGAACCTTCTCCCCCACGTGGCTACATGGAGCCTATTTCTGACACCTCACATTTCTTGCGCTTTTTGGTTTACAGAAATGTAGCAAACCCGCATGAAACCACACGTGAATTGATTTTGCACACGTTTCTTTACCCAGCTCGTATCATCCCGTCCCTCGGAATGGCCTACACCCCCGTGGGAAACACCGTAGTGGAAACGGAAGCCTACCAAACGCTTATCTTCCCCCCTTACTGCATCACAAAATGGGTCCCCTCCCCCCTCATCAGTACCCTTTCCCACACCGCCGTCTCCGTTAACGACCCCTCCCGAACCAACTTCATCGGCCGCGTGGAGGCCACCCACGTGTCGCCCGACGAAGGTCAAGCATTCTGCGGAAATACCGAAATCACCTCAAATTCCTTGCATTACATATCCCCCTCCCTACAAACTATCCGAAGTACCCCCCACTTCGAAATCCTGACCAGTTCGAAACCCCCCCTCCACGCAATCCTGCACGGATTCACCTTCAATCTCCAATTCCTTACGAACACTTCCCTAAAAAACGAGCTTATCCATTCGGAAACCTTGGAACTTAACGGAATCCTGGGAACTTCCCGGTTTAACGTGACCCACTCCAAGATAACCTCGGAAGAATTCATCTTATCCGAAAACGGTCTCGATTTCACCGGACTTTCCCACGTGGACGTGTCCTTCCACAATTTCAATGGCGGGGACGCCGTTCACTTCCACGTGGACGAAGTGCGCGACTGGGAGGTGCGGATTGTTGCGAAAATTCCGCGAAAAATTGAGGCCTCCGCGAGCTACGAGATAACCCGGGTTGGCGCGCAGACCTTGGCGTTGGTCCAGGCCTGTTCGACCGTCGGGATTTTGCAGGATGTCGAAATCCCGTACACGGCGGAGGTGTGGTATTGGTCCCCTGGGTTGGACGCGGGGCAGGTGGAGGTCATGTTGGACGAGGTGGGACGGACCTACGTGGGGAGGGAGGAGGATTGTTACGTCGTCGGGGAAATTGCGGGGGGGTTAAGTGGAAGATTAGTTTTTGGAACGAGGATTAATTTTGCACAGCCAAACGTGGATTTTCCGTGTGCGCAATTTATGAGCTAGTAAAGGTTAAGGAAACAACGAGATACGTTATGAAATCGGTGATTAATTAACCTCTTTAATGTTTTTAAAAAATCCTGCCAAAATTTGCATGAAGTTAAAGACGAACAATGTTCTTTTTTCACTCAACACAACTAATAATGGAGGTCTCGCAACGTATGCTATCCGATTTTCGCGAAATCAGTGTCAATCGATCGCAAATATAATTAGTATGAAATTTGCAAATGGCACTATGAGCAAGTTCAGCGGAGATATTTGCATAAAACGCGCAATAAATTAGGAAAGTTTAAAACTTGTCGACCTCGTTTTATCCACTTTTTATGCAAATAAATATCTACGCCAAACTGCGTATTGGCAGATCGTATCATTTGCATATTTCATACTATTTAAATTTGCGATCGATTGACACCAATTTGGTCCAAATCGGTGAGTCAACGTTGGGAGACGTCCATTGTAAATATAGGTTTCTTTTATTTTAAAAATTGACACGGTAAATACAAACCATGTTATTTATTTCGGATACAATAGACAATTAGTTATATGTACATATGCCAGTTAATTAGTAACTATTTATTATTTATAGTAGCCAGATTTGTCTCACACTTTTGACCAGGGTTCGCTACCCCGGGTTTTTGTGGGTTGGGGTTTTTGGGGTTTTTGTGGGTTTTTGGGGTTTTTGTGGGTTTTTGGGGTATCAAATCTCCAGAAAAACCCTAATGCTTAATGGGGTTTTTGCGGGTTTTTGTGGGTTTTTGTGGGGTTTTCCGGGGTTTTTGTAGGATTTTGAGGCAGATTGAAACAAAATCCCTTAAACTACAACGTAGATCAATGCTAATTAACTTTTCTGCTTCATCTTGAAATTTTGAAAATTTTAATTTGCGACTCGAATTTCCAAATATCATTGCATATTTCCAGGTTTACATGTCAAACATGAATTTTCGATGTAAAAGTCCAAATCAATGATAACGATTAAAATTGCATGTTAAAATTGTATACTAAATTAGTTTATCTCTAATATATAATTTTAGGAATTCTGGTTCAACCTGCCCCAAAATCTACAAAAACCCACAAAAACCCACAAAAACCCCAAAAACCCCGGAAAAACCCCCGGGGTTGGGTTTTTCTACGAAAACCCCGGGGTTTTCCGAACCCTGCTTTTGACTGGTTATCTGGTTTAGAGACGTTAGTTCTGTTAGGTTTTGTACTTATCTTTGTAGCTAAATATTCACAAATTGTATGAATTTTACACAAAATTGGATGCAGTAAATAAAAAAAATACATTACAACCTGCAAAAAAATTCTTATCGCATTTAACTAATTGTGCACATACACGATTTTAGTTTTCAGAAGTTATTCTATTAAAAACATAAACTTAGGTGTTATGTAAAGAAAGTGGTATGTACACGTGACTCTTATGTATGGAATACCGTGAATATTAAATATGTATGGAATACAAATCATGCTACATATATTATAAATGGATTATGCAAAGTGACCGGAAACCGGCAACCCACAACGTCCGATTTAAGTGTATGATGCACAAATTGACCTTTTATTTGTCTACACGATTTTAATTTTCATTACTCAGAAGTTATTCCAGTTTTAAAAAAGTTATGAGATAATGTGGTTATCTAAAGTGGTTATTTATACCATGTGACTACATATTATGGAATACAAACCATGACCCTTATGGAAAATGAATTATGCAAAGTGACCGGAAACTGTAACCCACAACCTGAGCCCAAATTCCTTGCATTGGTCCAGCGGTGAATTTGTGTCGGTGCATGGAAAAATGGGAGCGACACGCGAGCAGAGTTTTACACAAAAGAGAATGACTTTACTACATACAAATCATCATGGTCAAAACGGTAACAAAAAAATTGGGACAAGTTTACAACATAATAATTCAATTATACAATTTTTATCAGTCGTGCGAGAATAATTATCTCGTAATAAATAGTGAAACGGGAAAAAGTTTTTTTAAAAATTGCAAAAGTATGGGAAACAGTCGCAATCTGTTGAGGGGTCAGTTGGGGGAAGAAGGACTTTATTATTCGGAGGGATGAAACTTCTTCAGATGCCTCCCAAGGCTGCCTTTCTGCGTGAATGTGTGACCGCAGTGGGGGCAGGGGAGCCGGATTTTGGCATGAACGCTGCTCAGATGTCGAACCATGTCCCCCTTCCTCCCGAATTTCTTGGGACACTCGGAGCACGTGACGTCCTTCATCTTTCGGTGAACCGTCTTCTTGTGCCTGGCCATGGATATTTTTTGAGTAAAGGCTTGATCGCATTCGGTGCACTGGAAGGGTCGCGGATCCGCGCTGTGAATGCGGGCGTGCTTGGTTAAGTTACTTTTCAAACTGAACTGCTCCCTGCATTGGTCGCAAGGAAAGGGTTTCTCCTTCGTGTGGGTGACCACGTGATCTTGATAAGTGCGGTTGCTGGAGAAAATCTTGCTGCAAAATAGGCACACTCGACTTACACGCTGCTTCACGAGGGCGACCTTTTCGTCTTCGGAGGAAACCATGGCAGGTCAGGGCTCGTTTGGAGGAGAACGTTTTTCGACAAAGGTGACACTTCCCGCCCAGCTTTTCCTTTGTGTGGGTCGCAAGATGACGACTGAGATCGGATGGTCTTTGGAATCGTTTTTGGCAAAAGTAGCAGTCGTGGCGCCACCCTCGCCGCACTTCGGCACGCTCCTCGCCGCTCAAATGGACGAAGCGATGCCGGGTCAAGTTTGCCAGCGAGACGAGATAGACTTTGGAATGGTTTGCTGCAGAAGTAGCAGACGTGTCGCCAGCCCTGCGCCATCACCGCGCGCTCCTCGCGGCTCAGGTGGACGAAGAGGTGCCCGGTCAGATGTGTTTTTTGGGTGAACTTCTGCCTGCACACGGGGCAGGTGTAGTTTTTCTGACCGTCGTGCGCAGCCACATGGTCGACAAAGTCGCGACGAATGAAGAATGCTTTATCACAGTGGGGGCACTTCGCATGGAAAATTGAGGACTGTTCCAGCTCATGGGGGTTGAAGTGGGTGTGGGCGTGGAGGTGAGCACTAGTCGCGTTGGCGAAGGGACAAAGGCAGATTTTGCATGGGATTTTCTCAGTGCCAACTTCCGGCAATTTCTTGACTTTTGATGACCTGCTGTTAGCTGAAGGGGACTGCACGTGGTTATCGTCACGTGGTGTTGGCCGTGGTTGGACGGAGTGAGAAGGAGGAAGTCGTCCGTTCTCATGAAAACGGTTCCCTATGTCCGTTGGGAGGTCGAGCGGTTTCTGGCTGCCCTCCATTCAAGGGCAACGCCTCGTTCTACTCGGAAGTTCCTTCGATCTCTGCAAAGAATAGTATTAGGTCACCAGCTTAAGTTGAAGAGCATATTTTGTATGCAGAAAGCAGCCTTACCAACGACTCGTTCTTCAAATTTCGGCGTGGGGCGAGTGTTCCAGAGCAAAAAATTGTTCTCAGTTTATAAGAGACGTCCAGTTTTATTTCCTTAGCCTTGTTCTGCTTTATCTTTTTCAATGTGAGCTTCTTGGAAATTTGGAAATGTTTAAAATTATTGCAATTTCTGGAGGGAGTGAGCTCTTGTTTGGCGAGGAGCTTGTTGGTCTCTGACTCTTTCGGATGGAGAGATGGCTTCGCTTATCTGCATATCCCACCAACAGCCAAGTCTCGTATAGCCAGACGTATCAAAAAGGCAACAAAATGCAGAACAATTTATGTACGGAGAACTCAGCAAGAAAATCATGGGACAAGCAACAAAACGTTGGTGATGGTGCTCATTGATCATTCATTTGTTATTCAATGCAAATTGAGACGCTTGGCCACCTCTGAAGAAATATGCATGGGTCCAGAATCTCGCAAATTTGGGTATAAATTAGACTTAATGCTATATAATGCTGCTCTATGCAAATAACGACTTGCAAGAAATAAGGGGGATAAAGTGGTTTCTTGCAGGTGAATATTTTGACCTGGGAGAAATGCAAACTATGCCCAGCACGACAAATAGTTTATAGGGCGCGTGGCTGGATGGCGCAAATTTCTCCCAGTTTCTTGCACCTCGCATTTCTTGCGTGGCTTGCTTTGCACTGCAAGAAATGTAGCAAATCTGCAAAAAACGAAAAACTGGGTTCTAGTAACCACTGCAAGAAAGTGGTTTCTTGCAAGTGAATATTTTGACCTGGGAGAAATGCGAGGCGCAAAAGAAACGACGCTACGCCGCGGTAAATACTTCATACAGTTTCTTGCACTTCGCATTTCTTGCATTGCTTGCTTTGCAGTGCAAGAAATGTATATGACAAAACCGCAAGAAACGAAACCCCGAAGGACTTCTGTGTACGATCGAGTCTGGATTTCTTAACTTTTCTTGTACAATTTTATTATACGAATGCATATTTAATTTAATGGAAATGAGCACGTTGATCAATCATTGGATTATTTACTTGTGCCATGTATGTAAATTGACCAGTCCTGCACGGAAAATGCAAATGGAATCTCGGAAATTTAGTGCATTTGTTGTCAACCTTTCGTCTTTCTTGATTTTTTATGTCACCATTACTGGAAGAAATATGCATGGAAAATACACCTCGTTTAATTATGGTGCTAGATTCGTCAGGCTGAAGTTAGGTCTTATTTCCATAAATATGGTTTTCTTAAGTAAAACGGAACTTTCCAACGGTATGAAAATTATGATGGAAACTGAGATAATGTGTTATGCAAAGTGGTTGTTGACACCATGTGACTACTATGGAATACAAATCATTCTATGTTAAGTATATACCCTTATGAAAAATGGGTTATGCAAAGCAACCGGAAACTGCAACCTGCAACTTGAGCCCTGCACGATTTAAGTGTGACCCTTCTTCTCGTCACGATGAAACATGTCGTCGTCACTGTTCCAGTCTTGCATTTGTGTCGGCGCATGGAAAAATGGGAGCGAGACGCGACCAGAGTTTTACATGATTTTGCTACATCAAAATCGTCATGGTCAAAACGGTAACAAAAATTGGGTCATGCTTACATCTTAATAATTCAATTATGCCATTTTTACGAGTCGTACGAGAATACGAGATCCGGATTCTTCGATTTGACATTTAAATCAGTCAAACTCAAACGTTCAGTCAGTATTTAGATACTATATCTTGCTGCAAGATTAAATGGCGCACTTTAGCTACTTTGGAGGGATGCAGTGCCGGGACAATGAAATTGGGCCCTTGCCGGCGCAAAATTCATAATTTTGGCTATAGGCACCTGATTCTGGCTTAATTGGCAATACTTAATAAAATAATAAAATTTTGTAGTGTTTAAAAAAGTACAAACTTCGAATTTACAAAATTTTTTTTAATTTGAAAAAAATAGTTTTTAGAAAAATAGTAGTTAGTGTTTACAAATACTTTTTAAACACTACAAAATTTCATTATTGTTGTTAGATAGGATAAAGCAAAGATAAGGCAAACGATAAGATAAGTTTGGGACAAAATGTTTCAAAATGTTGCAATTTATGTATTTCAAGATTATCAAACAAATCAAAGTTCGGCAGGATTAATAATTTTGTTTGATTTAACAATCAAGATTTCAAGAATTGTTATTTAAATGTTGAACATTTTAATAACACGGCGAACCATGGATAGATGGGGAGCGATTTAATAAAAACATGTTCCGCAACATAGTTCCCAGTTCGGAGTCACGTTCCCACTGTACGAAATTAAATTAATGACATGATAACCACAAACTTTTAATTATCTGTTTAATGATAAATTATGTACCCCATTTTGAAAAAGAACGGTAATCAATGGTCTCTTGTAATAGTTTTGCACAAAGGCATGAATATCTCTGCCTCGATTGGACGAATCCGGAAGATATGGACCACGGATTAGATGAGGATTTTCCTTCAAAAATATCATGACATTGCAAATTATGAAATATGATTGACGAATTAAATGATGCCATCTCGCACCTTAGCCAAAATGAAATCAAAGGCATCTACTGACATGCCATGATTTTGACATAAAATTGTGAGCGTCTCATCAATCTCGGTCAAAATGTGGGTGCTGTCCCCAAAACTTTCAATGACGAAGAGGACATTGGACAAATTGTGGGTTCTCAAGTATTTCAGGGCGTCGCATGCAGACGTACTCAATTTGACGGAGTTTTGAGGGGAAACAAACTTCTCGAAAATTTTGACCAGTTTCAACGTGTACTTCTCAGGGCCGACAATCTATGTAGACAAATTTGAATGGGAAATTAGATTAATTTTTTGGATGATATAAATAATATACTGATAAAGTGCTAACCAGCATTATACGATCGGGTGGGGAATGGGGCACATCGTCTGTATTGCCTTTAGTCAGTAAACTTTCTCCTGGCTCCAATGCTTGCAAAGTTGCAAGATTACAATTTTCTAAAAATGTTGAAAGTTAAATACGTATTATATATTTATTAGATAATTATTTAAATATAATTTCAAGCATCATATATGTCATTTTAACATATTTTATGTAGCTAAATTCACCTTTATTGTCATTTTTTGCTGGATCATCACAAGCCTTATTCGTCCCTCCGATGGAAATAACCTGTTCAGAGAACGTCCCTAAATTAGTCTGATCATCAGTGGGGTCAGTGGACATCAGTTTCTTGGCGTTTGACTCCAACAAAGCATCAGACTCAACATTCTGTTGTTTCTTGAAAAGAATCTTTTGCTTTCTCGTTTTCTTTGTCATTCTTCCGGAATGATAATTTGCAATTATATGAAAAGATGTAATTCAGGACTGAAGCTTTTATCACGAATGTTTCTCTGCCTAAATTTGGAAAGGTGACATAAAAATAATGACGCCTTGCGAGGAGAAATAAATTTAACGTTTTCGCAGTGATCAGCTCACTTTCAGTGACATGGTGCAGCAACTTTCATCAAATCGAGGCGTTCCCCGAATAAGCATAGATTTTGTGTTCATGCAATGTTATATTTTGTTCATAAATTAACTTCTTCCTGTGACGTAGAGTCAGAGACCGTGGCCAAGGGGCTGGCTTCTGAAAGAAAGGAAACTGGGAACAGACTGATTTTTTCCATGACAAATAAAATGCAACAATTATGCATATCTCCATTCCAAACACAGGATTGGCAAGATGAAAATCGTGCAAAAAAATCACACCTTCTCTCAAAATCTCTTCTCGATACTACCATTATTTCCAGTGGAAATTTTCCGCTCCATTGTTGTTGCTGCTCGTCGGGAAGAATTTTCCTGGAAATTGGAACAAAGTTTAAGTTCACACCATTCTACATCTTCAACAATCATGGCGCAATCACGCAGTCCAGCCGACGACGTAAGTTTATGTTTTCTTTTAAATTTACTAATTCCTTACGAAATTTACTAATTCCTTACGAAATTAACGAAATGACTTTATCATTATTTACACAACGCAGATGGGGGAAGAGGAGGAGGAGCACGAGTTTTTTTGGACGGTCCAGACCAGTTACTTAAAAACTCGCCCAGACGGTTAAAGCTTTGCCCTTATGGCGGGCCATGCATTCAGCATAATTTGCAAATGGAAATTCTATTTCATCCCAGGCAGGGTAAGGTACCCTGTTCTGGGCGTGAAATTGGTCGGGTCTAATGGACCTGAAGAAATTTTAACCAAAGTGTGATCTTTTGGAAGTAATTTAATGTCTCTCCAAAAGAATGGAAATTACCCTCCGAATATTTAAGAAGTTACCTAAATGGAAAGCAACCTCTTAATGCTCTAAATTTTCCCTGCCGTTAAATGGAAGTAGCCTCTCATTTTGCATATCACAAATCTGTGTAAATTTCTTATTAGTGATGGGCCTACCTACCACACTCAAAATAAGGTAGTAATGAATCATTACCATGCGGAATGACTATGTGGCTCTACCACGTCGGTTACGATTTGTAGTAGAAATGGTAATAATAAGTTCAGGGAAATTCAAGTTTAATACATAATGGTATTAACTTCCTTAATATTTGGTAATGAGTTTGAATTTCCCTGAAATTATTATTACCATTTCTTCTACGACAAATCGTAACCGACGTGGTAGAGCCACATAGTCATTCTGCATGGTAATGATTCATTACTACCTTATTTTGAGTGCACAGTACGGTTGATTATGTTCTTAAATATCCTAAATATTTATGTAAAATGATTAATCAGATACCCAAAAGATGTATTTATGAAAAACATTTTTTAATTCGTTTTAAATTGCTTAAAAATTAATTTGTTTGACTGCAAAAATGTCAAAAATTGTTTTAATATTTCACACTGACAAATAACAAGCTATCCACATGCTTTGGTTTCATATTACATTAATGATCGGAATTATTTATGTATTGTGAATTTCTGCGATTTTACTAAAAAAATATATTTTTTGGAAAAAGCGCTAAAATATGTAAAAAAAACTATTTGAGTGTTTCAAAAGATGCAGATTTTTAGCTAAATTCCAAAGCTGTATGTGCTATCCATTAGTGGTTTTTGCAATCTATACTAAATTTAAGATGAAAATAATAACTTTTAAAAACGGTATAGGTCACCGTATAGGGTCACTGATTGCACTTTGCTCACTTGTAACTTCATATTCTTTCATGTGAAGCAAGTGTTAATCGCCAATTTCACTGGGCCGAATTTTACCTTTTTAAGACATTATCTGGAAATCTCAACCCTATAGTTAGTTCTATTTTGCTGTGCTGATGTGAAAAAATCTACATGCACGTGTATCCGTTTTTTTACGAACGGGTACTGTATGTTTGTAAAGATGAACTTCGTCTTTGTCTAAATTATAAAAGAATTTTTCGATGTGAACACAAAACCTGTACCAAGCGGAAGCGTGGAGGACCTGTTAAGTCCACAACAGCTTTGATTACCATGTGGTTTTTAAAAGTGCATGCTTTTATGGAAGCCTTAACTTTAATTGCATATAAATGATACGTTTTTTATATAAAATCCTAAAATTTTGAGTTGTAGATATGTACATTATTTTAAGAGGTAGTTTGCCACCAAAACCCTAATTCAAAAATGACTTTAAGAGGCAGGTGTCCATGAAGGGTACTTCTGAAATATTTGGAGGGTACTTCCTATTTAATTGGAGAGGCTTTAAATGCATGCCTGATCTTTTTGACTGGGAATGGGGGTTGTTTAAATCAGTCGGGAACGTGTGGTAAGACGTGAATCATTCATTTTTATCAGTGTTTCGGATAAAGCAAACCCGTTACATTTCCAAACCGATATTTTATAAATGTATAAACTACATTTTAGTTTTTTTTCACAGATCTTAAATACCGGAAGATTACGAAGAGTAGCAGTTTGGAATGCCCCATTTACGGGACTGGCCAAGGATATCCAAGCGCATTTGGATCCATTGTTTCTAGCTCTTCGCAAGCCTGGCTTCACATCAAAGTTAAAATTCTTGTCAAAGATTTGGTGGCTAAGCAAGATGCAATTCGACACAAATATCCGAACATCCCCAAAACATTGATGCTCTCGATGCTACAGAATAGTGACCAGAAGGGCGACGTCACTTTCAGGACCAAGGATGGCTAAGCAATCGTGGCACATCGCAACATCCTGTTTGCGCAGAGTGAGGTCTTTCAGACCATGTTTGCCACAAAGATGAAAGAAAAGGAGGACAGCGTCGTGGAATTGGCGGATCTGAGCGGGCCGGCCTTAAAGATTTTCCTGAAGTTTATCTATATCGCAGAGCTGGATGAGACCTGGGGCGAATATTGTGGCGAAGTGGTCTATGCTGCTAGCAAGGTGAGTAAATATATAAATTTATATATAAATATATAAATATATAAATATATATAAATATAATATATAAATATATAAATATTTAAATATATATAAATATAATATATAAATATAATATATAAATATATAAATATATAAATAGGTAAATATATAAATATATAAATAGGTGAATATATAAATTATTAAGAATAATAAACCGTGATAAACGAAACATAGAAAAGTGGCATCAAATTATTGGACATTTTCGACGTTTCGACCTTTGACCTCGTCTACACAAATCATGAATCATCGTGCGTCAAAACAATGTCGATTTCTGAAATCCCAAAATTACGATCATTTATTACGAATTTCGATATGAAAGTTAGGTTAAATTTAATTTGGTCCAAACCTCTGGTGCCGGGAGAGGGGAGTGGGTTGGTCGGATCTTCAAACTCAATCGAGGATTAAAAATAAAAAAGCACAACATTATGCTTTTTTTCTTCCGCCGTTTTCGCCATTTGGCGAAATATGGAGTAGTTCTGGACCTGCTTGTAGACGGAAGCACAAAACGATCACAATAAGCGGCTGACGCCATTTAATAATTATGAATTTAATTTAAAGTTTACTCCTCACTTTCAGCACCAGGTTGCTCCTCTGATCGTTGTGACGTCCTTCTCCCAACACTGATCACCTGGGAAAATTGCTTCCAACTTCTTGAAGTGGCCAGTTTACACTCTTTGGCTGCTTCGAAGCAGAAGATTGAAGCATTTATGGAATGGTGAGTGAAACATACAATTGAAAAATTAATTATTGGACTTATGCCGATTTAATTTATTTGTTAGTGACCCTACGAAGTTAATGACACTGGTGAAGGGTTTTGTTGGACGACCACAAAGTCACCCAATCATTTAATTTTATTTTTATATGTACATCACATTTATTATCCGATAATTTATGTTTAATGGTCCGCTGGCTAGAAAATGTTTATGTGGCGTCATAAAAATAATGACACCTCGTAGTTAAAAATAAATTGGACGTTTTTGACAGTTATCAGATCACTTCAATACCGACTTTCATGAAGCCGAAGCGTGCCCGAATTGTTTTATAAATTGAGACATTTTGCTTGTCATGCTGTAGTTAATTTAATTACTGATGGTTTTGCGTCATGAAAATGGTTGAAATCATTTGGCGTACTATAAAATTATAGTATGCATGCAGCAGTTTTTCATACGAAATAATATTCTGGATTTTATTCCAGTTGCCCCAAACGTTCAGACATTTTCAGCAGCACGTTTTTGATCAATAATAGATCCGGATTCTTCGATTTGACATTCAAATCAGTCAAACTCAAACGTTCAGTCAGTATTTAGATACTATATCTTGCTCAGCAAGATAATTAAATTTTGTAGTGTTTATAAAAGTACAAACTTCGAATTAACAAATTTTTTTTTAATTTACAAAAAAATAGTTTTTAGGAAAATAGTAGTTAGTGTTTAAAATTATTTTTTAAACACCACAAAATTTTATTATTGTATTAAGTATTGTCAATTAAGCCAGAATCAGGTGCCCACAGCCAAAATTATGAATTTTGGCCCGGCAAGGGCCCAATTTCATTGTCCCGGCACTGCATCCCTGGCTGCGTTTCGCAACGTAGCTAGAGTGCACCATTTACCCGAATACGACCCATAACTTGCATTATAATTTATAAATGCAAGTACTCTCCCTCTGTTTATAATGTATAAACAAATGAGGATTTCATCTGTGGTGACCCATACTGATTTTTTTAAACTATTCGATCGAGCTGAAATTATGATTACCAGTATATTCAGTTGAAATTTGGAATAATTGTTCTAATGGTGTTGCAAATTAGGAATATAAGGCAAATTAAATGCTTGATTTCATATGTCACTATTACTGGAAGAAATATGCATGGAAAATTCTCGTTTAGTTATGATGCTATTATTTGTTCTGATCCTGCTCAGGCTGAACTTGGGTTTTTTTTCCATTCGGCAGAAATATCTAATGCCTGATTTCCTCCAATAAAACCAAATATTCCAACCGTATGAAAAATATGCTGGAATTTTAGAGCTTCATATTTTGGATGAAATGCTCACGATAAGAAGATGAACGACCATTCATCAATTAGCGAGGTCTGCTTCTCATAAAAATATGCAGACTGAGACTTCCTGCAGATTATTTGGTCACCTTGGTCCCTTTCGATAAGCAATCCGCAACCTGAGCCCTGCAGGATTTAAGTGAGCTGCACAAATTTACCATTCTCGTCACGATGAAATATGTCGTCGTCACTGTTTCAGCCTTGCAATTGTGTCGGCGCATGAAAAAATGGAAGCGAGAAGGGAGCAGAATTTTTTTTATATAAAATGGAATTCCTTTACTACATAAAAATCGTCATGGTCAAAACGGTAACAAAAATTAGGTCATGTTTACAACTTAATACTTCAGTAATGCCATTTCTATGAATCGTACAAGAATATTTATCTCGTAATAAATAGTGAAACCGGAAAAGTTATAAACAAAATTGAAAAAGTATGGGGAACATGTCGCAATCTGATGAGCGGTCAGTTGGCAGATGACTGACTTTATTATTCGGAGGGGTGAAACTTCTTCAAATGCTTCCCAAGATTGGATTTCAGCGTAAACGTGTGGCCGCAGTGGGGGCAAGGGTGCCGGATTTTGGCATGAACGCTGTTCACATGTCGCACCATGTTACTCTTCTTGCCGAACTTCTTGCAGCACTGGTGGCACTCGAAGCTCTTCAACTTCCGGTGAACGGTCTTCTTGTGGGTAACCAGATTTACTTTTTGAGTGAAGGCTTGATCGCATTGGGTGCACTTGAAGGGTCGCGGATCCGCGCTGTGACTGCGCGCGTGCCTGGTTAAGTTACTTCTCACTGAACTGAACTGCTCCCCGCACTGGTCGCAAGGAAAGGGTTTCTCCTTCGTGTGGGAGACGAGATGAGCATGATAAGTGACGTTGTTGGAGAAAATTTTGTGGCAGAATAAGCAGACGCGACTTACACGCTGCTCCACGAGTGCAATTTTCTCGTCGTCGTTGAGATGGAGGAAGCGATGCTGGGTCAGGGCGTGTTTGGAGGAGAACGTTTTTCGACAAAGGTGACACCTCCCGCCCAGCTTTTCCTTTGTGTGGGTCGCTAGATGACAATCGAGATGAGATGAAGTGTGGAACCGTTTTTTGCAAAAGTAGCAGGCGTGGCGCCAACCCCGCCGCACCTCCGCGCGCTCCTCGCGGCTCAGGTGGACGAAGAGATGAGCGGTCAAATGTGCTTTCTGGGTGAACTTCTGTTTGCAGGTGGGGCAGGCGTGGTTCTTGCGACCTTCGTGCGCAGCCACGTGGTCGGTGAAGTGGTGACGATTGAAGAACACTTTTTCGCAGTGTGGACATTTCGCGTGGAAAATTGAAGCCTTCTCCAGCTCATTCGGGTTGAGGTGGGTGCGGGCGTGGAGGTGAGCACTGTTTCGTTTGGTGAAGGGACGAAGGCATGTTTTGCAGGGGAAGATTTTCTTATTGCCGATAAGTCGTGGTAATTTCTTTGTGTTTGATAATCTGCAGTTGGGTGAGGGGGACGCCACGTGGTTGTCGTCACGTGGTGTTGGCCGTGGTTGGACGGAGTGAGGAGGAAAACGGTACACTTTCTTCCCTTCCTCCTTTGTGGGGACGAGCGCTTTCTGTCCTCTGAGCATTTTCTGGTTGACCTCCATACCGTCCAAGGGCAACGCCTCGTTCTGCGAGAAGTTTCACCGCTAGCGACCGAAATATTATTATTATCTTAAGTTGAAGGGCAGAGTTTGTATGAAAATTAAGAATGCAGCCTTACCAACGATTCCTTATTCAAATTTCGACGTGAAGCGGGTGTTCCGGAGTAAAAAATCGTTCACAATTTTCAACAGACGTTCAGCTCGTCCAGTTTTCTTTCCTTCGCGTCGTTCCGCTCTATCTTTTTCAACGTAAACTTGGTGGAAATTTGGAAATGTTTAAACTTATTGAAATTTCTGGAGGGAGTGAGCTCTTGTTTGGCGAGAACAAGCTTGTTGGTCTCTGTCTCCTTCGGACAGAGAGACGGCTTGGCTGATCTGCATATCCCACCAGCAGCCAAGCCTCGGATAGCAAGACGTACCAAAAATGCAACAAAATGCAGAATAATTTATGTGTGGAAAACTAAGCGAGAAATTCATGGGACAAGCAGCAAGCAAAACTTTGGTGATGGTGCTCATTGATTAGTTATTCAACGCAAATTGAGACGCTTGTCCACCTCTGAAGAAACATGCATGCGTCCAGAATCAGACTTGCTTTTCTCGGATGCTAATGCCAATGCTGCTCTATGCAAGTAACCATTTGCAAGAAAATTTGCAAGTGGTTTTCGTGCAGGTGAATATTTTGACCTGGGAGAAATGCAAGGTGCAAGTAATCACACCCCGGCTCCATAAATACTTCATACGGTGCGTGGCCAGATAGCGCATATTTCATGCACTTTCTCCCAGTCTCGTGCACCTCGCATTTCTTGCGTTGCGAAGTCCAAGAACTGTATGTGATTAACCCGTAAGAAACGAAACACTGGGAGGAAAGATCAACAAAAGGAATTCTGCATAAGATCGAATCCGGATTTCGTAACTTTTCTAGTACAATATTATTATACCGCATGCAAATTTAATAAAATGGAAATGACCACTTTGATCAGTCATTAAATTACATGTGGCATCCTCTTGCACGGAAAATGCATGCGGAATCTCGGGAATTTAGTACATTTGTTGCCAACCTTTCATCGTTATCCTCAATGCTTGATTTCATACGTCACTTACTGGAAGAAATATATATGCATGGAAAATACACACATCTCGTTTAATTATGATGCTAGATTTGTTCTCATCCTCCTCCGGCAGAAGTTTGGTTTTATTTCCATTGGACAGCAACAACTCATAATTTCCTCAACTAAGCCCAAAGTTTCCACCGTATGAAAAGTATGGTGGAGTTTTACATTTCTAGATGGAACGCTCCCGATAAGAAAGTGAACGAGCAGCATTCATCAGTTTTGAGGCCTGCGTATCAAAATTAGTATGCAAACTGAGATTTCCTGCATTTCGTTACTCGGGAGTTATTCCATTTTTTTAAATATGAGAAAATGTGTTATGCAAAGTGACTATTATGGAATTCAAACCAATGCTATATGCATATTTAATTAAATGGAAATGAGCACCTTGGTCAATCATTGGATTACTTGGGGCACGTAAATTTTAGAGTCTTACATTTCTGGATGGAATGCTCCCAAGAAGAAAGTGAACGACAATTCATCAATTATTGAGGCCTGCGGATCAAAATTAGTATGCAAACTGAGATTTTCCTGCAGAATTATCTCTTCACTTTGGTCCCTTTCGATATGCAGCACGAAATATGAGACCTGTCCGATTTAAGCGTGATGGACAAAGAGGCCGTTCTTCTCGTCACAAGGAAATATGTCGTCGTCACTGTTCCAGCCTTGCATTTGTGTCGGCGCATGGAAAAATGGGGGCAAGACGCGAACAGAGTTTTATCTAAAACGGAATGAATTTACTACGTAAAAATCGTCATGATCAAAACGTTAACAAAAATAGGGTCATGTTTACATACAATTTAATAATCCATTTTTATGAGTCGGGTGAGAATAATTATCGTAGAATAAATGGTAAAATCAGGGAAATATAAAGTACGGAGGACACGTGATCACTTGATGGGATGCTGTTTGGGAGGAGAATGACTTCGTTCCGAGGGATGAAACTTCTTCAAATGCGTTCAAATGCAGAATCTGGCAAATTGGGTACATTTCTTTTTAGCTGGTCATCCTTATGCACAATTTTTGATTTATTATGCATCTTACTAATATTTGGAAGAAATATATGTATGCATGCAAAATCTGTCTCGTTTATTTACTGTTCTCATCCTCCTCAGGCTGAAGCATGGTTTTATTTCCGGTGGAGAGAAATATGTAATGCCTGATTTTCTTAACTAACAGAAGTTTCCACCGATATGAACATTATTAGAGCTTTATATTTTGAACGGTTTTTAAAATATGCAAATTGAGACTTGCAGTTGCAGAATTATTACTTCACCTTGGTCCGTTTAGATACGCAACCCGGTAACATGAGCCATGTAGGATTTTAGTGTGATGGACAAATTGGGCTTTCTTCTCGTCACGATGAATTATGTCGTCGTCCCTGGTCAAGCCTTGCATGCAGGGTTTTACATAAAATAGAATCGCTTTACTACATAAAAACCGTCAAAACGTAACAAAAATCGGGTCATGTTTACATCTTTACAAATTCAATTATTCCATTTTTATCAGTCATACGAGAATAATTGTCTCGTCACAAATGGTGACCTCGGGAACATATAAAAATCTAAAGTATGGAAACCTTACACGTAATTTGACAAGGGGTCAGTCGACAAACGAAGGACCTTATCCTGGGGGATGAACCTTCTTCAAATGTCTCCCAAGACTGCCTTTCTGCGTGAATGTGTGACCACAGTGGGGGCAAGGGTGCCGGATTTTGGCATGAACACCCTTCAGATGTGTCACCATGTCACTTTTCCTCCCGAACTTCTTGGGGCACTCGGGACACGCGAAGCTCTTCAACTTCCGGTGAACCGTCTTCTTGTGGGTAACCAGATTTACTTTTTGACCGAACGCCTGGTCGCCCTCGGTGCACTTGAAGGGTCGCGGATCCGCGCTGTGAATGCGCGCGTGCGTGGTTAAGTTACCTTTCAAACTGAACTGCTCCCCGCACTGGTCGCAGGGAAAGGGTTTCTCCTTCGTGTGGGTGACCAGGTGAGCTTGATAAGTGCGGTTGCTGGAGAAAATCTTGCGGCAGAATAAGCACACGCGACTTACACGCTGCTTCACGAGTGCGACCTTCTCGTCGTCGTTGAGGTGGAGGAAGCGATCACGGGTCAGGGTTTGTTTGGAGTAGAACGTTTTTCGACAAAGGTGACACCTCCCGCCCAACTTTTCCTTCGTGTGGCGCAGAAGATGACGACTGAGTTTCGATGGCGTGGGGAATCGTTTTTTGCAGAAGTAGCAGCCGTGTCGCCACCCCTGACGCACCTCTGCGCGCTCCTCGCGGCTCAGGTGGACGAAGAGATGCCCGGTCAGATGTCTTTTCGTGGTGAACTTCTGCTTGCACACGGGGCAGGCATGGGGTTTCCGACCTTCGTGCGCAGCCACGTGGTCGGTAAAGTTGCGACGAAAGAAGAACATTTTTCGCAGTGGGGACATTTCGCGTGGAGAATTGAAGCCTTCTCCAGCTCGGCCACGTTGAGGTGGGTGCGGGCGAGGAGTTGGGCACTGGTTGCGTTGGTGAAGGTACGCGGGCATGTTTTGCATGGATGACTTTCTTGGACCTCATGTTGGATGGCGACGAGTGCACGTGGTTATCGTCACGTGGTGTTTGGACGGCGTGAGGGGGAAGTTGTCCGTTCTCTTGAGAATGGTCTACTTTCTCCGTTGTGGGGACGAGCGATTTCTGGTTGACCTCCATCCCGTCCAAGGGCAACGTCTTGTTCTGCTCGGAAGTCCCCACTCGAGCAAGTGCTAATTTCTTTCTCTGCACAAAATATCATTACGTCAGCATTCGGAGTAGAACAGATTTTTCATGAAAATTATATGAAAACACAATCTTACCAACGCCTCCTTCACGTTTGGGCAGATTTTCTTATTGCGAATAACTTGTGGTAATTTATTGGCGTTTGATGATGTGCTGTTGGCTGAAGGGGATGGCACGTAGTTATCGTCACGTGCTGGTTGGACGGAGTGAGGTGGAAGTCGTCCTGAAGTCTCTTGATAACCTTCCCCTTTGTACATTTTCTCTATTTTGAGGACGAGCGCTTTCTGTCGTGGGAACGCTTTCTGATGCGCGTCGATGCTGTTCAACTGCAAGGTTTCGTTCTGCTCGTGAGTTACCCTTTCGATGACCAAAATATTATTAGGTCACCATCTCAAGTTGAAGGACGGATTTTGTATGAAAATAGTCAGAACGCAATCTTACCAACGATTCGTTCTTCAAGTTTGGAGGCGTGTGTTCCGGAGTAAAACAAAAATCTTTCCCTCGTCAAATCCTGCTCTTTTCAGGCTCCGCCACAATTTTCAACCTTTTTTCACCTGCAGCATTCTGCTCTCCTTTTCTGAATGTGAATTCGGGTGAAATTTGGAAATGTTTAAATTTCTGGAGGAGGTGTGCTACTCTCATTGGATGGGGAACTTGTTAGTCTCTGAATCCCTCGAACTGAGAGATAACTTCACTTATCTTGTATCCAACCAAAAGCCAAGTCTCCGACTGAATCTCGTAGTCAGTCCGTCAGCCATAAAGGCAACAAAATGCGGAATGATTTCTGTGATAGAATTTAGCTAAACAATCCCGGAATAGGTAGGACGTGGTGATGATGATGCTCATTAAGTATGCAATGCAAATTGATTGTCCACCTCTGGAAGAAGTATGCACAATGTCTCAAATTTGGCTATGAATCCGATTTTTTTGCCTCCATTTTACTGCTATTTTTTGCCTTTACATACATTCGCGTTCCTTTTAATTTTGTGAAAGTTCCATGAAAAAATGAACCATTGACGAAACGGAAAATGAAGGGAAGCCAAACCAAAGAAATTCTGCATGTTTATGATTGAGTCTGGATTTTTTACTTTTTTGCATGGAACGTGGCGCATGCAAAATTAATTTGAGCACCGTGATGCAAATTGACCACTCCGGTACGAAAAGATCACCTCACAAAATGCAAAATCTGTGGATTAAATTGATAGAAAATTGTCCACTGATACAAATTATAATTACATTGTTAGAAATCCTTTATAGTCTCGAAGGTATTGATTTCTCGGTATTAAATTTACTACCGCTTGGTATTAAATTTATACCCGTCCATAAAAATTTGATACCAATATTGTATAACTTCAATACCGGGTTAGTACTACACGGTATTAAAATATTGATCAATACCACGTTGGTAGAGTGATATATATGAATACCACCTGGTATTATTTTAATACTGGATTTCTAAGAGTGTATGTATATCAAATTTCCTCCCAGTTTATTCCGCTCTATTAAAAAGCTGGGGTTATCATGGGTAAAAAGCGTGTATTTTCCCAACATGTCGAGAAAGTTGATTTGTACAGGTTCAGAAATCATTTCGTGACGTGAGAATGATTTCTGTGCTTGAATTGAGCATGGAACAAGCAGGATTATGCTTATTAAGTATTCATCCATGCAAATTGAGACGTTGTCCAGCTCTGGAAGAAATTGAAATCTGCGTGCGTGCACAATTTCTCAAATTCGGTTATGAATCAGATTTCCTATCCGTTTTTCTGCTGCCAGTGATATCTTTCTGCTTTTACACTTATTCTTTGTCAGATAAGAACAAGATCGTACATACTTTCATTAAAATTAAATTCGTAGTCAGTTCGTTCATCAAAAAATGCGGAATGATTTCTGTGATGGAATTTAGCTAAACAATCCAGGATGGTAAATATTCATAAAATATGCAATGCAAATTGAGACGTTGTCCAGCTCTGGAATAAATTTGCGTGCCTGCAAAATTTCTCAAATTCGGTTATGAACCAGATATATTTTCCTCTGTCTTTTTGCTCTTACACTCCTTCTCCGTCAGATTAGAACAATGTCGTACTTTCATTAAAATGAACTGTTGAAACGGAATATGAAGGAAATGAATTGTACACGCGATTGAGCCTGGACTTCTTAACTTTTCTAGTGCAGTGAGACGCGTGCATATATAATTTAATGGAACTGAGGAGGAGAGTACGCCAACCTGATAATGACAGATCTTGATGTCCTTTGGATATATGGTAGTACCCCCTCTGAAAGCAAAAAGTGTGAAGCGGTTTGATGCCATGGCCCAATTTACGCCCGTCACACCCCTTTGAAGGCGCGCCGGATGCCAAACTAGCTGCACTAAAAAATTCGCCAAAAATCCAATTTTGTTCGGATTTTCATAATAGTTACATATTTATGATCCCACATAGTTGCTTTATCATATCAGATATCAATCTGAATTTTTTTGGAATTTTGAATTTTTTCAAGCCATGCCCTTTTCAGGAAATATTCGAAAATATTGAAAATTTCTGAAAAGTTAATTTTGCAACTGAATATGATAAAGGGACTATCTGGGATCACAAATACATAATTATTATGAAAATCCGAACAAAATTGGATTTTTGGCGAATTTTTTAGTGCAGCTAGTTTGGCATCCGGCGCGCCTTCAAAGGGGTGTGACGGGCGTAAATTGGGCCATGGCATCAAACCGCTTCACACTTTTTGCTTTCAGAGGGGGTACTACCATATATCCAAAGGACATCAAGATCTGTCATTATCAGGTTGGCGTACTCTCCTCCTGAGGATGAGCACCGTGATCAATCATAAATATTAATACAAATTGCAAATTGACCACTCGGGTACGAAAACATCGCAAGATGCAAAACCTGGTGGATTAAATTGAGAGAAAATTGTCCACTGATACCAATTACTTATCTTTATGTGTATCAATTTTCCTTCCAGTTTACTTCACTCTCAATTAAAACACTGGGGTTATCACCGGTATAAAAAGCAATTTTGCCAACGTACATATAGAGAAAGTTGATTTGTACACGTTCAGAAATCATATACTTGGTTTCTCGACGTGAGAAAAGCAGTGGCCAAGAAAGAAACTGGAAGAAATATTAGTGCAAAATCCGTCTCATTTTTGCACTTGTGTGAGACTACCAATATGCAAACTGGAACATTCCAGTACGGAACAGAATTATTTTGTCACTTTCGATATGCAACCCGAGCCCTGCACGATTTAGGTGTGATACACAAATTGACCCTTCTTCTCGTCACCATGAAACATGTCGTCGTCACTGGTCCAGCCTTGCATTTGTGTCGCCACGTGGAAAAATGGGAGCGAGAAGCGAGTTTTTTTATATATAAAATGAAATGGCTTATTTATTACTACTTAAAAATCGTCATGGTCAAAAAGGTAACAAAAAGTATGTCATGTTTACAACGTAATAATGCTATTTTTATCAAACGGGTGGGAATAATTATCGTGTCAGAAATAGTTAAACAGATAAAAAAACAAATTTTAAAATGAATAAAGTATGGGAAACGTGTCGCAATTTGGTGAGGGGTCAGTTTTCGACTTTATTCTGGGGGGTGGAGCTTCTTCAAATGTCTCCCAAGATGGTCTGTCCTCGAAAATGTCAGCCCGCAGTGGGGGCAAGGGTGCCAGATTTTGGCATGAACGCTGTTCACATGTCGCACCATGTCACTCTTCCTCCCGAACTTCTTGCCGCACTGGAGGCACACGAAGTCCTTCAACTTCCGGTGAACCGTCTTCTTGTGGACTACAAGGGAGTCTTTTGTAGTCAAGGCTTGATCGCATTGGGTGCACTTGAATGGTCGCGGATCCGCGCTGTGAATGCGCGCGTGCTTGGTTAAGTTACCTTTCAAGCTGAACTGCTCCCCGCACTGGTCGCAGGAAAAGGCTTTCTCCTTCGTGTGGGTGACCACGTGCCCATGATAAGTGCGGCTGTTGGAGAAAATTTTATGGCAAAATAGGCAAACTCGACTTACACGCTGCTCCACGAGGGCGACCTTTTCGTCGGCGGAGAGGTGGAGGAAACCGTGATGGGTAAGGGCTTGTTTGGAGCAGAACGTTTTTCGACAAGTGGGGCACCTCCCGCCAATCTTTTCCTTTGTGTGGGTCACAAGATGACACTCGAGATGAGATGAATCTTGGAACCGTTTTTTGCAAAAGTAGCAGGCGAGGCGCCACCCCCGCCTCACTTCGACGCGCTCCTCGCCGCTCAAATGGACGAAGCGATGCCGGGTCAAGTCTGCTTTCTTGGTGAACTTCTGCTTGCAGACGGGGCAGCCGTGCTTCTTCTGACCTTGGTGCGCGGCCACGTGGTCGACAAAGTCGCGCTTAATGAAGAATGCTTTATCACAGTGGGGTCACTTTGCATGAAAAATTGAGGAATGTTCCAGCTCGTGGGGGTTGAGGTGGGTGCGGGCGTGGAGGCGAGCACTGGTTGCGTTGGTGAATGGACGAAGGCATGTTTTGCATGGGAAGATTTTCTTATTGCCGATAAGTCGTGGTAATTTATCGGAGTTTGTTGACCTGCTGCTGGTTGAAGGGGACTGCACGTGGTTATCGGCACGTGCTCTTTGGACGGAGTGAGTCTTCTGAGGAGGAAGTTGTCCGTTCTCGTGAATACGGTCCCCTTTCTGCGTTGTGGGGACGAGCGGTTTCTGTCCTTTGAGCATTTTCTGGTTGACCTCCATCAAGTCCAACGGCAACGTCTGCTCGGAAGTATCCCCGCCATCAACCCGTTCTCTGCACACAACATGATTAAGTCAACATTTGGTGTTGACCAAGAAATTTTACATGAAAGTCCCTAACGCAATCTTACCAACGACGACTCCTTCTTAAAATTTAGCGTGTGTTCGGGAGGAAAATCTTTTCTTCCTGGAATCCTGATTTTTTCAACCGATGTTCAGCTTTCTTCGCTTGTAGTGTTCTGCTCTTCTTTTCTGAATGTGAGCTAGGTGTAAATTAGGAAATGTTTAAAATTATGAAATTTCTGGAGGAAGAAGTGAGCTCTTGTTTTCCGAGGAGCTTGTTGGTCTCTGACTGAGAGGTGGCTTCACTTATCTGAATATCCCACCAACAGACAAGCCTCGTATAGCAAGACGTACCAAAAAGGTAACATAAAGCAGAGTAATTTATGTAAAGAGAACAAAGCAAGAAATTCATGGGACAAGCAACATAACGCTCATTCATCAGTTATTCAATGCAAATTGAGACGCTTGTCCACCTCTGAAGAAATATGTTTGGGTCCAAAATCTCGCAAATTTTGGGTACGAATCTGAATCAGACTTTGTTTTCTCTGATGCTAATGAGCATTAGCACTAATGCTGCTCTATGCAAGTAACCAATTGCAAGAAATAGCGGTGAGAAAGTGGGTTCTTGCAGGGGAATATTTCTACTGGGAGAAATGCACGGCGCTGTAAATACTTCATACGGCGCGTGGCTGGATGGCGCATATTTCTTGCACCTCGGTTTTCTTGCGGAGCTTGATTCGAAGTTCGAAGAAATGTATGTGATCAACCCTCAAGAAACGAAACACTTGGTGGAAAGATGAACAAAAGGAATTCTGCATAAGATCGGGTCTGGATTTCTTAACTTTTCTAATACAATGTTATTATACGCATACACATTTAATTTAATGGAAATGGGCACTTTGATCAATCACTAAATTACTTGTGGTATTCTCCTACAGATGAAATGCATACGGAATCTCGGAAATTTAGTGTAGGTATTTGTCGCCAACCTTTTATCTGTATGCTCAATGCTTGATTTCTTGTGTATCTATGCATGTATGCCACGGGAAGAAATATGCATGGAAAATACGTCTCGTTTAGTTATGATGCTTGATTTGTTCTCATCCTCCTCAGGCTGAAGTTTGGTTTTATTTCCATTCAACAGAAACAATTCATAATTTCCTCAACTAAACCCAAAGTTTCCACCGATATGAAAAGTATGGTGGAATTTTACATTTCTAGATGGAACGCTCCCGATAAGAAAGTGAACGAGCAGCATTCATCAATTATTGAGGTCTGCGGATCGAAATTAGTATGCAAACTGAGACTTCCTCCAGAATTATTTGTTCCCCTTGGTCCCTTTCGATATGCAGCCTTGTCCGATAAGTGTGATGCACAAACTGACCTTTCTTCTCGTTTTGTTTGTCTGCCTGCACGATTTTAGTTTTCATTACTCAGGAGTTATTCCATTTTAAAAACAAATTATGAGATAATGTGTTATGCAAAGTGGTTGTTTATTCTATGTGACTATGATTTGCATATGGAATGCAAACCATTCTGTATTACCCTCATGGAAAATGGGTTATGCAAAGTGACCGGAAACTGCAATATGAGCCCTGTCTGATTTAAGTGTAATGCGCAAAGTGACCCTCTTTTCGTCATGATCACATACATATGTCGTTATCACTGTTCAAGCTTGCATTTCTGTCGGCACGTGGAAAAATGGGAGCGAGAAGCGATCAGAGTTTTATAATAAACTATTTTATTATTTTATTACGAAAAACGTTCACTCACGACCCTATGGGCGTGACCACGAAAAACGTTGTCACGACTCTAATTGGGTGTGTCCACGAAAAACGTTGTCACGACTGTAATTGAGTGTGACCACGAAAAACGTTTAGTCACGACTCTAAAGGGGGTGCCCACGAAAAACGTTCAGTCACGACTCTAAAGGGGGTGCCCACGAAAAACGTTCAGTCACGACTCTAAAGGGGGTGGCCACGAAAAACGTTCAGTCACGACTCTAAAGGGGGTGGCCACGAAAAACGTTCTTCACGACTCTAAAGGGGGTGGCCACGAAAAACGTTCAGTCACGACTCTAAAGGGGGTGGCCACGAAAAACGTTCAGTCACGACTCTAAAGGGGGTGGCCACGAAAAACGTTCAGTCACGACTCTAAAGGGGGTGGCCACGAAAAACGTTCAGTCACGACTCTAAAGGGGGTGGCCACGAAAAACGTTCAGTCACGACTCTAAAGGGGGTGGCCACGAAAAACGTTCAGTCACGACTCTAAAGGGGGTGGCCACGAAAAACGTTCAGTCACGACTCTAAAGGGGGTGGCCACGAAAAACGTTCAGTCACGACTCTAAAGGGGGTGGCCACGAAAAACGTTCAGTCACGACTCTATCGGTGTGACCACGAAATTCGTTTAGTTACGACTCTAAAGGGGGTAACCACGAAAAACGTCCGGTCACGACTCTATGGGTTGACCACGAAAAACATTAGGTCACGACTCTAAAAGGGGTGGCCACGAAAAACGTTCAGTCACGACTCTAAAGGGGGATGACCTCGAAAAACGTTAGGTCACGACTCTAAAGGGGGTTACCACGAAAAACGTTAGGTCACGACTCTAAAAGGGGTGACCACGAAAAACGTAAGGTCACAACTCTAAAGGGGGTGACCATGAAAAACGTTCAGTTGCGATTCTAAAGGGGGTGTCCACGAAAAATGTTAGGTCACGACTCTAAAGGGGGTGCCCACGAAAAACGTTCAGTCACGACTCTAAAGGGGGTGGCCACGAAAAACGTTCAGTCACGACTCTAAAGGGGGTGGCCACGAAAAACGTTCAGTCACGACTCTAAAGGGGGTGGCCACGAAAAACGTTCAGTCACGACTCTAAAGGGGGTGGCCACGAAAAACGTTCAGTCACGACTCTAAAGGGGGTGGCCACGAAAAACGTTCAGTCACGACTCTAAAGGGGGTGCCCACGAAAAACGTTCAGTCACGACTCTAAAGGGGGTGGCCACGAAAAACGTTCAGTCACGACTCTATCGGTGTGACCACGAAATTCGTTTAGTTACGACTCTAAAGGGGGTAACCACGAAAAACGTCCGGTCACGACTCTATGGGTTGACCACGAAAAACATTAGGTCACGACTCTAAAGGGGGTGGCCACGAAAAACGTTCAGTCACGACTCTAAAGGGGGATGACCTCGAAAAACGTTAGGTCACGACTCTAAAGGGGGTTACCACGAAAAACGTTAGGTCACGACTCTAAAAGGGGTGACCACGAAAAACGTTAGGTCACAACTCTAAAGGGGGTGACCATGAAAAACGTTCAGTTGCGATTCTAAAGGGGGTGTCCACGAAAAATGTTAGGTCACGACTCTAAAGGGGGTGACCTCGAAAAACGTTAGGTCACGACTCTAAAGGGGGTGACCTCGAAAAACGTTAGGTCACGACTCTAAAGGGGGTTACCACGAAAAACGTTAGGTCACAACTCTGAAGTATGGCATTGTTCTAACGTTTTAAGTACGTTTAGGCACTTAAACCAAAAGCCCGCCCTCTAGCGCTGAAAAACAGCCAACATCCGATAGGTGGCGCTGGTAGGTAATTAAATTGGTAAGGCACAGGTCAAGTGTCAACTTTGCCGTGGGGCACAGAGGTCACAGGTCAAGTATAGTGGATGTGCCCAGGTCACAGGTGAAATGTCAAATCTAGTGGGTGTGCCCAGGTCACAGGTGAAATGTCAAATCTAGTGGGTGTGCCCAGGTCACAGGTGAAATGTCAAATCTAGTGGGTGTGCCCAGGTCACAGGTGAAATGTCAAATCTAGTGGGTGTGCCCAGGTCACAGGTGAAATGTCAAATCTAGTGGGTGTGCCCAGGTCACAGGTGAAATGTCAAATCTAGTGGGTGTGCCCAGGTCACAGGTGAAATGTCAAATCTAGTGGGTGTGCCCAGGTCACAGGTGAAATGTCAAATCTAGTGGGTGTGCCCAGGTCACAGGTGAAATGTCAAATCTAGTGGGTGTGCCCAGGTCACAGGTGAAATGTCAAATCTAGTGGGTGTGCCCAGGTCACAGGTGAAATGTCAAATCTAGTGGGTGTGCCCAGGTCACAGGTCAAGTGTAGCGGGTGTGCCGAGGTCACAGGTCAAGTGTAGTGGGTGTGCCCAGGTCACAGGTCAAGTGTAGCGGGTGTGCCGAGGTCACAGGTCAAGTGTAGCGGGTGTGCCGAGGTCACAGGTCAAGTGTAGTGGGTGTGCCCAGGTAACAGGTCAAGTATGATGGGTGTGCCCAAGCCACAGCCACAGGTCAAGTGTCAACTCTGTAAAGTGTCAACTTTATGGGTTGTACGCAGGTCGCAGGTCAAATGTCAAGTCCAGGGGTGTGTGCCAAGGTCACAGGTCAAATGTCAAATCTAGTGGGTGTGCCAAGGTCACAGGTCAAATGTCAAGTCTGGTGGGTGTGCCCAGGTCACAGGTCAAATGTCAAGTTTAGGGGGTGTGCCCGTTCATTTGATCAAGTCTCGGCAGATCTAAAGGGTGTGTTTCGTTGTTCTCGTGTTCGTCAACGTTTTGACACTTTAGCGAAAAACGCCCTCTAGAAACGAAAAATGTAACATAGTGCCCCACCTGCCGCTAGGTGACATTAGCTTGGACAATGTGAGACACGTGTGTAACCAAGCGCCAAGTTCAACTGGTAACACACACCACTGCACAATTCTTGGTTCTGATGAATTAAAAAAAATAAAACTAAGGCGAGAGGCGCTATTACAAACAAGAAACAAGCCCTCCCATCAACACCCCCGTCTCGCCGTGGCCCCATTAATATTCTTATATCTTGGGGGTGTAACCACAATTTTATTTTTTGAAATTCTTTCCTGCATTATATACAATTAAAAAAACCAATACTGTGATACTATGCCAAAATGGGTGCATGTCATTTTCATGAAAGTGTCATAAAATTGTCACACAAATGTTGGAAATCAAAATACGAAATCTTGTTTATTTAGCTCGTTTACCAGAACAGCTAGCTCAATTCTGAAATTTCTGAATGCAAATTTGGAATGTATTTAGTCACATGATTGCCTACATTAAAAGTTGGTTTTAAGAAGTAAATATTTCATTTTTTGTACGAAGGTTGATGAATAGAGTCAGGTTATGTATATGTTTCAAACTTTTTCAACAACACTACCGATTGACTTAAAACTTTAGGATCTTGGTTCTGGTATATAGATTTTCTTTAATCAAAAATCTTTAATTAAAAAAACGTTTTTATACATACACTCTAAGAAACCTGGTGATAACTATCACCGCGCGGTGGTCATATGTGACTCTACCGGAAAGATGACAACTGCACCACCGCACGGTGATTGATCATCACTAAGCTGGTGATGGGCATCCACCCTCCGGTGGTCTTCTGCCACCTGTCGGTAGAGTCACATATGACCACCGCGCTGGTGACAAAATTTCTTAGAGTGTATTTGTCGATTTTATTAAACATTTTACATAATGTTTCGGAGTTTTTAAGAATATATTTATCCGAACTCTGTTGATTAATGCTAGACGGCATGTTTAAATTGAAATTAATGTAAGAACTACAGGTAATAGGTTTTAAAAGTGCAGTGCAATATAAGATTGTACTATATATCAATTTTAAATGCAGTTTACATTGGTAGTTAAAGGTTTGAATTATAAATTGTGGTTACACCCCCAAGATATAAGAATATTAATGGGGCCACGGCGAGACGGGGGTGTTGGTGGGAGGGCTTGTTTCTTGTTTGTAATAGCGCCTCTCGCCTTAGTTTTATTTTTTTTAATTCATTTATTTTGTCGTTTTTAAGTGAATAATTTTTTAACTCCGTCATTAAAAACCCACAGTGCAGACTTGATATAGCCCGAGTCAAAAAAGGTTGCAATTATCACCCAATCCGAAGTTTTGCACGATTTTTTTTCATAAATGCATATCAATATCTTGTAAATAAAAACTAATGGCTCTAATTTAAATTCACATTCTTGCATTACTGTTCGTTCAAAATTAATATGCAGTAAAGTCCTCAAAATTTTGTAAAAGGTCAAATGGTCGAAGTTGCTGGTTGACATTGACAACGATTTAATTAGGTACATTTTGTCTACTTTTTCAATGAATATTAGGTGAAATTTGGAAAATATAAACAAACTCAATCAATGGAAACCAATCATCCGCCAAATAACCTTTCAGACTTTTTACTGCATATTAATCTTGAATGATCAGAAGTAGCAATTGGCAGCATATGTAACAAATTGCGGTTTGATACGACGATTAAAATAAATCCTTTCGGGTCCCTTCAGATGAATATGTTTCCGATTTTCCTTAATTCATATTGTTCCATTACGAGCCATTCCAAATTTACAGACAGACGGACCTGACGAGTATATAAGCCCTGGCTCGGGCCATCATTTATACATACATATAAAGAATTTCTTTACTATAGTTGCTATGGATGTAACTGAATTTTAAAAATTTCAAACCTCCATAACTTCGTCATTTTGCATCCGATTTTCATGACCCTAAAGAATGATGTTAATAATTTTTTCAGCCCTTTCGATTCCCCTTTGCCGATTTTTCACTTTCAGCGGAATATTTTGAGATACAGAAAAAAAAGTCACTAAAATTATAAATACACCATGAAGATGTGAACCGATTAAGCCAAGAGATCTATGCGCAATACTACAAAGAATTTACTACCCATTGGTCGAAACCGCATGTCTCTACGACGTATGGTTCTCTCACAATCTTGTTTGACTGTTTTGAGGTGTCCACTTAACTGCATACTATGGCTTCGCCGTAACCATGCACGTATTTTTTTGGGTGCATGGTTACGTTTGGGTCTCGCCTTAGAAAAAAAGAGAATGTTTTTACTACATAATTAAAAATTGTCATGGTCAAAACGGTAACAAAAATCGTGTCAGATTAACAACTTAATACTTGAATTATATATATACGCCACGCTTATCGGAATAAATATCTCGTCACAAATGGTGGCATGAGGAAAATGTAAAAATATCTAAAACATGTCGTCAGCAGGTGACGCTCAGTTGTGCAGTTGTTTGGCAGGAGGATGACGCGGGGTGAACCCTCCTGACATGTTTGCCAACATCTGACTTGGTCGTGTACGTCTTCCCGCAGTTCTGGGGGCAGGGGTGCTGGATTTTGGCATGGACACCTTTCACGTGTTCCACCATGGTCCCCTTCCTCCCGAACTTCTTCCCGCACTGGAGGCACGTGATGTCGTCCTTCAGCTTCCGGTGAACTGACTTCTTGTGCCTGGTCAGATTTCCCTTTTGACCGAAAGCCTGGTCACACTCGGTGCATTGGAAGGGTCGTGGATCCGCGCTGTGAATGCGCGCGTGCAGGTTTAAGTGACTTCTCAAACTGAACTGCGCCCCACACTTGTCGCAGGAGAATCTCCTTCGTGTGGGAGACGAGGTGAGACTGATAAGTGGAGTTATCGGGGAAGGTCTTTTGGCAGAACAGGCACAACGACTCGTTCTTCAAATTTCAACGTGTGTTCCGGAGTAAAAAATTGTTCGACTCCTTCACAATTTTCAACTGACGTTCTGCTCGCGTATCTGCGTATCCCAACGACAGCCAAGCATCGTGTAGCCAGACGTACCAAAAAGATGACAAAATGCCGAATAATTTATGTACGGAGAACTCAGCAAGAAAATCATGTGACAAGCAGCAACACGTTGGTGATGGTGCTCATTGATCATTCAGCAGTTATTCAATGCAAATTGATATTGCACCTCTCATTTCTTACGTTTCTTCTATTGTAGTGCAAAAAATGTGCATGTGGCAAACCCACAAGAAACGAAACACCGGGAGGAAACATCAACAAAAGGAATTCTGCATACGATCGATTGTAGATTTCTTAACTTTTCTAAATACAATGTTATTATACGCATGCATACTTAATTTAATAGAAATGGCCACTTTGCTCAATCATTGGATTACTTGGGGCATGTAAATTGACCACTCCTGCACGGAAAATGTAAACGGAATCTCGGAAATTGAGTATATTTGGTATCAACCTTTCATCTTTAGGCTCAATGCTTGATTTCATATGTCACTATTACTGGAAGAAATATGCATGGAAAATACATACCTCTCGTTTAGTTATTATGCTATTATTTGTTGTCATATAATAATAGTTTATTCACTTCATATTCGGTAGAAATACATTTCAAAAGAGATCATTCATATACCCTGAAGTTCAGGAAATACATGAATGTCTTAAGTATAGTCATTAAATCATATCAAAAAATCAATTACATAAAAAAAATCATAAACAAATTTGCAAAGATAATTTATGTGAGACTTTTAGTCAGTAAAACAGGTAACTCTCATATGCCTTTGTCATCCTCCTCAGGCTGAGCTTTTCCATTCGACGGAAATATCTAATGCCTGGTTTCCTTAAATAAAACGTAGTTTTCCAAACGTATGAAAAGTATCGTGGAATTTTAGAGTTTTCTATTTTTGATGGAATGCTCACGATAAGAAAATGATAAACCATTCGTCAATTGTTGAGGTCTGCGGATCAGAATAAAATGCAACCTGAGACTTCCTGCATAATTATTTGTTCATACCTCGGTCCTATTCGATATGCAGCCCGCAACCTGAGCCCTGTACGATTTTAGTTTTCATTACTGAGGAGTTATTCCATTTAAAATAAAAATTATGAGAAAATGTGTTATGTAAAGTGGATGTCTATACCATGTGACTATTATGAAATACAAACCAATGCTATATTACCCTTATGGAAAATGGGTTATGCAAAGTGACCGGAAACTGCAACCTGAGCCCTGCACGATTTAAGTGTGAAGCACAAAGTGACCCTTCTTCTCGTCACGATGAAATAAATATGTCGTCGTCACTGTTGAAGCGGTGCATTTATGTCGGCACATGGAAAAATGGGAGCGAGAAGGGAGCAGAGTTTTATATCAAAAGAGAATCACTTTACTACATAATTAAAAATCCTCATGGTCAAAACGGTAACAAAAATCGTGTCATATAAACAACTTAATACTTGAATTATATACAGACGCCATGCTTATCGGAATAAACATCTCGTCACAAATGGTGAAAATGAGGAAAATGTAAAACTACATATCTAAAACCTATCGTCAGTAGGTGACGCTCAGTTGTGCAATTGTTTGGCAGGAGGACGACGACATTCTGGGAGGTGAGCCCTCTTCACATCTGACTTGGTCGTGCATTGGGGGTTGAAGGGGTCGCTGCGCGCTCCTCGCGCTCCTCGCGGCTCAGGTGGACGTGGACGTGGAGGTGCCTGGTTAACTGCGCTTTCCAGATGAACTTCTTCTCGCAGTGGGGGCAGGCGTGGTTCGTCCGCCCGTCGTGCGCAGCCAGGTGGACGCTAAAGTTGTCACGACGGTAGAACGTTTTTTCGCAGTGGGGGCACTTATCATAGAAAATTGAAGCCTTCTTCAGTTCGGCGGAGGTGAGGTGAGTGCGGGCGTGGAGGCGAGCACTGGTTGCGTTGGTTGATTTATGCCGGCATTTTTTGCATGGGAAGATTATCTTGGGTTTGGCTGGCGTCGGGTGCACGTGGTTAGCGTCACCTCTACCAACGGCTAATTTCTTTCTCTGCACAAAATATCGTTACGTCAGCATTCGGAGTGGAACAGATTTTTCATGAAAATTATATAAGAATTATGTAAGAATGCAATTTTACCAACGCCTCCTTCACGTTTGGGCAGACTTGCTTATTGCCAGTAACTTGTGGTGATTTATTGGCGTTTGATGACCTGCGGTTGGCTGAAGGGGAGGGCACGTGGTTATCGGCACGTGCTTTTTGGACGGCGTGAGGAAGAAGTCGTCCAGCCTCTTTAGAACCTTGCCCTTTGTACATTTTCTCTATTTTGAGGACGAGCGATTTCTGTCCTCGGTGGAGCGCTTTCTGGTGCGCGTGCGTCGATCCCAGGTCTCGTTCTGATCGTGAGTTACCCTTTCGATGACCAAAATATTATTAGGTCACCATCTCAAGTTGAAGGACAGTTTTGCATGAAAATATTCAGAACGCAGCCTTACCGACGACTCGTTCTTAAAGTTTGGACGCGTGTGTTCCAGACTAAAAAAAATATTTCCCTCGTCACTCGTCGAATCCTGCTTTTCAGGCTCCCCGTGATTGGGTGGAAATTTGGAAATGTTTAAAATTTCTGGAGGTGAGCTCTCGTTGGATGGGAAACTTGTTGATCTCTATGTCCCTCAGAGGAGAGCTTCACTTATCTGCGTGCGTATCCCACCAAGCCAAGCCCAAAAGCCAAGTCAACGACTTAATCTCTAAGCGAATTAAGCCAAACCATCCATGGAACAAGCAGGACGGTGGTGATGGTAAATATTCATTAAATATGCAATGCAAATAATTCATTCGGTTGTCCACCTCTGGAAGAAGTATGCACAATGTCTCAAATTTCGTTATGCATCAGATTTCCTTGCCTCCATTTTAGTGCTACTGTTTTGCTTTTACATACATTCGTGTTCCTCGGAATTTTGTGACAGTTCCATTAAAAAAATGAACCATTGACGAAACGGAAACCAAACAAAAGATATTTTGCATATTATTGAATCTGGATTTCTTACCGTTTTGCATGCAACCTGACGCATATGCAAAATGAATTTAATGGAAGTGAGTGAACACCGTGATGTAAATTGAGCACGAAAACATCACAAGATGCAAAACTGGTGGATTAAATTGAGACAACTGATACCAGTTATTTATCGTTATGCATGGATATCAAATTTCCTTCCAGTTTACATCTCTCTCAATTAAAAACCAGGGGTTATCATCGGTAAAAAGCGTGTATTTTCCCAACATGTAGAGAAATCTGATTGGCACCACACACGTTCAGAAATCATGCCTGGTTTCTCGACGTGAGAAAAGCAGGGCCAAGAAACTGGAAGAAATATGAGTCCAAAATCCGTCTCATTTTTGTACTTTTGTGAGACTACATTCGTGTACATAGCATTGGTCCATGGTCCACCGATGGACCATTCTTTTATGGTCCATGGTCCAGCTACATTCGTGTATAAATGACGAATTGACCAGTCTTTTAAATATTAGGTGACCACAAATCATCCCCAGTCTACCATGAAAGAGCATACCTGTTCACTCTCATTCATTTGACTGATTATGATAGTGAATGAAAATGAAACTACTGTCATTTGCATGAAAATGACTGTGAATGAAAGGATTTCTCACTCATTTCATTTTTCACCCTATGCTTAATACATGGAGCGAAGTAAGAAATGAAGTCAGATGAAGTGAAGTGAAATGAACTGAGTGTGAACGAAAATGACTGAATGTGAATGAAAATCTTAAGTCAGAAATCGGGATGACTGACTTTTTAATGAATACATAATTTTTGAACAGGTATGCGAAAGACGAAGCATTTTAAGCGGTAGGCAATTACATAATACTTGATCATCAATCATTGTTGTAATATTCAAGTGTAAAAGTTAATTAGGTTTAACCTTAAATTAAGTATCGTTAATGTTCAATAGTGTTCTAATCATTCTAAGCTAACTTCTACACATCGTAAATGATGTATGAGACTGTTTTCCATAATTTCACTGGCTCATCCCTGACGAGATTGGAACTTATATCGTTCTAAATATGCATGCATTTCTTATCTAGGTTTGAAGTTGAGTAGAAAAATATATTTCGAAAATTATACATATTTTTATTAATGCAGAACCATGTACGATAATAATTTGGACAGTTTTTCCTATATAAACTACAAATTAACATTCTACACATTTCCATTCTACTCAGCGTAATAATCAATATTGATATGATATTATAGGTACGGAATAGATTCATTATCAAAACATTTTACCGTTGAACAAGATATTTTCAGATATATGTACATAGATTTTCCGTATGATAAGCACGTTTAATTAACTGACTAGAACTGATAATCACTTCCTGGCCAACCAGGCTTGCGACTTGTGCGAATCTTGGCGATGACCGAGCACGGAGCGTCGTCGCATAAAATTGTTTTCATCGCGCCCACTATTTCCGGGTGGTTGCAACGCGGGCATCGGCGTGCTTGCAGCGGCCGGTTGGCCAATGGAATCGTTCATGTCGACGGGGATTGCTTTATCTGAATTGTTGTTCTGCAGGTGAGAATCCCACAGAAGATGGATGGACCCGACGGGATCTTCAGTCGTCTGATCACGTGGTGGTGGGGGAGGTATGCTGAAAGTACAAGCTCATTACAAACCCCTCGTTTCAAACCCGGCTACTTACAAACCGCTCAGTACAAACCCCGCTCATTACAAACCCTGGGGACATAAATTAAATTAGTGAATTGCCTAAATATTCTAAACAAATGTTCCGAATTGTTGATTTAATCGGATTTCATGAATTCATTTTAAAAAATCCGATTTGAGACACGAAATGAAAGAAGTGTTACGGAATAACAAAAAACCTCACACCTTAGTATTTTATTACACTTTTCATATTTTTGGGGAAATTTAATGGACTTCAAGTGTCCTAAAAAAGATATGACTATTGTAAAAAATCCCGCATATTCACATAAAATCTTAGGCTACTGGTATGAAATCATGAAATCATCGAAAAGTTTCATGTTTTAATTACATCAAGATTAATTCATGAAATCTGATTTATAAAAAATATTTTGAATGTTTGATTATTTGACCAATTCACCAATTCCCTTTTCGGATTTATGGTGCCCAGTGGGGTTTGGAATGAGTGGGGTTTGTAATGAGCAAGGTTTGTAAATATTTTCCTACAATCGTGGGGGAGAGTCGTCCTCAATCTCCTGATTTTGAGCCGGCGGAGTATTTTCCATCTGGAAAAAAGGACATTTTAGAACATGGAATAAATCGGATAAGGTGTCATTATTTTAAAAAAAATAGCTCTGCTAACATCATCAAAGTCGAGCTTTCGGCTGACGGACTTGAGTGTAAACCTGTCTACATGTGAGAACGCTGTGGTGGACTTGGAACTCGCGTCGGTGCTGGTACTGAGGTACACGTACTCCTCCTTTGTCAGGTTTGGTACTGTTTCCGTCTCCGAGCAGTTGTCGACCTGAAATGAGGTCAGAACTTAATTTAACAGTGATCACATTTAAATAAGTATGGAGCTTGTCCTGGGTCGAGAAGATATTTGTTAATTTGACTATGTAAAATACGTCACAATTCCACTGTGACCGACATTTATGACAAGAATTATGGACAAATTGGACAACTTGAACTTGTCATGTTTGTCACAAATTTTAAATGTCTGACAAATTGGACATTTCTGACATGTCATGACTCATGACGGCACATTTAACATAAGAATTTCCCTTATTTCACTGCTCACCATACTAAAGTACGGTCCCAATGCGGCCTCAACTTCTTTGGGCAGGTCGCCCGGACCGAAAGACAACACTGTGTTGGTCCAGCTCTCCAGTTCCCCTGTCGCCAAGGAACTCCGAGCCCGCTTCCTGCCCCTCATCGCCCCCCCAGGTCCGGTCAGAGGAGATCCGGAGTCCATAAAATTCCTTCCCCGAGTCGTGCGAGCGACGACGTATGACGGTGGGGTCACTAAACTGCCGGATAAGATGCTTATGCCATCGGACGAACTTTGAGCAATGTCCGCAGTGTCCGAGGTGGATTCTGGATCTTCCAACCGTTGAACAAAGTCCGTCGACCATCCCCTCCGGGACTTGGGACGAGGTGGGCGCGGTGGGGACGCAAGGGTGGGAGGAAGGATTGAGTAGATGGAAGCCTGCAAATCGGTCAGACAAAATGGGTCGGAGGAGGAGCTCGTCCTGAAAAGAAGAGTTAAACAAGTCAGTTAATTATTTATTATTGATTAAAAATGTTAAGGGTATGCATTCTCAAGTATTGAGCAAGATATCCATGCAAAGATAATTAGTTAATGAATGATCTGAAAAGATACCCATGCAAAGTTGTCCTATTTGGAGATACGGAATTACTAAACAGTATCTTATCTTTTCGATATTTTGAATCTTATCAAAACTCGGATAGATTAGATTTCTCGTCTGATGAGATTTGTAAAGGTCTGACTTGAACGTTGATAATTTGCAGGAGACCATGACCTACCCATCAGTACTGCTCGTCACTACGATGCCGCGGCCGTGACCCTCCGGATTTTCCAGTGCCGAGGAAGATTGCTGGGCGGCCAGGTCGAGGCGCATAAACTTACTGACGGGGGAGGGATTTGAGTTATCATCTCCACTTGTTTCGTTGTTTCTCTTCATGATGTGACCGTAGTTAAATTATTGTTACAATTTATAGAAAATTATACCACCAAATTTGGAGAATAGATACGATGAATTTAAAATCTTGCGTTGACTGAGGCGAGGCCTGCCTGACTGGAGAGACAAGTATTGACACTACTCTAAATTGATTACGACTGGTAATTTATGACTAGAAAAGGGACCGAGATAAGTGAACCTATCTTTAGAGCTTGAGACTCAACTATTTAGTTAATCACAGATAATTATTAATTAATTTTGCCGTTCTCTCCCAGCCGGCCGGTGGACGGAGATGGATCAGCCGCAGCCTCGATCTCAGCTCAACTTTTCCAAATTATTTTCTTCTCAACGCCACGGCAACAGACTCGCCCGTCTTGAATCTCAATTTCTTCATTTAATTCATTCCACCACGGAACAGTTGATGGCGACAATTTACTAAATAATAAGTACAAATTAATGAAGTACAATAAAATGTTACACTATTCTATTATAAATATATGTATGCATCTTCACACTTAATTAATTAACTAATTAATTGTATCAACTTTGATAACTACGAATATAATATTAAATTATGTAGTAATTCGACACTTGCTTTCTTCCTAGATCATCCAATTTTATTTTTGAATAATATCACATACATTTCCAGATAACCTTTACATGCATAATATACATTCAGTGTTTAGCTTTATATGTTCCTTACTCTGTTCGGATTTTGTACTTTTGGCATAATACAATTATTAGTGAGACTATAATTTAAATTAGCATATTGACGAGAACACGTATCATGAGATCAGGATTACTGGTTAAAAATCATAATATAATATAGATGAGATGAGGATGAGACATATACACATTTATCACAGCATGCGAATTTCACTAGTTCAAAATTCTTGTAAATGCAGACTTCCAGAATGACCTTGCCCCCCTCAACCCCCAATAGGAGGTAAGGCGTCTAAATCATGCAACTGCTGGTGCAAGAGGTTCCACTCCATAAGGAACAGGATAATCCTCCCAGTGTACAGTTGCAAATCGAAAAGAGTCCCGCTAGTGTACATCTACAATACAATAACAATTAGCCATCAATTAATATTAATCACGATTACAAATAGTTGACCTGAACTTACGATATGTACAAATCTGGCACATCCTGGTATTTTTCGGGTATCATATTCGCGAACTAGGCGAACTACACTGGTGTCCCCTGTCTTGGGGAGTGGAATCCGTTTGAGGGTTAACGTGTCCATGATGTGGCACGCCCACTTCCAGAAGCCTGTCCTCCTAAACGACATTTCCGAATAGTTAGTTATCGAGTTAATTAGTAGTTAAATGTGTCGAAATTGAGGAGAAGTGAGGGACGCAAAGTTGCCTTGAATCGGAGCGAGTGAAGGAAAGTGAGCTCTGGGAAAAAAGTGCTGCTGGGCTGGTGAGTTGACCTCCCGACGGTTTTCCAAGTTCAACCGCAACCCAGTTTTTCTTCTCACAAATTTGACTCTTTTTGGAAATTGAGATTATTCTGGAAACTTATTCTGGTTCAGAAATAACTCAAAATGCTATTTGAAAATATAAAATTTGTTACCGGAATACCTAAAATTTCATGAATTGAGAGCACGAAGGATGTAAGATTGTTCTGAAATTTCTGTGGGGACATTCCACACACTTCCGCGGCCATTCTGCTAATGGACTCAAATGGTGTCTTGAGAGACCAGTGGCGGCAGGACAGGGGGACATGGTCCCCACAGAAATTCAGAAAAATCCTACTCACCTTTCGCATGTTAGTAAGACCCTCCTCTTCTTACCGCACAATGCTTATGTCCCCCCTATTCCGCCGCCACTGTGAGAGACTTATTTAAAGAGAATGTTGGGACGAAGTGATTTTCATTCGTCTTGCTAAAATCCTCCATTAGTTTGACATTAACTCCGGAAGTAAAGAAGGTGACAAAGAAAGAAGAGTGCAATGAAGGCCCCACCCGAGACGCCATCCGCCGCCACCGTCCGACGGACCCTCAGGTGGTTGCAGGTGGTTGCAGGCCCGCGTCGGGAGGCCGGCCGGCCCCCGTCCGTCAAGGCCGGAGATATGGGCACGCCTTGAAGCGCAGGTACCAAATGTTTGTCTTTACTTAGATTGAGGAATAGCTTTTGGTGGCCAATTTCTTCAAATTTACGAATATTTTGACAAATTATAAATATATGCATCAGTAATTTATAAATTACGATTTTTTAAAAATAATATTTACCAATTTTTTTCAAATTTAGGAATAGCTTTTCATCTTATTGATATTTTTTTTTAATTTTCGAATACTTCACAAATTATTGACCAGTTTTTATAATTTACTCGTTGAAAATTATTTACGAGTTTTTTATCTAAAGCCTCATTTTCACAATTCAGTTAATTCTATAGGGCAATTCAATCTCGGAAATTTTATATCCAGCACTTTTCATTTCCAAAAGTTCATTTAATTACCAATTAAACAATAATGGCCTCCTCGTCATCATCGTCTTCTTCCTCCAACTCTAATAAATCCGTGCTGTTCGTGGATTTGCGTAAGTTCAATTAAATTTTCCTCCTCTTTAAACCATGCATGATTCAAAATTTCCAACTTTATATCACAAATTATGCTTGGTAATTACAAATTTGCCATAAAATTACTAACAAAAGACATCCTCCCGTTCTTCAGGGAACATCTGTTTCTCGCCCATCGCCGAGGCAGTCTTCCGCCGCCTCGTCGCCACCCGTGGCGTCGCGGCGGACTGGACGGTCGATTCCTGCGGTATAATTGACCTTCATGCCGGTCAAAATCCGGAACCAAGGGCTCGGAAAGTCTTGAGAGATCGTGGCCTCGCGGAGTACAAGCACAAAGCGAGGGTGGTAAGTTTTAAAGCACAATTAAAAAAATTATGGATCACGATTAACAACAACAATCATCTCGTTTCAGATAAGGAATGATGACTTGGCTAAGTTTGACTACATCCTTGGCCTGGAAATGGATGACGTATCGGAGTTAAAATACATGAAATTCATCCAGGAGCAAAGGACCCAGGTCAGGATTCATCTTCTCGGCGAATTCAACCAGAATAATGTTCACTTTGAAGGAGAACTCAAGGAAGCTAGGGATCCTTTTCACGTAATAGTTCCCTCATTCCATTAATGCAGGACGAGATGACTGATCGTCAAAATCCGCACATTTTTCCCCTAATTTATTTTAAAATTCTGAACTTGTTGTTGTCAATTGAAAGAAAATATGCACTCCAGATTTTGAAGGAGGAAATCCCAAAGTTAAGAAGGCTTCAGAAAAATCATTGAAACTGGCTGAAAAAACTAGACGTGATTCCATTAATCAACTTACTTACCGAGTACAAATTAGTAGTTCAGAATTTTAAATTAAATTCCCAAAATTGATTAGAAAGGTTTTAATTTTGAGGATTTTGTTGATAAGTAATCCAGTCCTGCGTTATGTAAATGTTGCCAGCTAATTAAGTTTTTTTTTGTATTTGATGACACGCTGATTAATTTCTTAGCATAAGGACAATTATCTTATTAATAATTCATTTTTTTTAATTGTTGTTAACTGCAGGAGAACGATGACAGGAGTTTTTATGCCTGTTACGATCTGTGTCTGGACGCGTGCAAGGGTTTCCTGGATAATTTGGAGAAAGCAGATAAAGAAGCAAAACAATCAAAAAAACCAGATAATTCTGAGAAACCGACAAAACCAGATCAAAAAGCAAAGCAATAATCTGAAACGATTTAACTCCTCCAATTAACAAATTATATTTAATAATCACCTCATTATTATCACATTTTTCTAAAGAAATGAACGACTTTAAGTCAAACTTTGTTATTTATACATATTTAAAAAATATATGTACTACACACAAAAACATTTTATAATGAAGAAATAAATATGAATACTTTTACAGTAAATTAACGTACTTAATTTCAAAATGACCAGCTTATTGTCATCTTTCATCATCCACATTTGTAATCATTTAAGTATCGGCTCTGTAAATTTATTTTACAATTAAATTACAATTAAGATAAGCCAGGGATGCTATGTTTTTTTTAATTTGGCGACGACGACCTGCTTTGCAAATTCGTCGTTCAGAATTTCGAAATAAATTCTCAGATCCGGGAAATTATTAAAAGCGTGCTGATTAAACAATAAACAGTAAAGAATTTCAGCGACTTTTGTGGTGACGAGTCATACATTTATTTTGTAGTGACCAGTATATTATTACTTAATTACACTTTATCTTTCCTCCAGATCAAATTATGATGTAGTTAAAAAATCATGAAAAGAGTTTCGCAATTCAAGTGATGAGATGCGTAATAAATCGAAATTAATTTGCAACATGGGAATCTCTCTTGAGTTTCAGGAACACTGTTTTCGTCTCATGCAATCTGCAAACAAGGCAAACTTTTATTGATAACTCGCCCACAAAGCGGTGACACACTTGTCACTTGGATTATGCTCGTTTATTAATGAATGCCGTAACAAAAGGTGACATGAAGGAGGCGATGCTGCGTCGGTGCGTCGTTAATCCGCTCTTTAATTGCAGAGGGGAGAGAAGAAGGGTTAAATTGTGTAATGAAGATGATTATGAATCAGTTTTAATGACGAATTAACGCAACACGGTGGTCGTCTCATCAGAATGACTCCAATTTCTCAAGTACCGTGTCGCATTTCGTGTCAATTTGTACATAAACTTGGCTCAAGTTAATTTAATATTTAACCAAACCACGTGAAATGGAAGGTGAACACAATTATAGCGGATCGATAAGACCACGATAAACCCACATTTTTTGGGGGGAGGGGGGACACGTTACTAACTGGTCGACGCTTGAACGTGGCGTCGTGTGTGACTGACTGTGGTCACAAATGGTAATAAACTTGGTCCTTTTTCTATTCGGTTTTGAAATTCAGCAATAAATTTTTATCCCACTTTTTGAAAAATACTTTCCCTTTTCTGCTAATCTCAAAATTTAGCCATGTCAAATATTGACCTCCTTATATCCACCCACTTTCCATGTGACTGACGCATACGAACAAAGTCGGTTTCATACAAAACTGCATGAGATGAATGATGCTCACCAAATAACATCTTATGTTTGTTTATTCCTGCAAAAATGTGCAGAATTTATTTCGCAAGTATTAAATAGGTAAGCAAAGATAAAGAAGCCAAGACTTGTGGTCGACCGACTGTGAATTACGAGATGGATGGACGACTGAGTGAATGACGAGATTTGCAAAAGTGCGTTTCGAATTTGCATGCACATGATCATCACGTCATCTTCTTCATCACCGCACGTTGTTCTTGAGCTGACCAGACGCCACTCTGAAAGCGGAGAGGAAGAAAAGAAAATGATGATTACGTAACAAGAAGGAAAGAAATAGTGTTTTTTTGATTCTTGAGAATGGATTCCATCCGATGAACGATGATCAGGAATGAGTGGTCAACAAGGCGTGAAACATTGTGGCGTCGCTTTTTTTTCAATTATTAGTTTTTATTAGTATGTGAAGCATCATTATAAATGTACAATTATTAATCATTTCCTAATTTTCCTCTTCCTCCTCCTCCTCCGAATCCGACCCAGCAACCGTCGAGGGATCCAGGGACGATTCCTCTTCTTCTCTGCAATTTCAATAAGATAATTATTAGGACGAGGTTTAGCATAAAGTAAAATTCCAGCATCAGAGGGTGGATATATATTTATGAAAAAATCGAAGAAATACATGTATTTAATATTTTGAAGAAGAAATCGCCAAAATGGGTACGAAAAAAAGCCCATACAAATATTTAAGAATATTCGCAAAATTTGTATCTTTGAATGTAATACTTTGGATTTTTTTGTTAAATTTCTTTGAAAAAAAATGTCGTCTTTCATACATCGTTGAATGTACCTATGTGTTTAAAAAATGAAGTGGAAAAGAGTTCCGTATTATTCAAATAATAGAGGAAATATTGATGTATGTAAGAAATATGTAAAAACATTTTGAAATTTGTGTGATGGAGTTAAGGAATCCGACAAAATTTGACCGTCGGTCGGAATCAAATGAAAAATTTGAGCATATTTAAATTCATATCCTTCCTCTGCTAATCGGACAACGGGATTCGTACACGCCATGCGTCCTTCTTTTCTCTGCAAAAGCGTGGGTAAAAGCGTGGCGCTGACTGTGCATCAAATTATTATGTCGGATTTTGAAATGACAGATCGGAACGGAAAAAGAAGAGATGATGATAATGAACTTATCAGTTTTGGTATGCATGTATAAAAATATTAGTTTACATCAAAGGATCGATTTGTTGGTCGGGAATGGTTCCGTCGATCCACTCCTGAACCTCATCCATGAGTTGTTCTATGGAAGAGGAACAAATATAGTTTTTCTTTGGAAAATAAGTCATAAAACTGGTACAAAATCAGCAAAAAAAAAAAAAAACGAGAAGGCACACCCACCAAAAGAAAACGGAGGTTTTTCTACTTTCGGTCCCCGTTCCGCGAAAATTTCATCGTCGTCGTCGTCGTCATCGTCACTTTCTCCCTCCTCCTCGTCGCCGTTCTGGGAGGCTGAGGGGATGTCAGCGATGGAATCGTCCCCCGACGGCGGCTCGGAGAAGGGCTCCGACTCCGATTCCCCTTCAGAGAAGGGCTCACTCTCTGAGGTCCCCTGAGAAGAGGGTTGCCAGGTCGGGTCAGAAGAGGCTTCAGAATCCGCCGCGTCCTCTTCCAAAATTGGGGAACCTTCCTCCCTGCAATTTCGATAAGATAATTATTACGATGAGGTTTAACATAAAGTAGAATGTCATCAATCATCCGAGCACGACAGATATGTATTTATTTATAAAAAAATTGTTGAAATATACATTTATTATGAAGGAGAAGAGAAAATGTCAAAATAAAATATTTGCAAAATATGGAGAAAAAAAGAATATAAAAATATTTAGGAAGTTTCGCAAAATTTGTATCTTTGAATTGAATTTCTTTGAAATGCTGGGTCATGAAGAGTTGAAATCTTTACAAAATATGTACGCATTTTTGAAAAAAAGTATTGCTGTATTATTGAAATATTTATATTTCTGAAAACCCAGAAATAATTATGTGACAATATGTGTGAAATATATATTTTTGTGACCCATGTAAGTTTGGCAACAAAGTTTGACCGTTGGTCAGCATCAGATTAAAAATAAATACATATAATCCGTCCTCTGTCCATCATTAGCTGCACGATTCATGGCGTGATTTGCATTTTGTAAGTGTAAAAAGGGTTGATTTTTTTGAAAATAGTTAATTTTTCAGTTCGTATTTCAATGGACTGCAAAACTCTTCAGGCGACTTTAGTAAACTTGATAACGCAAATTTTTGTTTTTTTTGGACACCACCTTTTAACATGTGAGACATATGTATGTACATAGGCACGATATCATTCGCCCCTGACCACCCACGTCCCTTTGCGTTACGAAGTTTACGAAGGTCCCTTGAGTAAAAAATGACCTTGTAAAGATATCGAGTCACGATGATCTCTAAGAAAAGTGGCCGCGGAAGCTTGAGTGGACGGTTATTCGATGTCCCCATCTTATACAAACCCCTGTCCAGCAATATTAATATCCCCACGGCTTCCGCAGTCACTGTCTACAATAAATAACTTTGCAAAGCAGGACTCTCACCCATTCGAACTGTTATCGAGCTCGATAAGCTCCGCATCCGGCGCTGATAAGGCGTCATCGTTATCCTCTCTCTTCCGTCTTTTGGCCGGTTGGACCGACGACGAAGAGGACAAACTTTCCCCCCCTGGTGAAGAAGAGTCTGACATTCTTGTCAGTATCAGATTAATTTTTAATTTCACCACAGGAAATGATTAGAGAGAGTATTATAAATTAATTGTTATATTTAATTAATCGATACAATTATTTATTTAGTTAATGAGGAGGACGACGTTCGGATGGATGGATGACAACAATAAATAATTTCATTTCATTTTATTTTTGGGAATCCGGCCGCCGCTGAGATTAACTCCGCCAGTTGTCTCGCCACCCCGATTTTTGACCACCGAATTGCACCAGGAAGGAGATGAGGACGATATACTAATTAATAACTAATTAATGACGGAAAGTTAAATATGATGATAAGCATGGGACTTCATGGGAGAAATAATGCATTCTTCGAATCTATGTGAGTATTACCACTGGTAATAGCACGTGGTAATTTACCACGTGCTTCTCTTGAAATGAGAAAAAACATGTAGATGCCCGAGTAATTTGAGAGTAATAATTAATTAGTAACAAATGTATAATTAATGATGATAATTATATGCGTTTGAATTTCGAAATGTTTACAAATTTATTGTGCACATTGGCAATTTATTAAATTAACTGTTGCTCGATCTGCTTCATACTGAATTTAATATACAAATCGTCTCAGAAATTCGTGTGAAGTCGAAGTCTGACAAAGGTTTAAGACATGCTCATTATTTAATTAGTGATATGTAAATGATTATTGTTTGTTAATCATTTGTCAATTTCGAAATGTTACAAATTAATTTCTTTGACCGAGATAACAAATCTATTTAATGAAAAAGTTAATGTAAAACGGTATAGAAAACCAGTGCGGAGCCAAATTCTTACAAATTCTCAAAAACATGAGCAAAACCATGAAATCGCTGATTATTCGGCCTCACAATTATTTCACATTCTCCTCGAATAAGTGAAAACATGCCCAACATTGCGAATTATTTGCATAACTAAAATATCACAATATCGCAAATTTTGACATAACAAAGTGATAAATTTATTAGACAAGGTCGTCGTCGAGAGCTTAATAATTAAAACTGCGAAAATTTTGACGAGTTATTTAGTTCACTTGGTTTGACCGTCGTAATAAATAAATCAATCTTTTGCAAAGATTAATTTCCTATGCAATGACGGAAGGCGGAGTACAAGGTGAAAAATATGGCGTCATGTGACACCACGGAAGTGAAGTATTCACACGGATAAATACTTCTCAGAAATATTTTGTGCAAGTCGCATCAGTAAAATGAATGTGAAATTAACATTTTTATCCCAATATCGTCTCAAACTTTGCATCTCTAAATTTCCGTCTCAAAAAACAAAGCTTTCATCTCGGAAATGAGTGTGTACTTAATAAATAAGTAGAACCCTTGGCGAATATGGGACTCTAATTTGCGTAATACGTAGCATTAGTTGCGAATCTTCTAATGTGTCAAAATATACCGCATCTTGAGCTCGGTTCTGAACCCAGGGTTTGGATTTCCAGGGCTGTTACACCCACAAAAATCTGCGTGGAGAAGACAGCAGTCGTACAAAAATACAGATTTTGTGACAAAATTAACTTTTTATTCCTGCAAAATACATTGTTTTAGCGATTGTATGTAAATAAAGGATTTTAACAGTTGCCAAAATTTCCGTCTTAAATGTATCCAATTCACTTTTTACTCATGGATTTGTTCAGTTAATTAAAAGCTTGGAGGAGGACTAACATGGTGTTGTTATCTCATTTGCGTCTCAAATTCTCAAACTCTCAAATTCCCCGTCTCAAAATGCTTATCTCAAGTTTCCCGTCTCAAGATTCTCAAAAGCTCAAAAATCCCCGTCTCAAAGCCAATCCATTCATACGCGTCACTGATTCTCACATTTTTCCCTGCTCACTCGTTCCGTGGCCAAAATCACTCTCGACGAATCAGCCCTGAATCTTGCTTACTTTGCGAAGAACTTTTTCTCTCTCGGATTATTTAACTAATTAATTGATCAGTTAAATTAAACACTTAATCCCATCTGGACATGGACCACGACCACGACATTGTTATTTGATTATCAAATTTCGTGTCGCCAAAATAAAGTTTTTGAGACGGAAATTTAGAGAATAAAATTGTGAGACGAAATTAATTGGGATAAAAATATCAATTGGACATTAATTTTACTGATGGGACACTTATAATTAAGCCAATTTCTGCACAAGTTAAGCACGATGGTTAACACAATTAATATGAGTAATGCAAGGAATGAATGAATCCTGCGTGAAAGATCGGTTTCTGATCGTCTCCAATTTTCTTACTTGATTTTTTAACGGATGTGTTAAATTCATTCCAGTATTTCCATTAAATTTGCATGAAAAATTGTTTATTTTTTTCAGATGTGCAAATTTTAGGTGTTATATTATGCAAAACTTTATTACGATGGGGTCCAGAATTTCAAAATAAATTCCCAATGCAGAGAATTGATTATGTAAGAATGTAGCGATTTTGGTGATTCCTCATCCAGTCCTACATTCAAGGAAGCAGCTTATTAATTTACATATTAAGGCACGCATGTCCTCCTCCGAAATATTTTGTGCAGTGACGTTAAGATTCATAAATTACGAATAAAAACTGTTGCACATTTCTTAAAGTCAAGTTTAGTGGGTTGACGATGGTCGATTGGAATTGTGAACTTGACACCATTTTTGACTTGGGCGCAGTGATTTCTGTTAGCGTGGCAGCGATATTTGGTGCCAAGGAATAGGACGTAGCACTGTCGTCGTCCATTAATTTTATTGTTGACCATGCAGTGATATGTTTAAACTGATTATTAGAGGAGCAGCAGTTGACGACAATAATGACGACCACGTGACACGCAAAGGTCACCCCACGCCATGACACCATCAATCATACTATTACCAGAATAAAAACCGTGGATTACTTCATTTTGCGTAAATTGGTTCTACGTTTTTTGCTTGTGACTTGAAATTAATTAATTGATTGGTTATCGGTGTCTCTCTTGCTAATTATTACTCAAACCCAGTGGTCACGGAAGCCGTCTGGGGACGTTAACATGTAGGTTAAGGGAAGAATGGTTAATATAAGGTGGGAATATGATAAATAGGGACATCAAACAACCGTAGGGACATTGTCCCCTCAAGCTTCCGCAGCCACTGCTGAAAACAATGTGCAAATTCTTTCAAATTTTGAACATTGCAACGAGAAAAAATTGTGTTATAATTTGCGGTTAAAACTTGACCAAAGTCTCCCACGTGTAAGCCCACGTTTCGCGTATGCACCACATTTTAACAATGCCGTAGGGACATCATTCCATTGTAGGACAGGGGAGGGACGGGTTTGTATAACCTGAGGACACCGACCAACCGTGGGGACAATGTCCCTCCGGCCCCTCAAGCTTCCGCGGTCACTGGTGTGCACTACGGAAAGTGAGAGGTTAGCTAAATACGCGAGGAAATAACAATGCCCAAATATTTTACGACGCTGATAACGCGATCATTTCCACGATACGAGCCAATCCTCGAGATCGATCTGAGATTCGAAAAAGTGCAACGACGAGAAACAATGAATCACGATCTAATTTTGCTTTTTGCATGCGTATGAAATTGGTGGAGGAAATCAATCATGCATTTCATTTAGCGTTGTGCATCTTAATTTAAATCGTTTGACAGTACGCAAGGGTAAATTAGGCGCTATTTTACTCACGAGGAATGGAAGTCTCCCAGCGTATGCTCTAGGATTTTGGACAAACGAGCATCAATCGATAATAAATTTGATTAGTATGAAATTTGCGATGCATGTATCTCCATAGTCCCATGTTTATAAAGAGACCAGAAATTTTGCAATGATTGCAAGTCCGTTTAATAATTGTTTAATAATTCTTTGTGATGTATGAAACTATAACGAAATTTGTATAATTGGTCAAAACTAGAATTAATAAAAAATTTGTAAATCAACAATTTAATTTCCAAACACAACAAGACAAAGCATGTCAAGAAGGAATACATAAGTTTAGAAATTCACTACTTTTTATAAAGTATTACATTTATACATATAAAATCTGGACCATTGAGTCAAAAAGATACGAAAAAATTGTAACAAAATCAATTCTTTCTCCGTAATTGATGAAAAATTTGTAAAAAAGATTATTGACAATTTGAAATATGCAAATCATACAATAAATAAATAATTATAAAAAAAGAATCATGTGTCGAGTCGACTCCTTCCATTTCCAAAAATCCTTGTCCATAAAAAAGCAGTCCATCAATTTCCGTTAATTTAATTTGAAGAAACTTGCTCCGTCGGGGTTTCCGATGATTCTCGAGCCTTGTCGATCCACGGGTTGTGAACATTTGGGAACATTCTTGCAATTTCGCCTGCTCTTGCAACAAGCGAGCCTGATGCCAAAGTTGCTTCAGTCGGGAGGTCCAGACGCCGCAAAGTTTTGCATACTTGAAATCCTGCATCGCCATCTTCTCCATGTCCTCCGAGGGGCAAAAATGCATGGCAGATATCATCATCTTCGTTGTCATTAAATCTCACACGAAAACGTCGATCGTCCTCTCCCAACTTTAAGAATACAAGGGAAGGAAAATGCTTGACATATGAGACGTCATTAACCCCATCAAAAGTCACCTTAATTGGAAACGTTTTGTCTTGAGCGTCCCAAGGTTCCTTGGCCACGTGGAGTTTTTTGAGCGCAGGAAAAACTGGTAGGTTAAGAATCGTGTTGCTCTCAACACAATTTCCAATCCTAATCTTCAAAGAGGTCAAAGTCTGTGCATGATTACGAAGGAGTCGTTCAAATTCGAGGTATTCTGGCTCTTTCCAGTCTTCAAATTTCCCAATATTCATTTTTTCTAAGGGTTTCTCCAATTTGTTCAGAAACTCGAGCCCTTTCGGAGTAATATTTCGCTGAATGGTAATCTCTTCCAAGTTCTCGAATGGTTCAGCTTGGTCATAAAATATCTCCAAAAGTGCGAAGAAATTGCACTTAAGAACGAGCACGCGTACATCCTTGACAGCAGAAAGGAATTGGCTCAACCATGGGGTCAGGGAAGAACAGTCCAGAACTGCGTCCACTGGAGTGCCCGACGTCCATCGAGAGGACGAACGTTTTCAAGTTGGTGAACTGAATACTCTTCGGAAATGTATCCACTCGTCCAGATGCTTCATTCTGAACCCAAGTCCAGCCTAACTCGAAACTTTGAATAGTTTGGGTTGGGCACATTTCCAAAATTCTGATTTGTTCATCGTAATCTGATTTTGATGCAATCGTTCCTGAAAAATCTAACGATGTGACGTTGTGCTTTTTCAATCCGAGAAATTTGTGGAAATCTGCGATAACTTTTTCCCCCTGAGCGGGACGGATCTCTTCATTCGAGCCGATACAAGGAATGATAATTCGCCAGTGGGGGATTGGGTTGTCCTGCATTTCGTAATTGTAGCGGAACAGCTTTGTGGAATCGTCCAATTTCTTGTGACCGAGGGAAAAGTCAAAGTTTACGATGCCCTTCTTCTCGATGAGGCGGAGAGCTTCTTGGTTCCAAACTTTTGAGAGGAAACGCACATTTTTCACGTCATTGAATGGTAGATATGACAAAATGCGAGACACCACCTGACGAATTATAAAATCATTATTCATTACATTGACCAAGATTCATTAGTGACCAGTTAACTATAATTTACCAAGTCGTCCAAATATGGAACGAAGCCTGCTTCTTTCTTCTCCTCGACACGTTCTAAAGTCATGTCAGCATCGGTTCCTTTCTCGCTCATTTTTTCCTTCTGCCTCCTATGCTCAAGCACTCTCCTCCAGAACGGATCAAAGTCGTATTCTCTCCGCTAATACAAAAATAGTGCAAAAATTACAAACCCGGCAACAAAAAAATTATTATTGAACCGTAACGTAATAATAATAATAATATACTTGGAACAATAAGACAAGACGATGAGTACTCTGGAATGCATCCAATTCCAATTTAGCCCAGCCAGGCATCTCGTCATCGTTATCAGGAAACCGGAATCTCCGTTTCCAATTTTCCACTTCTGCCCGAGTCGCTTCAACCCCCAAGGATAAATAATCCCCAAATTTCAGCTCTGTCCTCCCCTTAATTTCGATATCGTTCACTGAAACGACCTCCCTCTGAGAAAGACGAAATTATTTAAACAATTTCCACAAAATAACCTTCATTTCTCTCTTACCCCTGATAACAATGGTGACACCCAGTACTTATTTTCTGCGCAAATGATCTCACAAACTGGCAAGTTTCCGCCCGTCGTAATCTTCAGTTTTCCCTTCATGGGACGTTTCCAGAGAAGAAATTCGCCATCTTCTTCCCGACTTGTGAAAGTCTCTCCAATCGTAAACTGCAGAAAAATAATACCAACTCAAATTATCATATTTTAGATTTCAGATGAAATTAAACATATTTTATGACAGTCTTCCATCCTTTCATTATTGATAACAATGTTTGTATTAACATACTTAAGTATTTAAAACATATGTACCTTTTGACCTTCAATATTTGGCAGAATTGCGAACGGCTTCCACGACTTCCCTCCGATTTGTCGAATAAAACTTGGTAACTCGCCAAATCTACACCAGGTACAGCACGGCACGCCTTTTATCGTCCTCATTAGCAGTTGACCATCGAAATGTGCCATTATCGAGCAATTAATTTATTGTTAAGCAAATAAAAACTTTTTACTTAATTTTTTGTTGAAATTTGAAAACTGTAAACACAACTCGCCAACGAAGATGGAAGAAGACAACGCACGCTGGCTTACATTTGATACTTGCGGGTGGAAAAATGTGTCTCAAATTAGCTCAAAATTTGTCTCATTTTCTTACAGCCAAGGCTTTCTATTTAATTAGTGTTGAATCTAATTAATTATCTAATTAAATAGAGTGTTTAAACTAATTATTAATTACTAATTAACCTACTACCGGAGCTAATTTTAATTAATAATTAAGTTGAAAATCACCAATTACTGGCCAATGTTCAAATGGATTAGCTAATTAATTAACAACCTGAGTTTAATCATTAATTACCAATTAATTAGAGGAAATATTTCCCTTCTAATTATCAATTATCCTATGCCCTTTCTCCTCACATCACAATTATAGATGTACCTATTCAAAAATTGTCATTCAAAAGTCGTCATCCAAATTTCTCACTGAAGATTTCATTCACATTCCGTCATTTTCGCTCAAATTCACTTCACTTCACTTCACTTCATCTGACTTCATTTCTTACTTCACTCCATGTATTAAGCATAGGATGAAAAATGAAATTAGTGAGAAATCTTTCATTCACAGTCATTCATCTGAAATGACGGAATCCTTCACTAATTTTCACTCAAATCACGGGAAATTCATTTTCATTCACCATCATAATCCCTCAAATGAACGAAGTGAACAGGTATGTGTACATATGCATTTATCTACATACTTGCTTACGCATTACGCATTAATAATAACCACATAAATATGTGCAATTCAAGGTTTTGTAGCATCAAAAATTAGCTCTGCATTAACATATCAAAAGTTACATTTATCATAAACCCCGTGAAATGTTATATTATAATGTGTCCGTAAACCCTATGAAATTTATGCCATTTTAGAAATTTGCATTAAACTATTTATAGTGAAGAGTGGTAGAGTTTTTAACGTAGACCCGGTGACTCATTGCCTGTGACGTCGAAGTTCTAAAAAGCACAGCACATTTTTACTAATTTCTGAGGAGGAGATCTTGCGAGGTTGATAATAACAGATCTTGATGCCCTTTGGATATGTGGTAGTGTCCCATGAGTGTACTAAAACCCTGAAGTGGTTTGACCCCATGGCCACATTTACGCCCGCCACACCCACTAAAAACTGCCCAAAAAACGCTTTCCATCCAGTTTTCACTCACTCAAATCCACGCTAAAAATCCTATTTTACTCGGATTTTGAAATTTCTTTCACCATTACACTCCCAGATAGTTGCTTTCTTCAATCCAATATCAAACTCATTTTTTTCGAAATTTTTAGTATTTTTAAAATTTAAAATTCTGAACGAGCATTGTTGTAGTAATCAACAACGCAAATTATGTATGCGAAATGATCATCAGCAAAATTGAGTTTGATCACATATCCAAAGGGCATCAAGATCTGTTATTATCAACTTCGCAAGCTCCCCTCCTCAGTGCTGGGAATTTACTTTACAATTCTATGAAGTCATTCTGTGACGCATCAACGAGATATCCTTTAGACCCTTACATAAATATTTTCAGAACAGGGTTGCTCATTAACTAATTAAAAATCTGCTCAAACCAGTGTTTAAAGTGGTTTTTACCAAGTGGTATATACTGGTATTTACCGGTATATATAGATGGAGGAAATCAATCATGCATTTCATTTAGCATTCCGCATCTTAATTTAAACCGTTTGATAGTGCGCAAGGGTAAATTAGTCGCTATTTTACTCACGAGGAATGAAAGTTTCCTAAATTTGATTAGTATGAAATTTGCAAAGGACAAGATCTCCCAATGGGCACGTTTGCTCGAGATTTTTGCATCCCAAGAGGAGAAAACGTGTAGAAAATTGGAAAGGGGTAAAATTTATTGACTTTATATAGGACACCATTTCTCTTCTTCGGATGCAAATATCTCGGGCAAACGTATCCATTGGGAGATCGTGTCTGTCGCAAATTTCATACTAATCAAATTTCTGATCGATTGACACTAATTTGCTCAAAATCGGTGAATACGTTGGAAGACCACCGTTGTTAGAAAATCAGTAAAACAATTGAAACTTCACTACTTCAATCCGAAAATGCATTTACTTTACTACACTTTTATTTTTACTTCCCATTTTTCTCCTCGTCCCAAAATTAATTATTGTCAATTCTAGCCACATAGACCTGAAATGTACATCAGAATATTTTTATGAGACTAATTTCTATAATAGATTTTGACACATTTTTGGCGTAATTATGTATTTTAATTAATACTTTTTGGTTTAGAAAAAATATTTATTACATATTTTCGACTTTGTAAGGAGCATATTTTATTTGTGTGCACATAAGTTTTTGCTGGATTAATTGATTTTCATAAAGAATGACGAGCTGCAACTCTATACCAGAAAATCTTACCTTTTATCCGCAGTGTTACATTTTTACTGAACATAAAGTTAGACAATTTAGTAGTATATGAGACCCATGATCTCTCAGCAAAAACGGGGTCGTGATGTTGCTCACTTTTAACTTCATATTCTATAATGAGAAGCCATTAAGTATTACCTTGCCGATTTCATCTTTTTAAAGCAATTTCTAAAAATCGGTATGGGTCACCCCATAGGGTCGCTCCAGGTAAAAATTTTACCAATTTCTTTTCATATTCTTCCAATGGGACCTATAAGCAACATCTCTACCAAATTTCAGTTTGATATGATGATTTTTGAAAAATCAGTATGGGTCACCTCATAGGGTCCCTCAAGATAACAATTTTTCCAACTTGAATTTTTCCAACTTGAGTTTTTGTGCATTATAAGCCATTAGCAACCTGTGTACTAAATTTCAGCTCTCTACGATAGTTTTGAAATTTTGGTGCATAATACCCCACCCACTCCGATGACCCCCACCGGTCAACCACTGGACCGATTTCGCCCATCTTCGAACTCGTTTCCTAACTTTGCCCAATATGCATATGGTAAAAATTTCAAGTCAATCGGTTCAGCCGTTTTGGCTCTATCGTGCCGGACAGACAGACAGACAGACGGACATGACGGTTCCATAAGCCCTGACTCGGGCTAAAAACATAACAATTTGTCAACAAAATTATGATTGAACATGCGTATGGTACGCTAGTGGACAATGTCCATGGGACATACCTATTTATTTGTGTATTAACTAATAGTTGCCGGGGGTCAATCTGTCGCGGGGTCAATATGGCGTGGGGTCAATCTGTCGCGGGGTCAATATGACGTGTGGTCAATCTGTCGCGGGGTCAATATGACGTGGGGTCAATCTGTCGCGGGGTCAATATGACCGGGGAAATCTGTCGCGGGGAAATCTGACGGGGTCAATTTGACATGGATTCGAAGATGACCGGGATGAAGGGGAAAGCTCATCCCCGTCAAAGAACAAGGAACTCGAAGCCCTTCCCCTGCTTAAAGGTAAATATTACACATTTGCATTCCTCAAGTCATTCTCTAAGCAGTACCACCAACTATTTGTGCATGCAATTTATGTAGCAGTATCATTAATATTAAATAACTGTTTTTATATTGCGGTTTAGATGCGGCGAAGTCGGAAAGGGAGGTGCTTTTTGTACAAAAACTTCGCCAGGATTGTGTCCTGTTTGATTTTGTGACTGACCCGAATTCCGACCTCAAATGTAAAGAAGTTAAGGGATGCGCACTCCAAGAAATGGTGGAATACATTACAACCCAGGAAGGCGTCATCACAGAATTTATTTATCCAGAAGCAGTCAGCATGGTAAATATCTATCTCAGAATTTATTGACGTATGTAATATTGCACTAATTAGAGGAGAAATCACTGTTTCGAATTCTGCAGTAATCGACAAGCACTCGGTGCATATTGTATTCTTAATATTTAATTTTTGCATAATAGTGCAGAAAATTTCTATGCGTTTTATTCTGCAGAACGGTATGTATGTGCGTAGATAATTTTGCATAATACTTTTCTATACCAATCGCTCTGTAAAAAATTGGGTCAAAAGTAAGCCGTTCAATTACTATGTTGCGTTTTAACGAGTTTTACAATTTTTGCAATAGTTTGCCGCTAACGTGTTTTTGTTCTCATCGTCAAGTCCAAACGGGACAGATTTTGAACCGGAAAAGGATGAAACAACGGTATAATTACATTGATGCTCATGACGTAAATTTATGATTACGGTAATGGCTTTAATTTTCAAGTTTTCTTTTCAGTTTGAAGCAGCTTGGCCGCAATTGCAACCCGTCTATGATTTCTTTTTGAAGTATTTAGGTTGCCATTCCGTTAGAGGTATGCTCTATAATATTTGTAATGGTATTAAATATCACTTATTATTCTAGGTTTCTGGACTCCCCTGACTTTCAACCTAGTATAGCCGAGAAATATATAGATAAGGAGTTTGTGTCACAGCCAAGTACTTTCAAAAAATTAAATTTCATACGGTTTGGTTGGTTTAAAATTCATCCGCTACCTTATGTACATGTGTATCTATCTGGTTATTTATGTGTAGTTACTGAATTTATATAACGCTGAAGATTCAAGAGAACGAGAATCTGTCATATTAATTCATCACAAGATTTATGGACAATTCCTTAATATCCGAAGATACATCCGGTACTGATGCAATTTTATTTATTTTGTACCAAATAAATTAAGCTGCGAGAAAAATTACTAACAGAAATCCATTTCAGACAGCAGGTTTATAACATCTTCCATCACTTTACGAAACTGAACGCCATAATGGGATCGAAGAAATGTAAGTAATACAAGGCTGGTTAGTATTATCAGTATAGTATTAAGTTTCACTTTCGAAAATTAATTTTTAATTTCGCAGCATCATCAACTGATTAGCTCTACCGTTGAGAGAGGAGCACCTTGCTTCTCTTTTTGACGTGCTGCTACCATTGCACAAAATGAATTGTCTCTCGGTGTACCACCCTCAACTGGCATTTTATGTCATCCAGTATGTTGAAAAGGATCCTTCATTATTGGACAGGTGAGAAAGGAATTATTCGAATTTTGGGTAAGCTTCAATAGTAATTTGCTACACAAAAATCTCCA